GATACTACTATATAACAAAAGACTATTGAATGTGAAAAGAAGATTGTATCTCACTCTTCTGATACCTAAGATATTTATGATAAAGCATAGAAGATCATAACTTAAATGAAATAGAATCTTTTATGTTCATATAATAGGAAGTAACATCTAAAAGGTTAAAAGAAAGTAATTAAATAAAATAATCATTTTTAAAAAATTATAAATTCTTAAGAAAAGAACTAAACAACATCTAGCGTTACTATATAAGGATAAGGGAAATAAATACAGAAGTAGATTAATAAAAAATAAAAATTAAATAATAAGAAGATAATTGATTAAGAGTTAGAAAGAGATATTTAATTTTTGATTAAATATGAAAAATAAACAAAAAAACTTAAATAAGCAAATGATCAATAAATTTAAAATAAAAATGATAATTTTTAAAATAATAAAGATGATAAATAATAATAATAATAATAATAATAATAATAATAAAATGAATAATAATAATAAAAAAAATAATAATAATAATTATTATTATTATTAGATGAAGAGAAAGTAAAATAATAAAATAATAATAATCAATAATTATTTTGTGAATTTTAAATTATTCTCAATGAACCTGATAATTCAGAATTAATTATTCCTTTTTAAAAATAGATTACACCAAATAAGAACACTGATAAATAAATTAAACATAAAAAGAATATTAATAAGTAATAATCAAATGTCTAAGATACACACAGTTATACCTAAGAGGAATCATTTGAAATTGATTTATTATTAGTTGAAAATAGTGAATAGTAAATAAAACAAAATGAACAATTAAAAGATATATAAAAATCATCAGATATCTATTAATAGAATGTTAAATTACTTCCATATACTCATCAAAACAATTAATTAAAAAATGCAAGGGTTGTAAAATCAGTTATAAATCCTAAATCAATTTTGAATATTCCATAATAAAATTCTGAGATGCAGTATAAGACTGAGAAATAATTTATTAATGAAATAATAGAAGAATAGAAAACAAAGGAATCTGAATTTCATTAAGGACTAAGTTTAAAGGAGTTGTTATAATTGGAAATAAAACCAAAAAAAAATTAAAAAACTAGCTAATAAATTTAACAAGAGATATAAAAATTATAATTGGAAACAATAATCTTAAATAAGACTACTAATAGATGTAGTATGCCAATAATACCAAAATTAAAAGATGTTGAAGTTTAATAATTTGAAAGTAATCTTATGAATATTGAAATGATTTAATATGATTTGAATTTAAATGAAATCAGATTTCAAAAAGTTATTATAGAATTAATAGAATCACATCATTTATTAATAGGGAAATTATTATTTAAATGTCTTTATGATAATGGAATGAATTATTATGTAGAATATGACAAATTGCAAATATACTGTCCAACATTATTATTAGATTACATGATAGTAAATTCAATATTAATATGATTTATGAATTTTTTCAATATAAATTCTTATTGAGTTGATTAATATTGCAATCAAACCGTACTAATTTATTTTCATATCCATTAATTTATTTACAATGGTTCCTTACATACTATTATAATATAAAAATATAATAATAGTAAGCGATAAATAGATCATTACACTTAAATACTTTCCTCCTTCTACTTATAATTTTTCCTATTCTTTTGTTACATGCTCATAGAGTCGTTTAACTCTATTTGCCTTCTTTTGAATGATTACATTTCCAAAATATAATATCACTAAAAGTATATGCATTTAGCATATTATTAATGCATATATTGAAACAGGTATTTAATAATGATTACAAATAAATTAAAGTAAATCGAAAGGTGGTAAATTATGAAAGATGGCATAGAATTCATAAAACACACTAAAAAAGAAATATATTGTGTTTATTGTAATATAAAACTTCTTTAATAGATTGACCAATGTCTTTAATTTTTATGCTCTGACTTCTGATCTTCTTAACATCATATTCCTTTTCATTATTAATCCCTCACTTTCTAAATCACCATAATAATCTTTATTCTTTTCAATATGCTATTTGATTCCAACTATAAGAATAGTAGAACCTTAATAAATTTATAAGAGTCCATGTACAGAAATAAAACAATAGTACAAATCCTCATAAGATTAATTAGTAAAGAAGAAAATAATCATAACAACTGTTGGTAATAAGAGTTTTCTTCTATAATACCTAAAGAATATTAATAATGATACCACAAAGAGGATTCTTAGTGTTTTTAGGTTGATAGTCCAAATCTCTTTCTTATTTATTCTTATTCTTCTAAGTAATTAAATCTATTTAATCTTAGATGATGGGTCTCAATAATAATTTATTACCAAACAGCTTATGCCAATAAAATTGTCATTAATAATTCTTGACTTAATTTCAAACAAACTGAGACAACCAATAAAAATAACAAAATAGTATGCACAGCTATAGCAATTTTTGTGACTATACCTATTTGTTTATTTCTTAATTATCTCTACATTATAAATAATGATGAGCCAATTAAGAATAATTTCATTAATTATAAAATTATAAATTAATTCATTAGAATTATTGAATTATATAGATAATAAAGATTAATATTAATTATCTATTAAAAAGGATAATGAATTCATATAAAATTTCAATCTTTAACATTTTCTGTTATTTTTGTTTACTATAATTCCTATAGTTCTGATTCAGCTTTACTTAAACTAAATACTCTATTTTATTAAGAATCTAAATCTGTATTAGAACAAGATTATTATTTTATAGGTATTTATAGAGATTCTTATTATTATAATATTTCTTATTATTAAGAAAGTTCTTCTTATTATTACAATTCTTATGAAGTTTATTATTATTATTATAAAGGTTCTTATTATTATTATTATTGCAATTATTATTATTTTTTCTCTTTTTCTCTTTTAATTTCTTATGCTTTTTCATATCTTGTCAATGGCTTTTATGTCGGATTTTCTGGATTACCTTCCAAATAATCTTAAATTTAACCAGAACAAATATAATCATAAAATGCCTTGAGAACTCTTGGAATTTATTCTTTATTGTTAATATACCTATATATTCACATGTAATTTTACTTTAAAATCTTTTTGATATATGGGTCAAATCTAAAATTTGTATATTTAATCATATTGAATGCCAAATAGGTCTTTAAATTAGCTAGTGTTTTAAAAGGAGATTCTGTTATTTTACTTCGAGGATTTAGGAGATTATAATCAAGAAAGGCATTTACAATTCCAACTCCAACTTATTCATAGTCTTCTATTGTAAAAAACTTTGATATAGGTTTAGTTGTATCTAAAGTTCCTAAAATAATATTTTCTTCTAAATTATTTTCTTTGTATGAATTATCTAATGATTTAATATACTTTATACCTTCTGATTCCTCATAAGTAAAATTAGTAAGTTTGCCTATATTATAATTGCATTCAAGTGTATAACTATGTATGATTCCACATATCTTATGTAGGGCTACTCTACCTGAACCTTCTTTACTTAGACCATCTCCTTTATCTGCAGCATACATATTCTTCTCAGTAAAATTACAAGCATCATAATCAAAGATTTAAGAGTATAATGTAATTAATTTAGGAATGATACAATTTGAAATTTGTTAACTTAATTGATTTAGTTGATTCCCATAAATAAATGCTCCCTTTTGACTAGCATGAGCATGTAAATCAATATATCCAAGAAATCGACCTGTTTGATGGAGTCTGATTAGATACTCTTTAATTGCATAAATTGTTGGATGATCTTCTTAAGAAGGTGATAAATAATATCGATTAAGATTTTAACAAAGAGAATCAGTTCTATAATGTCCTCTATAAACACCATCAGGATTAATTATAGGAACAAAACACCAAACATAATTATCTCTGGCAGCCTTTGCAACAGGGTCATTTGGTGTTAATAGATATTTGATTAAGCCATTATGAACAAAAGAACTAGGAACTTCTCCTGGATGAACCCGTGCAGAAATAAATATATGAGGTTTGTTAAAAACATAAGGTATTGTTATAGGGAAGATTCCTTATAATGGTTCTTCTAGTTTTTCTGAGGAACCATTAGTGATTGTAATCAAATTGATAGGTCTACCTTCTTTGGAATAAGATAGTATTGAATTATCAAAATAAATATTAGGAATTTATTGGGATATGGACTAACAATGCTATAAGAAATTCTATGAGATATATAATAGAGATTACTTCATTGTCTTAACAACTCCATGGATGGAAAAATGCAAAATACACTGTTTCATTATTAAGGAATATATGTTAGAAAGTGATTTCAAATTATCGTTCAGAAACTAGTCGATATTAACAGGGTTGCTTAATTCTATCCCATTAAAGAGAATTAGAAGAACGAAAAACTGGTTACATTCCATCTTTAAATAATCCCATCTTTAATTTAACATAACATCTTGAATTACTTAATTTTGCATATTAGAAATTACAAATGTGTTAACTCCTTCAGATATTACTGAAACCGAAAAGTAAAACCAGGTTCTATAATTAGTAATTTTTCCATTAATTCCCTAATCACTTGAGATTTGGAGGATATACTTATTATTTGATTATTGATTTATTTCATACTTTTCCATCTTATTCAATGACACTTTTTAAATTGCCAGAATCAAATGCACTTGAGAAAGTGATACCATTAATTGTTTAAGTTATTTATGAAGGATATTCCAGATTATTCATTTTTTTAATTAATTATTATTATAAAAAAGACATTATTATTTATATATAGTTTAAATTACAAATATTCATTAAAGTTTTGATTTTAAAATGTACAAAGCCATAAATGCAAATATTCTAAATAGGAATATAAATCCTATCAAAATGTAAATGCATGTCCAAGTGCCATATTTAAAATCATACAATTCTATTGGATCAACTTCATATATTTAATTTTTATATTCTACTCTAGATAGAACTTCAAATGAATATGTTATTGGACTTGTGTATTGTATCCATCTAGTCCATGAATAAAAGAATTTTGGATTTGCAAAAAAACCAGAAAATAATACATAAGGTAATAATGTATATGGTGCAATTCCAAGTATAGCTTTTAAATCACTAAATATACAACCAACCAACATTCCTAAAATTATATATTATTAATTTACCTAAGCCACTAGCCCAATTATAAATGAGAACTGATACAAACATATGCATTATTACTGCTTCAGTTGTATTATGATATCCACACATCCAATATGATATTAATTCCTACATTATAGGAAGTACTATGCATAAAGGAATCTCAAGAATTTGTTTAGCTATAAAATAGGATGAAATTGAATATAATTTTGAACTCTCTTCTCTTAAAAACACTTCTCTCTCTATAGGAAATGTTAATATAATAGCCAAAACAGCAGAAATTACAAGATTGAATACACAAAAAAAAAGAGCTAAAAAATATATATATATATCTATTTACATCCAGAAATTCCCATTAAATCTGATACAGAACCTTCATTATCAGCAACCTTCCAAAATACTCCTCCAAGTAATAATCCTTAGACAATAGTTTAAAATATTCTAATATAAAATTGTAATGGATCTCTTGTAAATGCCATTAGATTTCTATTAGCAATTTACTTTATTTATTAAATTTAAGAGATTTCTCTTACTTTTAAAGGCAATAGTAGATTTTCACAATTATTTATTTATAATATTACATTTGAATGACAATATTGATCATAATATTAGAACATTTTATTAAAGTGCTTTTAATTCTCTTCATTGTCTATTTGCATTAAACTTAAATAATAATCCATAGGATTTGAAGATTGAGGACAAGTAAATCCCATATTTAAAAAATGATCAATAATCTTTTTTTAAATTTAAAATTACATTGCTTTTTTAGCCTTAATAAATGAATCTACCACCAACTAGAAGCATTATTCTATCAAATAATTAGAATATATCTGTGCTTGGGGAATGAATAGTGAAAACTACAGTTCTATCTTACTAACTTGCTAATTACTTTAATTCATTACTAAGTAATATTAATATATATTTATACATTATAGCAAACGCAGTGAATGAGTCTAATCCAGAAGTAGGTTCATCCAACAATATACATGCAGGATTGGATACTAACTCATATCCTATAGATGTTCTTTTTCTCTCACCTCCAGATATACCTTTGAATGTTATTCCTCCAATTAAAGCATTTTAACACTTCTCTAATTTCATACTTTTTAGAGTATCTGTTACTCTTTACATTTAAATTGCAGAATCAGAATATTTCATACTGGCTGCAAATGTAAATGCTTCCTTTGGAGTCATAGTTTCCATTAATATATCATTTTGCATAATGTAAGAGGCAAATAAACAGAATTTGTCATAATTATACTCTTGATGATTAGCTAATACTCTTCCTTTTAATTAAGATTCACTATTTTATGGAATTCTACAAGCTAGAATATTTAAGAGAGTTGTTTTTCCAGCTCCTGAACTTCCTAAAATAGCTGTAACCTATCCTCCTGGACATATACCTGTTAATCCTTTCAAAATTGATTTGTTTTCTTAAGATTATAGTTATAAATATACCTTTTTTTTAGAGTTTTGGATCAAATACTTTTACAGAATACTCTATATTTTCAAATTATAAATCAACCAAGTTGGAAGATTTAAGTGATTTAGATGTTTAATTCTAGTTATTTGAATTGATTAGTTAGATCCCTGTTGGATTTTCAGGAAATACTCTAGTGATTTTCATAAGGTTTATAAAATTAAATTTATTAAGAAATTCTTCTAATTCTTTGTTCTTAAGAATTGAAAAATATAATTGAAAACTGATAAAAGCTGATTTAATAAATTATTTAATTTTATATATAATAAATATAATAAATCATGCTTATTTACAAAACTTCTTTTAAATTAAATCATTGAATTACAGTGGATCAATCATCAAATTATTAGGAAGTAAGAATGGTGTATTCTTATTATTAAGTAATAACTCAAGAGATATTTAAGGCAAAAACTTATATTGGTTCAGAAGTTACTGCTATTACTATTGTTGTTATTACTATTAGACTGAGATATCTGGTTTGGTATTTGGATAGTTCTCCTTAACTTTTATTTCATCCTAAAATTGATTTGCAAACAATACTTTATTGAGATTGATAAGGAGAGATGTAAATTATTAAGGAGTCATTTGAGCTGTCATTTCATCTATTTAATCATCTAATTGTTATTGACAAATTCTAAGATCTTTGGATTTACATTTCATTTATTTTATTAGACTATAGATATATCATCTATATTACTAAGAAAAAGATCGCTTGTGTTCTAGTATCCTTCTCACGATATGGATAATTATATTCTACATTTTCTCTTCGCTACATCCAGTTATTTCTTTAAATTGTTTGACATACTCATTTAATTCTTCATCTTCTAATAGTTGAACTGAATTAATCTTTTAAAAATTATACAATTTTTAGTGAGACAATTGCTTCCAAAAAGCAAAGTTCCATAATTACCATCCATCAATATACGGGCAACATTTTAAAAACAATATCTTATATATTGCTTTCTTTTTGAACCAGTGGCACTAAATTTCAACTTATATGAATCAGTAAGCAAAGCTTGCATCTCCTATCCTTCAGGAGTCTCTGGGTCTTTGCTTTATAATTAATCAAATATTTGAGCTTGCTCTATAATCATTCCTTTGAAACATTAATTATGTTCTATAATATTGTGAATATGCTTGAATGTTATTTCTGTTTATTATCTGAGACCCTCTATTTGTCCATTTAAATCCTCAACTTTCTTCTCCAATAACCCAATATATAACTTCTTCCTTTATCTAGAATTTCTTGCACTCTCCCTATTCTTCTGCATCTTTAGATCCTCATTATCTAATTATTTCGAAGAATTGGAAGACACATTTTCTCTAACTCTTTTTGAAGGAAGTAGTTTTTCTTTATCCTCTTCCATACTTACATTCAGAAGTGAACTTATTTTCTTTATATAAGCATTCTTAACATTCCCTTTGATATTCTATAGACACAAAACATCATCTTTTAAAGAAGCCTATGAATCATTCTTAATCATCTATCTATCTTCTTATTTGATTTCAGCTGAACTTCTGACTCTCTAAACTTGGTTCTCAAGATTGGATATTACTCCATATGGTAAAAAGGGCATAAAATTCTATTACTATGCTGGTTTCTTCTGAATTATATTATTAATAAATACCTCCTCGATATCAAGCATATAATGTTCTGGATATTCACAATCCACCTTATTATTAGAATTCATAATTATTTATAATACCTATTTATTACATAATGACGTCTAAGAATTAAAATATTCAATCACAATCCACCATAAAATTAATAGATAATATATACTACGGAATATGATTCAAAGACGTATTAATTATTTTTAAATATTTAATAAAAATTGAAAACAACAAACTTTTAAATGGATACATAATGTTACTCACATAAAAAAACTCAAACATATCAACTTAATTAAAAATCTAAATCCAAATTTTATAGTATAGACTAATGTTAAATGAAAATAAATACATAAAAAATTGAATTCCAATAATTGTCTTCTTGATTTATTTGATGTTAATAGCTTAAATTATGTAAATTAATTTACATAAAATAAGTATACAATTGTATATGTAAAACTTTAAGAATTGATGTTAATAAGAAGCAGATAAGGAGGGATTTTTTTGAGTAAATTATATATTAATTCATTAGAAAATAATTATATGTAAATGATTAGTCAAAACTAATAATAATTGATTAGATAGAACTTAGATTAACATTAGATGAGATACCAATATTCTTGAAATATATATATTGACTTATAAAATTAATTATATTAATTTGAATTCAAATTTATATATATGAACAACTCACCAATAAGAAATCAGTCTTATTACTAAGATAAAATTAGATATTAGAGATCACCTTATTCGGATAAAGAAAATATAATGAGTGAAGTTAATTAGAGTCAATAGACATTCTAAAGAGAAGCAATAGAAATATTGAATGATGTTGCAGAGACATCAAAAATTGATGAGTCAGTTTTAGACAGTAACCTTACATTGTTTGAAAAGATTACTCATCATAAATGGTAGATAAGAAGATTAGTCTTAATGAATTTAACAGAGGAGTATTAAAAGAATTAAACTGTTTATGAATTTTAATCAGCATGGCTTAAAAATATAATTAATGATAGCAATTAATTTGCTATGACTGAGGGTCTTAAATTCATATAAGTTTTTGTTAGAAGTTAACAAATGAATTATCATATATTACCCTACTTTATTGGAGATCTTATTGAAAGAGGTTCATTTGTTAAGTCCCAAATCTAAGATCTCGTAATTGAAATATTATTATAATGTTGCAAAACAATATAAGATACTACTTTTATCTTATCAGAAATCCATAAAAAAATAGAAGCCAAACATCCTAAGATAATGACTCTATGTTTGACAATTATTGAAAAGATTCTTGAATAATATCCTAATCATCTTGTCAAGTATTTATATTTATAATTATTTATAGAGATTAAATAAGAGATTTCATTGAATTATGTGTCTCATTAGTTCAACATACAAATAAAGTAATAAGATAAAAGTCAATAAATATCTTTTGCAAACTTTATTAAATGATATCAGAAAGTTTTGAATAGGTTAAGAAAACATATTTAGATAAACGATTAAGACAAATTCAAATTAAAGAATTAGAATAATTGTGTAGCAAAATTACAAAAAAAACATAGAAGATTGATATTCAATCAATATAACCAACTATTTAAATAATAGATTTACATACTTTATTACCAGATAAATTTTTTGAAATGCCTTATTATAAACACAATGAGAAGAAGAATATTACAGAATAATTTGCTAAGAATTTAGAGAAATATGATGGAGATATTGATAATTCTAAAGATTATGGGAGTATTTATGCAATTATTATAACATTACTTGAAGAAAGCAACTATTTAATATATAGTTAGGGTATGAGATGCGTTAAGGGATTGGTAAGATTATTGAGAAGAGGAATTCCATAACCAGTAGCTAAACATTTCTTTATTTTGATATTAGATAAATTAAAAGGTTCTTTATCTAAGCCTTTATAATCAGCTGTATTTAATCTTTTGGAAGATATATTAATTTATGAAAATATATCTTGTGATTAATTTATGGAACTTATGATTAATTAATTAGAATCATCAAAAAATATTGGATTAAAAATAGCATGTGCAAGATGGTTTAAAGATGGTTGGTTAGCTTTAGCATTAGCAGTATAAACAGGTTCATATGAATCTTCTGATTCTGAAGTATTAAAGAAATTTGCATAGTCTAATAGTGAGAAAATATAGAAATCACTTCTTATTCTATATAAAAAGGTATAATGTATTTTGAAAAAAGAAAATAATTTAAATTATAAGAAAGTTCTATTAGATTTAATTAATTCAATGTAATGTGATGAACAAAATCTTTAAGTTACTGTAATTGAATCATAGATAGCAATTGTTAATCCATAATTAGATTTATAAGAATCAAGAATAACAGATAAATAATCAAGAAAATAATAATAAATGAATTCTGTAAAAAGTAGATATCAAACTGAAGAAGATTTATGTGAATTTGCTTAAATTGGAGAAGAAATGTAAAATTTTAATTAAGCTAACAGAAATAGATAAAGTATAGAATTACCTACTTCTTAATTAAATAAAGAATAAATAGAATTTATGAATAAATTTAGTAATGATCTTATATAATTAAGAAAATTATCATAAAATAATTAAGATCACCAAATTTAAAATAAAATAGAAGAAATTATAAATTCATTTAAAATACATTATTCAGATAAAAATATTACCAGTAATGATTTCTTATAATAAATGACAAATAATATAATAATAGAATTAGTTCATTTCTGTAAAAATGTTCAAGTCTAAAAAAAACTAATTGCTGATAAATTGTATGATTTTATTATTTCATTATTAATAAAAATGAATAAAATTTAAGTAACATTAGATTAAGAAATGCTTTATTAAGAATATAAAATATGTTTAATCTAATTAAATTAATTGGATATTTCAAAACTATTATCACTTCTAGATAGTTTATACATTTGTAATTCATTAGAAAGTATGATCAAAATAGGATACAGAATTATTAATAAATATCTTTAGAAATAAACAAATACTAATATTAAAATCTTATAAGCATTTATTAATTGGATTACATAAAAAATTAATGCTGCAACTTAACAATAATTAGATCCTTCTTTCATTAGAACTTCATAAAAAACTTTTGAAAATACTTTTAAAATGTTTCCATAAACATAATTAGATATAAGATTATTATTAAATGCTTTGAAAAGTCGTATGATAAATTAATAAGTGGAATAATTAGATTAATATTAGGATTTATTAAATTAATCATAAAGAAAATCTAAATCAAAATCTTTTGGATCCTAATCTAGATTTTCTCCATATGAAACACCAAACAAAACATAAAGTAAATTAGAGTTTTCTGATTCTGAAGAATAAGAAAGTTTAGAATCATTATAATAAATAGAATAATAGATTTCTACATAATTTACTTTATAATCATTAGAAAAATTTATACATTATTTGAATCGTCATAGAGCTTATTAACTTTGTAATCAATCATAACATACAGTATTTTTAAGTCCAAATTCTAGTTCACCAGGTAAACATTGGAGAAGAGGTATTGGAAGGGATAATATGATTATAAGTTCTCCAAATAGATAATTATATGAAAGTACTAAATTTGAAGATTTCACAAAAATTTTAGAAATTATTTGTTAAAATTTCAATTTTTAAGTTTAAAATCAAGTTTTTTAAGTCTTTTATTTGCTTAAACATATTTTTCCAAATTGTCAACAATGTTTAATTTACCTTATCTTTGCTTATATTTGTCCAAAAACAGAATATTCAGAAAATTTTGAAGTTTTCTTAAGTACATTCTTATAACTTGATAAAAGTATTATGGCATACTAATATAGATAAGCATTTAATATCTTATATTAAAAATAAGAAAATGAAAAAGTATTAATTAATTTAATACATACAGGATTTAACTTTCTTTTTTAAAAAATATTCGAAAATGATTTACTAGTTTGTATTTAGTATTTCATTTCTACTCTAACTTATATGCTCACATAGAATATGTTTTATTAATTAGCAAATGATTTATTAAGTAAATATTAATAATAAACTAATAATTTTAATTAAATTGTAGAGAATGAATTAATTAATTATAAAAAATTATATGATACTTATTTAAATTGGTTATAGGTTTAATAATAAACATATGAAAAACCTTAAATTGACTTTTAAAAATTATATAAATAACAATAAAATGATATTTTGATTGTTGATCTTTAGGAAATTGATGAATGTGCATCCAAAAGAGAAGAAACTGTTAGAGAACATATAAATAATAGTTAATAAGAAAATTTTATTCATATAAACAAAGAAGATTTTGAATTATTGGAAAGTACAGCTAAAAATTTCCTTTCTTAATAAACATTAAGATTTAATGAAGAAGGATAATCACAATAAACAGATATTTTAAATATCTAATAATTCATTAGTCCTTTATAATAAATAAGTCAAATCAGTAATTAAATGCATGATACAGTTATTTAAGATTTAGCAAAGAATCTTTATTCAAATGATACACATAGATTAAAAGAGTTGGATATGATTAAACTATAAAATGATACCTATAGATAACATAAAAGAGATAGTAACAAATAAGTTTAAGAATCATATCCATAAGTACCATTAAAGGATCCAATGAAATAAAAGATTGAGAAGATTTATGAAGAAGTACAAAATGAATCAGTACATGGTAATTTTAATGAAAAAAGTCTACTTGTAGATGTTTTAGCCCCTATTGAAACAACATCTTTATTTGATTAATCTAGAAACTTAAAAAGAAATGAATGCATTTAGCAAATGTAAGAAATTTTATTAACATCAACATCCTTATATTTTGATGTAGCATCAACATTACTTCTTTAATATGAAAATTTAGATATGGCTGAAGATAAATTGGCATTCATAAATGATCTTAAATTATCATTAGTTAATTAAACTTTATTAACAAATATTAATCAATAAAACTTTTCTGTAATTATTGCAATTGTTTTAAAATTATGTACAACTGTAATTATTTATATATATATTTATATAGCCTGCAACCTAATCTGAAATCTATAATAGTTCATTAGGATATGATGATAATCAATTGACAAAGTCTTTATAATAAATCTTAGATGTTCTTTTACACTCTAAAGATACTGAATAAGTCTTGATTTGTTTAATACATGTATTTAACGATCATTTACCTATGGATTTCACAAATGAAATTTCAAAAAGTATTTCAATTTTTATATAATTTTATTAGATGAAAAAATGATGTTAAGACTAAATTTAAAATGTATTGAGAGATTGATTTAAAATAGTGAAAAATTGCATGTTTTTGGTATTTTAATTGAAATACTTAAATTCTTTAAATGTCATCCTCCTGAAAATTTAATTGTAATTCAATAAAAATATTATAATATAGGAAGGTTTACCCTCAATTAAAGAATTAGAATTATATTTTAGATAATTGAAATAAATTACTGACAGTTTATTGAATATCAATTTTAAAGAAGGAAAAGAATTTTTGGATTTTGTTTACAGAAAAAATAATAAAAGCATTTTTTTAGATTATGTCAAAAGTGTGATTGAAAAAAAATGATGTTTTAATAATTAATTGATTTTCTATTTATTTAGATATCATTTCAATTCTTATAAAAATAAACATATATGAATAGATTAAAAATAATCTAATAAATATGTTAAATATATTAAGTGTTTATTATATTTTAATATATTTTAATAGAAGTTATATGATTGTTTCATTTTATTTATAATTTTATGTAATAAATGCTTCCTCCAAAAAAAGATACTTAAAGAGGATCATTAGTTGCGAATACACCTTTAACTCCAAGAAGCTAAACTTCAAGGAAGAGCTCTCGACTAGATAGATAATCTTTTGAGTAATAAGAACTCTATTCTTCAAGGAGAATAGGGTTAAATCTAAAAGACCCTTAAGTACTGAGCCTCTGTTTATTTGATAGAAAGTGGAAGAAATGATCAAAATCAGATAATAAAGATTACCTAGAAAAGAAGCCACAAAAGATGGGGAGAAAGATCTTCGAGAAATATCAAAAGCATATGATGTATTAAAAAATGCTCTGCCTGAAATAAACAACAATTATGGTGTTATAAAGGATCAAGAACTGCTATAATTTTATAAATAATAGATTGTAATAAATTAAAATCCACGAAAAAATTTTTTTGAGTTCAATACCTATTTTTATAAGAATTATTAAGCAAATAATAATGGACCTTGTACAACTTTACCTTAATTGTTAATTAAAAAAGTGGAATCCTTTTAAAATAAATTAGAATAACTTATTAAGGATAGATGAAGTCAAAATTAGAATCTAAAAAAGATTTATTTTAGCATGTATAATTTCTATATGGCTATCTTATATTTTGTTTTTTATTATTTGTTTTATTGAATAAATCACACCAGACTTAAATTACTAACTGATGCTGTGTCCCAACTTGTATGTCTATCTGTTCTTTTGAGACTAATTAATTTTCTTAAACAAGCCTTATAAACAAATCTTTCCTCTTCACATTCCCATAAATAATGCTTGATTTTTTTTGTTAATGGTCGCATACTAACAGTATAAGAATAAGATAATACTATGTATAATGTGTTGAGCTATCTTGATGCATGGGTGTATGTCCAAAATCCTAGAGTCTAAGTAGAAATAATTACTATTGACTTGCCATCAGTAAGCATTCTAGGCCACATTGAAGGCCAACTAGGATGAATGATTTCCATTTATTTAGTATTTGATCTATTAGAAATAATTGAAATGTTTACTCGAAAGCACAGTCTTCATAATCATGCATTTGTTTTAAACATGGAGTTGTGTCTAAATAAACTAGATATCATACCAAAGACAGGTGGCACTGAAGAAGGGAGTGTACCAAAAAATAGATAACTCATATTAAATAAATTAATCAAATATCTGGTACTTTAGATTGAGGATTTCTGGATTATTTTTGTTCGATTTATTCAAATACTTCAACGGGATCCTTCTTCTTACGTTTTTAGTTTTGCAAAAATTTATTTAGCTTCTGCTCTTCTCAAATGATCAATTGAAATATTTGGAGATTTGCTTGAATTAAGAATTTAGGAGGCTAGTATAATCATTTATTTGAGTACTCAGTCATCTATTTTTGAAGAAATTTCAATAATATTATTTAATTCATTAGGTAAATTTAATGAATAGATATTTTTATATACCAAAATGTTGCAGCTATACCACCATAAGTAGTGATATTTACTATTTAACCATACCTGAACATTTTATAATAAAAAAATTAATAATTATTAATTCATTTATGTTACTTCATTAGTTTTCTATAATCTCCGAAACTAGATTTCATTGCCATTCTCTTCTTTACTAATGGAACTTAATTGCTCTCCAATAATTCAATCATCGACATAGATATTTTTACTATTGAAAAAATCTCATATTTTATTACTCTCTTCAGGAGTCAACTTTTAAGTCAATCCCAATTTGATTTGCTTTATACACCATGCTATTTCAAGATCTGTCTATTCAGCTTCACTCAGATTCAATTTTGCCTTTATTTCTTCTTCCACTTACTAAATGATCTCCTGATTCTACTCCTTTAATTTTTTCTTCTTCTCTTTTTTCTTTTGATTCCTTTTTTAGTTTTTACTTAGTAAATCTCCTTATTTTTCCTCTTATTCTTCAACTACTTCCTCTTTTTCTTATTATTACAATTGCTCTGCTTAATTATCCATTAATTAATATTAAAATGTAATAATTTATTTAATCTGAAACTATTTCAGTATTTCTTTTAGTTTAATTTTTGAATAGAAATTAGACATACAATTGTAATTTTATCACTTAAATAAAGTAATTGAAATTTATACAAATCAAATTTATGATTAATAAAAACAATAGATTCGTCTCTTTTTATTAATAAACATTATTTCTTATAGAAATTATTAAAAATAATAAGATCATCTGTTTCAATAAGTAAAAAAAATAATATTTAATATATTTTTCATTTAATTGTCTTAGAATGCTTATTGATTTTAGTGTTGATATGATCATTACTGTTAATTGAATATTATTCTAAGGATATTAAGATATAAACTTGATATTCGTGGAACATTTTTAGTCAGTGGAATTAAAGAATTCAATCAAACAAATATTCAATTAAACTATTAATAAACTTGGATGTTTGATAAAATAATAATAAAGAATCTTTTTTTAATTCTCTTTTTAATAATGAAACATATATCTAAAATTAAAAGAATATGAGAATAATAAAAGTCTTAAATCCAAATATAGATGTTTGTTTAAACAATAATCAATTTTAAAATTTATTTATCATTAATCTTTATATCTATATTGTTAAGCAATATTATAAACGCTAATTTAAGAACAAATGTAGATTAATTTAAATATAATATATTTATGAATACTTAAATGAGACCTTATATTATCTTTTTAAAATACTACACTTAATTTTATTTTAACAAGTATCAATATTTCTATATGTTAAAATATAATTCAGAATTTAATGACTGTGCCTTAACAATTCTTGACTCTGCATTCTTGTAATATTTAAGCTTTTGATATTCTTGAACCTTTCAAACAGATTTCATACTTAAGATGATAAAACAATTTTTACACTGTCTTTTGCTCTTTTATGCTGGTTTTTTTCAAAACCTAAGTTGCCAACGAATTACCAAGAGCAATCTGCAATATAATCATGACTTAATCAAAAATATAAATACCATGTTTTATCTCTATTACAATTGTAAAATTCTGTTTTACACTTCTCTTAAAGGCATCCAACATCTGCTAAAGTCACTACAAGCATTATTATTAGAATGATGAATTTTTTCATTATAAAAACGAATTAATATTCAATATGACTAAATAATCTCATCTATTCTGATACTCTCTTCATATAACACCTTATTGCAATATTGTCTACTGCAACTATTTAAGCTCTTTGCAGCTTAATTAGTGCTCATACAGTAGGTGAACTAAAGATTATAAATATCTTACATCTTGATATCCAGCTTCTGTTCCCTTATATTAACCAGATTTTTAAGCACGATGAACATATTATTTAAATTGGTTAGCACATTTAGCAGCAGTTTAATCACAATTTCCTCCATTTTTGCATGCTTTTAATTAAGCTCCACAATATGCATTGGTGCAATCTCCTGCTTTTGAAAAACATAAAACAATTAGAATGAGTAAAATTAAGAATTTTTTCATTTAAAATTTATATATAAAATAAATTTAGTTATCAAAGAATAGCTTATTAATTAGTATTCACAATACGTTTTAATGAAATTAGATAGTATATTAGAAATACCAAAAAATTTATGTATTCTATTTTACAATAGCCAAATATATAATCAAAAAAAAAATAGTTAATTTATATTGAGTTATGCAGTTTAATTTCTGGAATTAGTTATATAAATAAATAATTTTATATAAAATGGGAGGTTGTTTATATCGTGAGTCAAAGGATCAATATCATTATAACACTGAAGACATATTGTTAAAATAGAAGTTAACGCATGATCGATTGCAGAACCTTCTGAAATTACGTGAGGATAGGGAGTAAATGTAATAAAGATATTAAAAGAATATTGAAGAAGGTGAGAAAATGAAATAGCCTAAAAAACTTAATCAATCATCAGTAGAATAGAGTGGATTTGATAACAGTCTTAGCAAAAACCATTAGAATCTACATTATATAGAAGAAGCTGAAGACGAATCAAGTTTTATTGAATAACAAAAACCATAGACTTTATAAAAATTACCCGATGAAGATAATTATGATGAAGGAGGAGAATTGCTTTTATAATTGGCCTCATCCTAACAATTAAATGCAAATAAAGCAGATAATATAAGAGATTAATTATAAGGGAGATAGAGTAATGAAATGGATGATGAGATATTGCAATACTTTAATACTACTAAGGCAAATTATGATAGTAGAGTAGATGCTTGATTTAATAATTAAATAAATTTTATATATATAAAAATGTCATCATAATCTGAATAAGAATAAGATTAAGATCAAGAAAATATCGAAGAACTTCCAGATGAGGATCAAGAATAATCATCAAGATAATAAGAAAGCTAAAAATAAGCTAAGAGCACTATTAAAAAAGTAAGGAATTATCAAAAAGTGCCTGAGAATCTTAAATCATAATTACTTAAATTAGTAATTTAGTAGGGTGTTAAAATAAATTAAGTATCTATGTTTTAAGTCTATTTAAAGGCAGCTTAACAATTAAATTTAAAATATGCAACAGCCAAAACAATAGTCTTTACTTATAGAGCCTAATCGAAACCAAAGAAGTCAAAAAATAAAAAAAAGAAGACAGCCACAAAAGTTGAATTTGTACCAATCTAAAATAATAATGTTAATCCAATTCATGTTGAAATTTCAATTGGAGGAAATGTCTAAAATAAATTTACACTCTAATGAATAAATATAGAAATGTTTGACTTATTATAATTGAAATATATAATTAATCAAATGTTTATTCTANGAGTTATGCAGTTTAATTTCTGGAATTAGTTATATAAATAAATAATTTTATATAAAATGGGAGGTTGTTTATATCGTGAGTCAAAGGATCAATATCATTATAACACTGAAGACATATTGTTAAAATAGAAGTTAACGCATGATCGATTGCAGAACCTTCTGAAATTACGTGAGGATAGGGAGTAAATGTAATAAAGATATTAAAAGAATATTGAAGAAGGTGAGAAAATGAAATAGCCTAAAAAACTTAATCAATCATCAGTAGAATAGAGTGGATTTGATAACAGTCTTAGCAAAAACCATTAGAATCTACATTATATAGAAGAAGCTGAAGACGAATCAAGTTTTATTGAATAACAAAAACCATAGACTTTATAAAAATTACCCGATGAAGATAATTATGATGAAGGAGGAGAATTGCTTTTATAATTGGCCTCATCCTAACAATTAAATGCAAATAAAGCAGATAATATAAGAGATTAATTATAAGGGAGATAGAGTAATGAAATGGATGATGAGATATTGCAATACTTTAATACTACTAAGGCAAATTATGATAGTAGAGTAGATGCTTGATTTAATAATTAAATAAATTTTATATATATAAAAATGTCATCATAATCTGAATAAGAATAAGATTAAGATCAAGAAAATATCGAAGAACTTCCAGATGAGGATCAAGAATAATCATCAAGATAATAAGAAAGCTAAAAATAAGCTAAGAGCACTATTAAAAAAGTAAGGAATTATCAAAAAGTGCCTGAGAATCTTAAATCATAATTACTTAAATTAGTAATTTAGTAGGGTGTTAAAATAAATTAAGTATCTATGTTTTAAGTCTATTTAAAGGCAGCTTAACAATTAAATTTAAAATATGCAACAGCCAAAACAATAGTCTTTACTTATAGAGCCTAATCGAAACCAAAGAAGTCAAAAAATAAAAAAAAGAAGACAGCCACAAAAGTTGAATTTGTACCAATCTAAAATAATAATGTTAATCCAATTCATGTTGAAATTTCAATTGGAGGAAATGTCTAAAATAAATTTACACTCTAATGAATAAATATAGAAATGTTTGACTTATTATAATTGAAATATATAATTAATCAAATGTTTATTCTAAATACATTATTATTCTTTTAAAGAACTTCTAAATATAATCATTATTAATAAAGTATTAGACTGATTTAGTATATTGAATATATTAATATTGGAAAATTTCTATGTTTGAGGGTTAGATGATTTCAAATATGGTTCATAAGAGATCACCTATTGTATACATAGATAATTGTTCTTTCTATATATATATTTCTTGTTCTAATAAAAATATTTTTCACTTAACTCTGAAAATAGTATCATATTAAATAGTCTTTTTGATTTTTTTAGAACCCAGATTAATCTTGTCATTTTGGATTGTTTATTTTTATGGTTTACATCCTATTCTTTTTAATCCTTTTACAACTTTCTCAATTATTATTTTCATATAAACTATTAAATTTTGTGTTATTCAAAGAGAAACCTTAAAAGATAACCTGAGTTGATTATGCTTATGAATAAGAAGGTGACTATTATGATTTAAAAGTTCAAGATAATTGAAAAGTCTATTATTGAAATTCTTAAATACTCTTATCAGTTGTGTTTTAGTGGCAAATTAGATAAAATATATATAAATTTTGGTTATTGATAAACGATTGAATTTGTATTATTTTAGATTTGAATGTGGTGAGTAGATTTAGTAATCCAAGTTAGACAAGCAGATGATGTTTAATTAATAAATTTTATTGTTTTATTCATATATAAATCGACTCATCGTTAAAATTTTTTATATTATGAACATAATTATGCAAAATGATAATGCTTATCTAGTTAAGAGAAAATTAGGAAATGGTTCATTCGGTTGTGTATATTTAGTATCTGACATTAAAAGTAACCAAGAATTTGCCTGCAAAATTGTAATTCATATGGTACTTATTTTAGGTGTCTAAATCTATGCTGAGCAAATATTAGGCTGAGGGGATGGTGAGGTAGGAGATTCAAATTCAATCAAGCATCAACCACAGAAATGTAGTAAAAGTGTTTAATTCATTTGAAGATACTAAAAACATCTACATTATTTTAGAATATTGCAAGGAGGGTCAATTACAAATCCCCTCACAACCTTATACAAATAAGCTATTAATATAATTCCTCAATCAAATGCTCAGTGCTCTTGATTCTATTCATCAAATGAATCTTGTGCATAGGGATATCAAAGTAAGTAACATCTCCCCAATTCCAGTTAGACAACATCCTTGTTCATGAGGATGGATCATACAAGCTTTCAGACTTTGGATGGGCAACCCAAATATCTTAAATTAAGCCTATATTATGTGGTACCACCGAGTATATGCCTCCAGAAGTTGTCAATAACTATATTCATGACCAAAAAGTAGATTCCTGGTCTTTAGGAATTGTACTCTATGTATTAATATCATATATCTCAGATTCTAACACATTGCAGAAAACCTTTTTCAGCTAAAACAGATCGTGAATTAATTAAATTAATTTCTGAAAATGAAATTAAAATTGATACCTCATTAGATGAAAATCTATAAATCCTCATTCAAGCATTACTTACTAAAGATCCTATCTATAGACCTAATATCTAATAACTTTATTTCAGCAAATGGATAAAATTCTAAATGAAACTTCATAACATATTCAATAAATATGAGCATGAAAAACTAAAACATAAATTTATTAATCAAAAGATTGAAATCAAATCTGTAGATAATCGGTATTATATTATATTAATTTTTAGTGCTATCTAATAGAGAAGAAAGACTATCGCTTCAGACACTTCTCTATCTCATAGTATTAGTACTTAGTTGAGTAATTGTGACATGAATGAATCAGGAGTAGTAGAAAAATAGAAATAAGATAAACTATGACTTATTAATATATAATTATCCAAATTATTGGAATTCTTAATATTTACAGTTGTGCATAGAATTTTAAGAGTTTATATTATTAACATAAAAGGGTTACTTAATTAACTGTTTTTATTATTATATTATACATACAAAACATAAAAATATTAACAATCCTTAGGGAAATCTTAATGATTAATATTATATGATGATTAAATATTATAAACAAATTATCGAGAGTAGTCTTTATAATTATTTTTGCATTATTATCAATATTGACTCATTTTTCAAAGTTCAAGATATTGTTAAATATACCTTATGATGATTTATGATATGTATGATTGTAATTACAAGTCAAATATCATCAACTCCTAAGAATATTGAATCCTGAATGTTCTCTAAATTATTATTGGCCATGTGTTGATGTTAGATGCAAAAATAACGCTTTTGATGGTGACAAAAGGTTGGATTTGATATTATATTATTTGTTTATAAGCAAATGTTGTTCTATTTGGGTTGTATCTTGAGGGAGATGGTAGTATAAATCCCACTTTATGAGGGGAAAAATTTAAAAAGAAAAAAACATTTTTAATTATAGATATGGCCTAGCATCTGTAGGACAGTGAACTATTAACAGCAAAACCTACCCTTCATAATGGATAGGAAATGGTTATTTAGGGTTTGGGTACACAAGAACAAAGTGATTCTAGCTTTTCATCCCAACATTTATGTTCTGTAAATAAATCAGACTTAACTTGATTAGAGCCAATAGAGCAGTCACAGGAACATCAATCTTAGTCAGAGTTCATTTAAGAAGATCAGTAAGAGTAGTTCGGATCTTTAGAATTTCTCAAACAAACATGCCCACATCTGTGCCCATTATAATTTCCTTGGTAGATGTCCTTTAGAACATTGCAAGTATACTTATTATGTTATTATTTATAGAAAAAGACATATTTTTATATCTGAAGATGATGGTTTAAGTGAACTAATATCAGACAACATTGATTTAATAGATAACCTCACAAATAGCGGAAACAAACTTAAATTGCCACACTCTACTTATGGAACTTAGTTATCTAAATATAGAAAATGTAAATCCAATACAAAGGAATTTTGTGAGAAATTAGAACACAAATTCATAAGTTAGGAATAAATACATTTTGGCGATTTTCCTATATAAAATTTTTGGAATTGGAATGCATTTGCTCTACAGTCTTTTTCTATTAAGTCCTAACCAGATTTAGGCAATGATCCCCAAGAAAATAAATATTTTAGCCAATTAATTAAGCCAAAACCTCTTGTGGATTACAAATAGGCCTCAGAAATTTTAGAGAATTCTTCATCAGCTCTAAACATTTCAAATGAGATCAAAAAGAATTTAATGTCCAAGCTTAAATCTGACATTGATAAAATGCAATAAAAAATAAAGACTATTTCAATGTTGAAGAAATGGATAAACAATTAACAAGTGGATTAGAATGAGTATAAGAACTTGTATTCATCTCTTTCCTAAATTCAATAGATCCATTATTCTAATTTCCTTAGGATCACTAACATTTCAATATCCAGTATTTATACCTTAATACAATTAGATTAAGCCAAATTCAACAATTAGTTTCAAAATGTCGAATACGTCAAATAATGAATTTTATCATTATTGCATGTATAGAGGGTTATGTGAATAATAAAATATTTAATATATCAATTGCTCTGATCAAGCGAGTTGCTTTTGTTTCTTTGGTCTTTAATTATACAAACCCGAGTTGAATCATCGAATTCTAGAAAATCATAAATGCTTGGAGTTAAATACTCTATTTTAGAAATAATTTGTCTCAACCAAATCTTTATCATAGCAATCTTTTCATTAAACATTTAATTGGTGTCAGGTCCATGGTGGAAAAAGTCATTTGGCAATTTATAAATCTCAAATCCAAATTTATCTTCCTATTAAAGCCTACTTTCAAGCATGACAAAATCATTGATGGTCTTTTTTAGTTGATAATGTTTATTAGGATTAGATAGAAATATTTTTAATGTTATTACTGCATCAATTTGACCATCCTTTTATTATACAATTTTCCAAGTCTTACTAAAATGAATATTACATTTGAATTATGAATGGCTTGAAGATAATCCAATAAAACTATTTTAGATAGGTATCATTTGTTGTCTACTATCTTCATAATCAGGGACAGTCATTCCAAGTCCTGAGATGTCTTCGAATTCAATCTTATCCTATTTTCTGATAAAAATACTAAAAATGTTGAGACTAAATTGATCAACAATAATCAAATACAACACTATGTTACTCAAAATATCAAAATCCTTTTGGTTTATTACATTCAATATAGCCTAAACTATATTAGTTATTAAACAAATAATCCAAAATATTTTGTGAGTGAACATAATAGGGACATTCTTATTATATTCATATAAAATGCCTGCCACTTAAGTTGAATAGACTATACACATAAACATAAATATTTAAGAATAGTCTGATTTATATAAATAGAATTTTGGATTCAAAATAGAAACAAAGTTATAGGTTAATGTTAATAGAACACAAAGAATTAGTAAAAAGACTCTAACTTTTAAGGTAGCATTATATTATCTATATTAATGATGGCCTGTATTTTTAAGTTAAATAAACCTAATAGTTAATAAAATGAGCATTGCAATTCCACTAAAAGCAGGTATATAGACATCAAAAATTCTATTCTGCATCAGAATAGTTTGATTAAATATTTAAAAAAATGGAATAATATTATTTAATATTGATTCAATATGTTTTAAATTATCATATTTTTTCTTAGAATGTGCTGTCTGATTTAGTTACTTTTTTATAGTCAGCTTATTAATAAATGTTGTAAGATGTCCCTTTTGGATACCAATTTTCATCTAAATTAAAATTTATAATAATATTAAACCTTCCATTTCCAATTGTTCTTAGATATCATCTTAAGACTTCCATAACTCTCTTCTACAGTTTGGATTTTTAGGTGATGGAAAAACTCTATCACTCTCAGGAATATTGAATTGATCTTCAATGCCAACCATTTCACCTCCCCCTAGAAAAAATCATGACTTCATTTTACATTCGCATTCATATTCAAACCAAGTATTAGGAACACCCAAATCTAAATCACCTGTTGGTTTAATCATTGGATCAGACCACAAGAAAATTTCCCAATGATAATCTATTAATTCCCTCACTGGTGCAAACCCAACAGGTAATTTAGCCAAATCTTCCAATACTTGAACATTCCAAAGAATTTCAACCTTTTCACCTTTTGAATTTGTCACTACTTATCTTGCAACGTAAACACTGTTTGGAGTATAATCAACATCAAAACCACAATTATAAACTAGATATGCAAAATCAACTTATTCTTATGGTGTTAAACCCATATTCAAAATCTTTTCAACTTCTCTTCTTGTGATTCCTAACCATTTTTTATGATTGAAAATACCTGGTACTCTTCTCATGATTTCATCTGGATCCATCTAACAACTCCATGTTCCTTATCTACCAATAGAAGTGTTTTGCCATACAGCTCTTACATCTTCCATACTAGATAATATTAAAAAGAATGATAGTACGTATATGGACCATCATATGGAGGTAATGGTCCTGATTGTCTGACTGGATTAACATGTCTAACATTACGCACTTTGTATAATCAAGATTAATATACCTGGAAGTGGTACTTATTATGATTTAGCTATATCAGCAATTTCTTTGTTAGATTAGAAAAAGTTTGGATTCAAATAATGTCGATATCTATTTGGATTGTAAGGCCCATCTATCATATATGAATAATCTCTTTACTTCTTGATGAGAAAGTATATTAAGGTAATGCTTTACGAAAACCAAAATTAATTGCACGATTGAGCATATCTATAAAAAAAATAATTTATAAATCTAGATGAAGGAATTTTATGTATAAATTATATGTAATCTCCAATAGTGATACAAAAATCATATTAATTTATCCTTGTTCTATCATTATCATATTTTAGTACTTTCTCACACAAAGAGTACTTGATAATGTATATTAAAGAAATGAAAAATAATAATATTTATAATAAAACTATGGATTTTTAGGTTATCATAGAAAATTATCAAGAAAATGAAAATTCTCCAGGTTCATATGAGAAAAAATTTAAATCAAATACACCTATTAAGGATGTATTACAAGGATTTGGATTTGATTCTGCATATGTTGTTAATGTTAAGTAGGAAATTATTAAACCTTAAACTACATTAAACGAAATAAAAACTCAATATGATTGTGACACTTAAGAGTAAAAATTAGTCTTATAATTAATCTCCAAGGATAATAGTCATGATACTTATACAAAAATGAAATACTATTTTAATAACCCTGATACAAGCAATATGATAAAATGGGTTATTGAAAAATAAGATACAACTCTATATTCACATTTACTAAACTTAAAACCTAAACAAATTATTCATAAAAATAAATCTATTAATCCTTAATTAAGTCTTAAAAACATAAAATAAAATACTGATGATGAGGTCGAACTTAGTATCTTAGATAAGGAGTTAGATTAGAATGAAATCTTAGTTATAATTTATTCAAATCAATTTTCATAGATAGTAGGTTCTTATGACCTAGTATAAAATCAGCAATAAAATAATGGAGAAGCTGCTTTATTGAGTACAATAAATTAGGGATTAGAAATTTAAGAATAAATATTATATTATGAGATTGAGAAAAAGTCAGTTACTATAGAAAGCATTCTCTAGAAATTAACAAACTATAATATTTTTGCACTTTAAAGTAGTAAAGGAGTTTTAGATTCAAAAAAGACTTTAGGTTACTACTTCAAAATAGATTTATAATGTAAATTATTGATTATACAAAATAAACTTGCATTATAAAACATATAAATAGAGTAAGGGAAGGTTTTGGTAAATGTATTTTAACAGGGGTAATTGATATTGAGAGAATTATTTAATAAATTTTATAAGTTATCTATGATTTAGAAACGCTTATCACAAAAAATCAAAGGGGATATATATTTTATTATGGCTGATAAAGATGATTTATAACCTTCTGATGATTTATCTGATTTTAATGAGCAGGAAATATATTTAGAAGCAATTGTTAAATAAGTAGATTATGATGAGATGGAAGTTTATTTGATGTAAGCATTGAAATAAGTATAATAATTGAAATAAAAATAATAAAATATTGAAATTACATAAGAATCTATAAATCCTGTGTATAAAAAATTGATATAGAAAGATTAAATAATTAATAGACTTTAATAAATAATAGAATAATAGAAATATAAGGAAGATGAAAAAGACATTATTTTGAAGATGAAAACCATTTCTTATACATAGAGTGAGTAAATAAATTGAGGTTATTTTTGAATAATAATTACAAATCAATATAAAAATAAATATTATTTTATTTGATTATATGTACTTTAATTATTAATAATTAAATGCAAAATAATTTGTTAGATTATAAATAAGATGAACAATCTATAAAAAAAGTGATTGACAAAGAAATAAATGGAAAATCTAAACGTTTATTTGATCCTAATACTTATTATTCATAATTTTAAAATTTAACTTAAGATAGTTTATAATAATGTGAAAAAGCCCAAGTATAGAAAGGAGCAAAAGAAATGATTGAATGTATAACATTATAATCAATTGAGTTAAGGCATAAGTTACAAGTCAAGAGAAAGTGATTGAAGCAATTAGAGCAGCTAATTTTGTAGAAATTTAGAATGTAAACTTTAGATTCAAAAGACTACTAAAAGAGATTTTAGAATAAATAGCAGACCAATTAGGAAACTTATTTAAGAATGAATATTTAAAATTATGGTTGGAATGGAAAAGTGCTAAAGCAGCATTATAAGAGAAGGAACTCAAATTAAAAAATTCAGAAATCAATTAATAGTTATAGGAATAGGAACTGATTTAAATAAGAACAGAATTTACAGCTTAAAACACTTTTTTTAGTTTAAATAAATAATTAGAGACAACTCTATAAAATTTAGAGACTGAAAATAATAAGTTGAAAGAAAACCTTAAACATCTTAATTAATATTGTAATGAATTGAAACAGAATAATGAAGAACTAAATAAAAGAATGAAAAAACTTGAATAATAATATGAAGAGGCAAAAGAAAAATATGAAAATGAAATTAATCAGTTAAAACAAAAAGAATAGAATTTAATAAAGGAAAATAAAAATCTTATTGAATTAAATAATCAATTATAATAACAATTAGATAAATATAGAGATTTATATGAAATGTAAAATCAAAGAAATAATGATTTAACTGATTAAGTCAGATATTGGAAATCAACTCATTAATAAAGATTAACTGATTTATAGTAATCAGAATAAAGAATAGGATCATAAAAAGGATATCTTTTTAAATATAGAAGAGAAGTATAAGATTTAAAAAGATTTAAATTATATAGTGAAGAAGCATAAAAGGAATTATCAAATGCTAGATAGACTGTTCATTTATTAAATTAATAAACAGAATAATTAAGATTCAGTTATGAAAATGCAATTTAATAAAATTTAAATATTTAGACTGAAAAAACAGAGAATTTAAATTAAATATTATTACGTAATGCTTAATCAACTAAAAAGGTAAATAATGAAACAAATGTTTTTTATGAATCTCCATAAAAATGTAAATTTGATTTTCATAGTGTTAAAAAGATTACTTAACCTTCAGTTGATGAATTAAGTTAATTTGTTGTAAGTTATACAAAAGTTCCAATTTAATCAAGAAGAACTAAAATAAGAAGTGCTAGTGCAAAGAAGAATTCTTAATCAGAAACTGATACATCTAAAAATAATATTGGAATTTAAGAATTTGATTTGTTTACACCATATACAGAAAGTACATTAAATCAATTCAATTTTAATTCTGTACCTAAAAATTCTATAAATAAAACAAAAAGAATTAAAAGATAGAATACTGAAAGTTGATAAAAATATGAATTTTATTTATTCAATATTTAATCCTTTTATAATAAAATCATAATATAATCATCAATTTATTATATTTCTTTTATCATTTACTTTTCGAGCAGATTCTTATGTATTATCTACTTCAAGATATGAGTCTTATGAGAAATTAGATTCTTCATGTAATCTATATTTTTGTATTCTTGGAATGCTGTATGATTATGATGGATCAAATTTAATGAATTTCATGAAATTACTAATAAGCACAACAATAATTGATGATAAAGACATGGATGTAGACGATATCATAGGAGATATTGTAAATCCTTATCCATAGAATACACCTGCTGCAATAGCTAAAAATAATAAATAAACATACGTGCCATCAATAAATTATATGCAAAAGCCCATATCAAATTTATATAGATTACTTTTAAAGCAGTTTTCATTAAATTTATTAGAGATACAATACTCCATAAATTTTCATTAAGGAGTATGACATCAGAAGCCATAAGATTCAATTCTGATTTTGCATTAATAGCAACACCAATAGAAGCTTATTATAATGATAGAACATCATTAAGACCATCTCCAATCATCATAACTTCTTAATTTTTCTCTTTTAATTCCTTTAAAAACTTTTATTTTCCTTCTGCATCTATTTCAGCATATTAATAATTGGATGGAATCCCTAGATATTTCCCTACTGATTCTACTGTTTTTTTTGAATCCCCAGACAATATATAAACAGTTTTATTTAAATTCTCTCTTAAATATGTAATTACAGCTTTAGCTTCAGGTCTTAAATTTGTTTTATTATCCAAACATAATATTATTTCTGGTATATCATCAATAGTCATAAGAATAACTGTTTTTCCTTTTCTTTCCAGACATTAACATTTCTAAATAATATAATCTTCTAATATTGCCCCATTTTCATTTAAATGAACTAAATTTCCAATTAAACATTTAAACTATATTTTGTCAGTAGTTCTTGTAACATTTCCAATGATTCCATTTCTCTCTAATTTAGCCTGTTCTGTTAGAACAAATGTACTCTATCTTCCAATTTATCTTTGAATAGATTCCTTGAATAATAAAGTAGCAATAGGATGATTGAATTCTTTTTCTAAAACTCCTAAAATAGCCCATAAATCTTATGCTGATAAAGTTTTATTAAATTTCAAATTCGATTATATTTTACCTTCAGAATTTTATACATCTCTTTTAGTATCTACAGGATCAGACATTACCAATGATTTCTAGAATTATTTAACCTTTACTATAGTTTTATCTTATTTCTTTAAAGAAATCTCTGTCTCATTCTTAGATAGAAGAGTAAAAGATTCAATGTGATCTACTTTTGTAAATAAAGTTCCTGTTTTATCAAATATAATACAATTTATTTTATTTATAGATTCAAAAATAGTATTCTATATATTTTATTATTATTTAATACTTTTTTTATTAAAATTCCAGATTTCAAAGCCAAATTTAAAGTAATAATAACAACAGATGGTACTGCAAGTCCTAAAGCACAAGGACATGATGCTACCAGAATAGATATAGCCCTTTCAAAAGGAAAACACCAAACACAATATTCATCAATTTCAACAATATCAAATCCTATTAAAAATGTCCACACCATAAAAACAATCAAACCTACAAAAATAACACCAAGTACAAATCTCTAAGATAATTATTATAACATTGCTGTAATACCAATATCCTTACTTTCTCTTTCAGATTATGCTAAGTTTAATTATTCTGCTATTTGAAATAACATTGAAGACTCAATTACTTATTCAACTTAAAATATACATGAACCTTCTAAAATATCAGCACCAGATTTTAATCTAGTTCCCATAGAAGCTTAAAATCTGTCATCTTATCCATAACAAATTGAATCAATAACTTAGACAGTACCTTTTACAATAACACCATCCAATAATAATTTCATTCCCTTTTCAAGAATTATCAAATCTCCCTTTTCTAATAAAGATATATCACAACTCTCTTAAATATTAATATCATAATCTTAATTCTTCACTTATACTTTCATAACATTAGGTGTCTTTATTAATTAATCTTAAGGAAATATTTAATTTTGCATTTCCATTATTGTCTATTTAGCTTTTCCTTCAAAGTATTTACCTATTGTAATTACAGTAAGTATTAATCCTGCAGATTCTAAATCATGTATAATATTCATTATTCTTTCCATTTAAATTTCTTAATCTTTAGTTTCTTCTTCATTATTCTATCCTTCAATAGTGTAAATAACAATCAAGAATAAACTCATACAATAGGCAGCTAATGAACCTAATGTCAATAATGTATCCATATTAAACATTCTAAAATTTTAGTTGTATTAATTTACCTATATTTGATGAATAAATGATATGCATTCTTGTAAGTAGGAGTACCAAATTAAATTAAAGTAAAAGTAGTCATAAAAAAGATAAATATTAAATAGATACTAAAAATAGATTCTTCATGAGGATATGATAGAAAAGGATTATAATAATCAATATGAGGCATGATAGAGCAAAATAATAAAAATTGGACACTTAAAATAATTGCTAATATGAATTTTCTATAAGTAACAGCTTCCTAATATCCACTTTTCTTTTTGAATTTTTCAAGAAGTGCATTATAAACAAAGAATTCTTGATCTGAATTAATCTTCTATTTTTCATCTATAATAGTTATTTTGTCCTTTATCTAGGTTTCAATATTTTATTTTAATTAAAACCCTGAAATTGACAATGGCTAATAAGATATGGTTATTAATTAACCCAACTTAAAAAATGTTATTAATAAAATTATACTTGCATGTTATACCTAAAATTTTCTTATTAAATTTCTATTAGTCCACCTTAAAACTATTAATGAAGATTGCTCTTTATCTCTTTTAAGTCTTCTAATTGAAACTATGAATTTGAAAAAAAGAACTAACATCTTCTCAATTAATTGGAGTCAGTATTAATTAATCTTGGTTGACCGACTATAAAAAAATTATTTTATTCCAAGATTAACTTTATTTGATTAAGTGAGCTAAATAATACATAATATCCAATTACATTATTTATTAATTAAAGGAAATGATTACTCGTTCAGCCATTACATTAACTTAAACATATATAATACCTTTGAAATTGTTGAAATAATTAATACCTTCCTAACCTTCAAAGCTAGATTTTATCTTATTCACACACATTGTACACCATATCTTTGAAACAGTTAGATCATAAACTACAATATCTGATTGCATAAATAATATAATTATTATATAATAATGTCATAAATTTGCAATCACGAGAGTTGTATTAAATCATCTCTCCTTGGTTTAAGACAGGGTATATATTATGGAGGAAAGATAAGATTCTTTCATGCTTTAGTAATGACTTTTCTTTTTAGACCTGGCTCAATAAAATCCAAATTCATCACTGTTATATAGTTGACGTACTAACATGCAAAAAATCTGGGCATTTTTGTATTCCTCTATAAATCAATAGTTTGTATTCTAAACAACATAAGAAAGAAATAGACTAAGCTTCATAATCTAATAAGTGGAGCTATATGTGGATATCTCGTTTTTGGAAGAAATAAATCTGCTGTCAATTAATAAATTGTTCTCTATGTTATGAGTAGAGTAATAATAGGTTTGGCTTCAAACATTTAGAGGAGAAAACTCTTACCTTAATCCTGGGATGCATTCCCTCTTCAAGCAGCTATTGTCTGGGGATTAGTAATGCTATTGTTTGAAGATGATAAGGGATGCTTATAGAACTCGCTAACTTCTAGCATGACATTTTTATATAAAGATAGTGATAGATCTTATTCAAGTTGGGCTGAACTAATACCATTCGAAATGCCAGACTTTTTATCATTTCTTTGGAAATGATTAAATTAATTATAGTCTAACTTTATTTTTTATATTATTTCATATAACTAACTCAATAGTTAACATAAAGAACTAATTGGCAATAAATTATAATCTAATTCAATAGCTAAATAAACAATACTTATATTAAATATATAAATTTAAAAGAGCTTTAAAATTCAAATTATTTTCTGATTACAAAATTTTATATGTTTTCTAACATTTCATGATCAAAATTATCTGTAATAGATTTTCTAAATTTGTTATCTAATAAATTAGATTATCAGTTTCATGATGTTTAAAGTTTTATAAAATACTTTATTAAAATTATTCAAATAAATAGAAATATTAATATTACTTTTTATGATTTATACAATAAATTATTTTTACCTAAATATTATCTAATAAAAGTTGAATATCATCTATCAAGTATCTAATAAATATTACTCAATATTTAATAAAGTATAGATATAAATATATAATACAGCATGAATTTATCAATATTTAGAATTCTTTTTTCCTGCCACTACCAGGGTTGATTAAATGTTATTGATTTGAGGAGGTATGTAGCTTTCTGAAAATTTAGGTTATGCAGGTTCTTCAAATTAATTCGGTGGAAAATATGTAGGATCTACAAATTGATTTGGAGGAACATATTCATTAACATAGTTAATTGGGTTGTTTTGATTTTGAATAATATTATTTTAAATGTTTGAATACACAGGAGGAAATTTAGATAAAGGTGATAAAGGATTTTGGTAAGGGCCTGTTTCAGAATGATGAATATCTTCTTTTGAAGGAATTGCCTATCTTTAAGTATCTGATTCAGGTATATACAATTTTTCCTTCTTTTGTTTGAAGCACCAATGGAACATCTATACAATAAACATCATAATTAAGATGAATTCGCTGATTGCTATAATTATTATCGAAATAGTAATAAGTGAAATGAAAGTATTGACATCTGCTGGGAAGAGGTTGGGAAAAATTGCAAATACATTATAAATTTGGTCAGAAGTATAACAATCAGCAATTGATCTAAAATAAAGTTCTGCATCACTTCTGAGCTTTTCCTAATATAATATTAGACCACCTTCAATCAATATGAATGACATTTGGCATATCAGTAGAATTTTTTAAATTACTGTAATTATTCGAATATCATTCACTATCCTGAATTTAAGCATATATATTTCTATTATTAGAATAATTCCTATAAAACCAGTAAAAATTTATTTTATCACTACATAAATTAATCCAATTTCTTATATAGATTCTTCACAATTCTTAGTTTCATTAATCATATTGTTATCAATCTATGTACATCTATTTTCAGATTTTGAAGAAATTTTATTCTTTATTTAATATATTAAGTACTCTTGCTGTCAAATATGTAATTGCTGAATTAGTTACAGATGAAGGAACACCATTAAAAGATAATGCTTCTAAGCCTTACTTAGCAAATTCTGAAAGTGTTGTTTATTCTATTTTCACACTATTATACTCATTTAATATTATTATTTTTTATTTTTTTGGATGAAATGGAAATCTTCAGGTTATTTTTTTATTGAGTACCCAGAAAATGGTTGGTCAAAATTCAAGGGACTATTTGATAAGTTCTACAGTGCCCTTGATGACTTGTGCAAGTTAATGCAAAAAAGTCCTTGAAGTTGGAAAGAAAGTGAAGAATATATTGAGACAACTCAAAAAGTATCTTTCGAAATGGGGATAATTACCTGGTTAGTTTATGACTCGGGATTAAAATTTCGGAGTTAAGAAAATCCAAAAAAGGAAGTGGGAATATTGTTTACAAAGAATTAAAAGGATAATAACAGTACTCTAACAAGAAGAAAATGTAAACTGATTCATTCAGAGAACGCGTGGAGTGAAAACTAAGTTAAAGACTTAGATTAAGTAACACTTTAGAGCTCCAATAAAGACGGGGAATTCTCCAGAATCTTTGAGCAAAGATTCCAACACACTACATCTAGTATGTGGTCGATGTTAAAATTAATACAAAAATATTAGATCTTATACCTGGTCCATAATAAAGTAGCCCAACAAGGTTCCTCTGATGACATGTAGGTTCAAGAATCAAAGATATTTTGCTAAGAATGAAGCAATATCTAACTAAGATGAATCTAATTACTTAACCAGTTTAACTCCTGGTTTGAGCCAAGAGAAAAGAAGATGAAATTAAATCATTCAGTAAAGAAAAATAAGTAGGTAAAGAAAAAGATAGAGTATTAAAACTTGAGGTCATACACTACTCTCAAACTCCTACCATGATAACCATGGGCGAATATTTTTGACACCACTGACCTAACTCTCAAGATCTCTTATTAAACCCGACCAACCTTAATATCCTGGAATTTCTCGTTTAATTTTCTCATTTCCTTGAAAGATTAAATTAGGGTCATCAAGGCGAGATATATTCAAAACTGAGGCTAATACTGTGTTAAATTAAATGAGAGGTGCTCATAATAAAACACTAGAAAGGAGCTTTAAAATAATAGAGAAAAATAAAATAGAAAAATCGAATAAACTTTAAAAGACTTAGGCCTCATTCGAATTGATCTTATTCATAATATAATAATTATTATTGATTAAAAATTAAATCATGTATATCTGTGTCAAAATCAGAGCTCTCACAATTTTCAGGATCGATATATTCACTGTTATTGGTTAATCCTGCTGTTATATAAATTAAAGGATTTAGACATGGATATCCCCTTATTAAAACTTGAATTTTAAATATTCCATAAGATGAATTCTCTCTTTAGATATACAAATCTCTGTTACTCTCCAAATTTTAATCTGCATCTTCATCAACAATCTCATTTTATATTATTGTCAATTTTGAAATAGGACACTAAGAGCCTTCACTTGTTTAAATACAATAAGGACCACAATTATATTCAGTATCTGAACATTCAGTGGACAATCTTATGTCAACAAATCTAGTTACACAAATCAATTGAGAAAACCATCTAGTAATATTATATTCTGCGAATGGAAATAATTATTAAATTTCTTCAGATAAATCACAATCCAAATCTCTAAAATATACTCTAATTATTAGGTATTTGATACTATTTGATTGGTTTGAAAATGAGATTATCAGAAATATATCCAATTGTAGCATTTTGAGCTTAGTACTAATCTTCATTTGAATAAAAATCAACTACACCATGTACTATATCTAATCCAATGCTGATCAACAAAGAGATGAGCATGAAAAAGATAGTTAATGATTTCACAACTTTGTCATAAACTGAACTATGTATTTATTCAATTGGATGTTTTTTCATTAAATTTTATATTTATTCAGAAATTTATATTTAAAACATTAACAAATTATTATTGTTCATTAGTTATCATAGTGATTTCTAACAGAACTTCCTGGAAGTACAATTTATTTTTTTATTAAAAATTAATCTTCTTTTGTAAAACCTAATTATGAAAGTTTTCTATTGAAGTTGGTTCTTGTTATAGCTTCATCCAAATATAAATTCATCAATTATATGTCCTTTATAAATTCATTATATAACAATTTTTGTTCATCCTTATTACACATATTAATAATTCTCTTTGATTTCAAATTAAATTAACTTAACAACAAGGTCTTTTCTTTTTTATTATCCATTCTCTCCTACAACATTTATGATTTCCTATCTCCTGATGTAAGAGTGTGTTCTTTACTCTCTGGTTGGTATCTTGATTTTGAAGGAGGATAATTTTTTGAAAAATTGAAAAATTATTACTCAAACATAGAACTTATCCTTTTCTTTTAAGGTCTAATCTAATATTTATTTTTCAATTAATCCTCTTCTATATTATGATTGTGTCTCACTTTGGCTTCATTTATTTTTGACTTAATAAAATCATTAGCTTTCTATTTGAATGCAGAATATATCTCTTCTTCTAAATACTCAGTTGAATTCAAGTCAATTCCATATTACAAAACTATTTTCAAAAGTTCTTTATCATAATCTATCTAAGTTATTTTCTACTGTTGAATTAAGGTACTACGCTTTTCATCTCCTCTTCCTGAATTAGTTGTACTTTTTGTAGTTTTTCCTAATTTCTATATAAAATTCTCTGTTTCCTCTTTCTCTTTTTTAAGTTATTCTATATGATCTTCAACATAATAATAAAATAGATTTTAATCATACTAAGATTTGGTCACTTAATCTCTGCTTGACATTTATTCAGATGAAGTTTAAAATTAACTTATTGCTCTCTTTCCAAGGTCTTACAATTTCTCTTAAGATAAAACCTTAGTTTTATTAATTGGAGCCTTAACTAAACCTAGATCTAGAAAACAATCACTATCTAAAAATGCTTTATCAAATTCTGTTTCAAACTTTACTTCATATTATTCATAAATCTTTTCTAAATCTGCTTCTTCTTAACCCAATTATCTAGCTATTTTCCTTCTTATTAGATAATTCTTTACTGATTCTATTAAATCTCTGTTATTTAATATATTCATCTTCTTTAGTTTGGTTTTTGTATCAACAAAAGTATCAAGTATCCTAAATTATTATAATTAACGATTAAATCTAATAATACTGCAATATCTTACCTAGCATCAGGTGTGTTATTTACTAATTTGAGCTTTGCTTTAACTTTATTTACCAAATTTATTACTCTGTCAGTACTACATCCGTCTTAATAATCCTATTATATCTTTGTATGCTGAGATATCTAAATATTTGGCAAAGCATTATTCAATTTATGGAATTTCAGATTTTAAGTCATTCAGTATATTTTCTTAGAAATTAAATTTATCATATCACAATCTAATAAATTTTATAATTTTATATAATAAATGCAAAATGTATAATGACAATTAACAAAACTTTATTCTTATCCTTAACTTAATTAAAATAGTATAGACTTCTGATTCCTACTATATTGAAAGAACATCAATATTAGCTCCATTATCTCTTTAAAGGGATGTAAATTTTATGTATATATAAATTTCGTTTGTTTAATTTAAGAACGAGCTCAGCTTCCGGAATAGGAGCCTCGCCCGCAACCTATTAAATAGGTTTAAACTTGGATAGGTTTTGCATTACTGAAAGAACCCATGAAGGATTAAGGTTTTTATATTAAATAATTTTCTTAAATATTAGAACATTAATTTATAATTTATGGGTTTATAATTTAATATATTAATAATTAAATATATATATATATCAATACATCTAACTATTCATTGTTATTCTTGTATGTTATTAGTTTTCAAGCTTTTTTCTGATTCTCTCATGCTACAAATGTATCGATCTAAGTTTATTTATATAAAGACACACTTTAATTATAAATATCATAAATACCAAAAAGTAGTAGAATTATCAAAACGAAACAAAAACTCAGTAATAATTAGATGATTGGATTATATTAATCAATATCGATTCTTTAAACAATTAGTTATTGAACATGTTATTCATATGTAGTATTATAAAATAAAGTGAATTATTATTATTCACTATTTTGAACATGAGAACATAAAATTCGAAATGGTAATTTAATGATATTGCCTATATAAAAGTTAGTACCAGTAACTGCTATAAGTTTATTATCATTCAAGATGAGATCATGTAATCCAATAAATTTCCATTCCATATCTTCAATATAATGTTTATTGAATCCTAGAACCACAATTTCATCCTGATTTTCACTTGTTTATAATTTCTGTATATTTTTCAATTTTTATATACTGATTAATTTGTAAGTGAGAATGTCATATTTATTCAACTAAACATTAGATGAAATATAAATAAATTTGTTAGTTGATTAAATCTTGTCAGGATTAATGAAATCTAAAGGATGTTGAGAGTCTAAACTTATAGATCCTTTTTCATTCATTTCAGCTACAATTAAACCTAGTTTCTAATCTAAAATAAACAATTAGTTAGGTTATATCTTATTATAACAAATTCCTATTGGATGTAAATGTAAATGAACAGTATTAGAATGAAATTTAATTGAAATTTCTTGGTTTGGATAATTATATAGGATTTCATAGATGTCAAAACCATATGAACCAACAGCAGTTATAATGTAATTGTTAAGATGATAAATTGTTTAATATCTTTATCCTCTATTGATAAGAAAGTATGGTATAATAGACCTATTTGATATCAATAAGATAGAGTCTTATTGATGTATAAAAATATTGTTGAATTTGTCTTTAAAAAAGGAAACATCAAAATCTTTGGATAAATAATCAGACAAGTTGATAATATCAATGGTTTTACGTTTATAAGCATCAATATAGTATAATTTAAGGTTGTCACTTATGATCAAAAATTGAGTATCATTCTTTTTAATAATTGCTATGAACTAATGAAAATAGAATTGAGTCTCATCCATGAAATCTATACTTCCATTATTTTAAAAAGATTTACTTGATCACATTGTCTTCTATGATTTTTAGTTAATCAAGGTTATTTTGGATGATTGGTTTATACATCTAACATTATTCATTGGTTGGTATCAATTCAGCATTAATTGCAGTAGGTAATGATATTTGTAATTAATGACTGTATCTATATATCTTGGTGTCATCTACAATCAATTATTTTGAAATTTATATAATCAAGAATATTATCATTAATAATAATAATAATAATAATTTTACATATGAATTAATTATTTAGATATTATTATCTATGTTAAATATATTTAAGAATGCTTTCTCTAAGAAATAAAAATCTGATAAGCAAACCATTTAATTTGAATAGTATGATCAATAACAATAAGATGATTCTAAAATAACAAATGATTTTCCAAATGATTTTCAAATTATTGATGAATAGGCAATGAATATTATAGAATCAGAGTATAATAATAAATAGCAAATACAATCAGAATATTAAGAAGAACAATAATTTTAAGAAGATTTAATTGAATATGAAGTTAAAGTAGATGATTCATTATATGGAATTGCACTTAAATTTAGTATTTGTGAAGATTACCTTATGAGAATAAATGACTTATCAAGTGATTTAATATTCCAAGGTTAAATCATTAAAGTACCAAAAAGAATTGAGAAGACATTTTCTGTTGTTCCTATACAAGAATAAAAGTAAAAAACTGAATATATATGGAATCCTGATACTGTTTCCTAAAAATGTATTATGATTCATCATTATAAATTAGTTGAAGTAATTTATTGTAATAATAAATAAAATGTCTAAGGATAATTAACTCTTACTTCTGATTTAGTTCTTTTTAATCCTTTATAATAAGATCATATTGAAGATAATAATTAAAAAAAAATAAGATTATAAGCATGTATCTCAATGAAAGATATTAATGAGGCTGTATATTATATCTTACCTAATAAAAATGGTCATTTAGATTATATTGTACAGATTTTATTATCAGGAATAGGCAAACCAAAATTTGAAAAGAAATACAGAAAATAATTAGATAGATATAAAGAATAGAAGAAAAGCATAGCTACTGTATTTTTTAGAGTAAATATGTGAAATAATTTATATTAGCATGCTGAAAGAGATCATACAGGTAAATTATATACAGAAGAAATCAAAAAATTAAATTGTATTACAATGGCTAGATTTATAACTGAAGCCTGTTCAAATTATACAGCTATTGTAGAATTAACTAAATTGCCTTTTATAGATTTCATTGAAGATACTACATAGAAATAAAATTTAGATGTAGATGTAGATGAAATTTAAGATGTTATTGGTGAACGTATGGGAAGTAAGATTATTAAGAATACTTAGAATTATGGGCTAGTTTGGAATATGTTCCTATTTTAAAAGGAATCTCAAATTGTTTTACTGATACTACCTATAAATAAGTTATTGAATCAATACCTGCTATTTATAGATTAGCCAATTGGAATAAAATTTATGATATTGAAATTGATGGATCCAGTTATTCAAATATGCTTTAAGAAATTAGATACATATTTCCAATTTTATTAATCATTAAGGATTTTGATCTCAATATTTTTGGTGCATATATTTCAAGTGAAATTAATAAATATTTTGAAGGTTTCAAAGGAAGTGGTGAAACTTTTTTGTTTAATATAGATATAGAAGTAAATATTAAATTAAATTAGAAAAATGAAGTACAAACTTACTTTTGGACTGAGAAGAATAAAGATTTTATTTTTTGTGATGAAACTGGTTTAGGAATAGGATGTGGAGATAAATTTGGACTCTTTATTGATTAAAGTCTTATATTTGGATATTCTAATCCTTGTACAACTTTTGATAATCCAAGATTTACAAATTATGAAAAATTTAGAATTAAACATCTTGAATTATGGACTATAGAATAATAATGAATTTGAGTACTATTTTATATCATTAAAATTTCAATTATAAACTCATTCATTTATAATTAAATTTATATCAGTTTACTTTATTTAACAATTTCTCTATTCTAATTTCTATTTTGATAATCATCATTAATATTATTAATTCTTTAATTTTATAAGAATATATGGTAATCTAAAAAAATGTAAATATAAAATTGGAGGAAAGATTTAAAAGAAATTTAAAAAGGATATTAAATTCTGTGTTTTAATATTACATATAATACAATAATTAACTATTACTCAACAAAATATTTACAAGATTCTCTACTAATTATAATATTTTAGTTGTGTATTATATAGTATTATCATGATAAAATTTAAGGACCTATTTTATTAGTGGTATCATTTATTAATTATGTTCTAATCTTTTAATTTAACTAGAAAACTTCAAATCAATAATGAAAGTCCTTTATATTGTGAAACCCCTAGATCTATTTTTCACTCTGAAAGAAATATTATCACTTCATCTCTATTTCAGAAACTTAAATTAAAGCCTATCTAAGACTTTTAAATACAAACTTAAACAAATAATAATTCAATGAAATCCTCACTAAAAAATAGCAATTGGTTTACTTATAGAGATTAGAGAGATCTGCTGAATTAATAGCGATTAAGACATAATAAGAAGTAGGTTAGTTTTAGTGATAAAATATTAATCATATAACCTAATAAAGGAGTCATCATAAGAGAAAAAATTCCTGAAATATCTGAGTAAATTAATGTTATTAGAACAAAAAAAAGAAAGAATTGTATATTAATTCATAGCTAAATAAGAACATTGAAAACTTGCTAATCTACTTTCATTGATTAGCTTTGACTCTTATTATAACATTTTCAATGTAGATATAAATATTAATTTTATTAAAAATAAATGGCTCAAGATTAGAGATCTCCTTTTGAATTGAGAATTTGGCATTTCTATACTGAGGAAGAGAAATCCATTACACTTCTTAATGCATATAAACAAAGAGTATTGTTCTCAGAAGATATCAAATCTTTCCTTCTCAAGGATAGATTAAATACTTGGTCCTATTGGGGATTCCCTCTTGCATGTTATGCACTCTTTCACTATACTGGAGCATTATAACCATATATAGCAACAAAATACTCAGTAGGTGCCTAAAGAATGATTCCTGCAGCAATATCTGGGTTACTTTGGCTTGGTTGGGTCCATTTCAATCCATTTTACACTACTTTATAAAGGTAACTAAATTCTTTATTACTCTTTTAGTGAAAAGTTGAGTTTACTCAATTTGATTGAAAGAAGAGTAGGCTTGAATATGAAGGCACTCAATGAATAAGTACCTCGTACTTGGACAACATAAGAGATTCACAGATAAATGAGAGAAGCTTATAATAATAGACATGGATTTTTCACAAACATACTATATCCAAGTGAGGAAAGAGCTTCCCCATTATAGGATATCTCATCATATCCATTCAAATACAGAAGAGATAAAATTGTTAAATGATAAATTCCAATATATCATTTAGAATAAAATCATATTAAATTCCATTATTTTTAACTTATCAATAATTTCTTAATATAAAGAGGTTTATATATTTTATAAAGAATTTTTATAGTACTTAATAAGATTATTATTATAATTTGATTGTCATGCATATTCATTTTTTAATTTAAGTTTCTATTCAGTTTATGACAATAAATTAGACTCTTTTTAATTATTTCTAAGTGTTTATAATTTTCGAGCCTTCTCTCTTTCTTGAATAATTAATTATTTTCGATTATGCTATAAAAATATATATATAGAATCTTACTTCATTATATTATGCCCACATTTTTTCATCTTCTTTTTCTTATTATCTTTTTTATTCGTTTTATTCTCTCTATTTGGCTTAATCATTTCTTATTTCTTATCTCTATTGTTCTGACATTCCTTTATAATGATAAGGTATCACTCTATGAGGAGCTAAAGCACTTTGACAAGTGGCAGTGCTATATTATAAGATTTTTGAATTACTTCTCTGTCCAAACATCATTGTTCATTATTTCTTCCATATGTTATTTCTTCTCAAGTTAAGCCTATCTAGCCATATATTCTTCTCTATCCTATTTTTCTTTTGCCAATTAATTATTGATTTGTTAATTGGCAATTTCCATTTCAACTCTTCTCCTTTATTACTCTTACTCTAATTCTTTTAAACTCTAATTAATCTATAATGTCTGCTGATCATATTATTATTATATTTATTTGTTCAATTGTTTTTTCTATTGATTCTCTTGGGTTTATTATTATACCCAGTCCTTCATTTACAGTTACTGTAATTTTCTTCTGTCTCCAGCAGCTAAGATAGAATATTTATATGAAAATACTTAAGTCTTCTCCATCAAGCATTTTTAAATTAGAAACTCCTACTTGATTTTTCATTTATGCATGATTGTATGTTGGATTTTGATAATGACTCATTAAATTTAATATACTTTATATTTTAATATTCAAGCATTATATACTCCAATTACAATAGCATGGTCTCTTTCGTAAGGTTCTAGAGTGAGTTATTCTTAAGGTGTAAGTCCTTCATCCTAAAATATTTATTTAAACATACTTTTAGACGTTACACTTCATGCTAAAATACAACTTCAGCACGATTGGTAGAATCAATACAATTGGCTTTAATTGATATCATAAAATGTCCTCCCTTTTTAAGGAAATATTGTGAATTTAATCCTACAATTCTGGCCTAATCAGGTTGTGCAACATCTGCAAACACAACATCTACCATTCCTACAAGCATCCTATATTCCAATGGTTTTCTTGCATCAGCTATAATAGGCACTATATTTGTTCTTTTCTTTGCCATATTTACTAGATCTCTTCCAGATCTATGAGAGAATTCAACTGCATAAACCACACCTAAAGTATATCATTATAAATCATACCTTCTGATCCTATTACATCAGAAACATGAGATACTGTTGTTCCTGATGCAGCTCCCAAATATAATACTTTAGCACCTGGTTTTATGAAAATATCGCTAACACCACCAATTATACCAGCAGCAATCTTTGATCTAAATGGGTTCCAAACTCTATATTCAACTTTCTCTCCAGTTTATTTGTCTTCCACTGAAATTCTCTTTTCATTATATACTGATTCTCCAGGCACCATATTCTTTGTCACTAAAGCTTCTTATTATCCTTTGGCTACAAAGACTCCTGCCAATCTTGGATGTGGAACCACAAAAGCTTTTGGAGCTCCTCCCATTCGACCTCCTCTGCCTCCTCTGGCACCACCTCTACCTCTTGGGGCTCCTCTGCCTCTGTCTCCTCCTCTACTACCTCCTCTGCTATCTCCTCTTCCACCTCTGAAGTCTTTACCCATAAATTATATTTTTAATATATTTAATTAAAAGTACAAAAGAAAATTGATTCTCTCTTTCAATTTTATTTGTAACATATGCAACATTAGAAACACTCCCTTTTAAATATTAAATTCATCTCTTGACTCCACTATTAACAATTTATTATCTAATAAATTGATTTTAATACTTTAAAAATACTTATTTAGATATTATATTAAGAATAATGAATTTTATTGTTATTTCTATTCATCTTTAGAATTCCTTTGATTATATAAAACTTATTAATATATTTTTAAACAAGAAATAAAAAGTTTTATCTCACATCAACAATTAGTTATTAATGTAAATTTTATATGGAGGCATAGTATACTCTTATCTATCTGAATATATAACCAACTTTATTGAACTGACTTTAATGTAAGAACGTTTAAATTTTATTCAAGTAATTAAAAAAATGTTAATATAAAATTTTAGATTCCAAAAAAATCACTTCACTTGTAGTAAATTAATTAGAATAATATTTGATGATTAAGAATCTATTTTATGTTTTTTGTAAACAATAATAACAAATTTTAAAGATAGTTAATATTAATACTGATCTATAGATTAAATATTTATAATCTGATATATAATCATTTCATTCCTTATTAATTTGGTTCTCATTTTCCATTTATAAAGTATCTATTATAAAATGTTTTTAATTATGTTTTTCTTTTGTGCTTATCTCAAAAAATTAAGATTTTCCATTATATTTAAAGTTGTCATTATATAATCGAAGATCATCACTTAAATTTTTTGTCTTTTATCTTCTAAATAATGGTTTTTATGAACCGTCTATATTACTTTTCTTATAAGTTTAATTTATGTAATCATAGACTAAAACATCTTGTTAAAATTCAACTTTTTTATTATTTTAATGATGAGGTAAGATAAATTAATCATTATCTACTATTTCATTGTTCTCTGTTGAGTTTTTCCTCGATGAATGTTACATTTTAACATTAAAACATAGTTCCTACTATATTGACCTTTTGATATAAAACTTTTCATCAATCTCAGGCAATTTTATATATTCCATTTTCTCTACTGATTATTGATATTTTGGACTAATCAAATGTTTTTAATCTGTATTTTCTTAAGGTACCTAGATTTATGGAAATATTATTTTTCTCTAATGTTAAGGAGAACCTCTTTATTAGTCATGCTAAGGAGAATGTATATGAGAATTAAATAATCTTTCTGAAATCTATTTTTTTAGGAGAAATTTTTTGATAGGCATACACTCTTATTATTCTGTATTCATTTAGTTAGTAATGAAGAGAGATTTTATCCACTTTAAATTATAAATTATTAAAAAAATCAATCCATCAAAATCTGAAGTATTATTTACAACCTTTATTTTAATTAATATTATAACTATTAACAAAATATATTAATGTTATATTACCAATCTTACCTCTATTTAGACTTAAGTCAAAATGAACAAAAATGAAAGATGCTTCATATATTATATGAACAAAGAGATAATAAATTTTAATATTTGTGCTAACATTAATATTCAGATCACATTCATTATTATTATGGAACTTGAGCAAAAATATTTAACTCCTCAGAACTTATTATAATAAATGAAAATTGCTCTATTGATTCACTAATTTTGACTGGAGGAAAAGGATAATCATTTATAACCAATTAAAATAATTTTNTTAGTAAATTAATTAGAATAATATTTGATGATTAAGAATCTATTTTATGTTTTTTGTAAACAATAATAACAAATTTTAAAGATAGTTAATATTAATACTGATCTATAGATTAAATATTTATAATCTGATATATAATCATTTCATTCCTTATTAATTTGGTTCTCATTTTCCATTTATAAAGTATCTATTATAAAATGTTTTTAATTATGTTTTTCTTTTGTGCTTATCTCAAAAAATTAAGATTTTCCATTATATTTAAAGTTGTCATTATATAATCGAAGATCATCACTTAAATTTTTTGTCTTTTATCTTCTAAATAATGGTTTTTATGAACCGTCTATATTACTTTTCTTATAAGTTTAATTTATGTAATCATAGACTAAAACATCTTGTTAAAATTCAACTTTTTTATTATTTTAATGATGAGGTAAGATAAATTAATCATTATCTACTATTTCATTGTTCTCTGTTGAGTTTTTCCTCGATGAATGTTACATTTTAACATTAAAACATAGTTCCTACTATATTGACCTTTTGATATAAAACTTTTCATCAATCTCAGGCAATTTTATATATTCCATTTTCTCTACTGATTATTGATATTTTGGACTAATCAAATGTTTTTAATCTGTATTTTCTTAAGGTACCTAGATTTATGGAAATATTATTTTTCTCTAATGTTAAGGAGAACCTCTTTATTAGTCATGCTAAGGAGAATGTATATGAGAATTAAATAATCTTTCTGAAATCTATTTTTTTAGGAGAAATTTTTTGATAGGCATACACTCTTATTATTCTGTATTCATTTAGTTAGTAATGAAGAGAGATTTTATCCACTTTAAATTATAAATTATTAAAAAAATCAATCCATCAAAATCTGAAGTATTATTTACAACCTTTATTTTAATTAATATTATAACTATTAACAAAATATATTAATGTTATATTACCAATCTTACCTCTATTTAGACTTAAGTCAAAATGAACAAAAATGAAAGATGCTTCATATATTATATGAACAAAGAGATAATAAATTTTAATATTTGTGCTAACATTAATATTCAGATCACATTCATTATTATTATGGAACTTGAGCAAAAATATTTAACTCCTCAGAACTTATTATAATAAATGAAAATTGCTCTATTGATTCACTAATTTTGACTGGAGGAAAAGGATAATCATTTATAACCAATTAAAATAATTTTTTAACTGTGTCAACTCTTAATCCTAGTTTGTCATCCACTTATAATTTATAAGTGAAAAAGTTTCCAAACTCTACCTTTCCTCTTGCAAATTTTCCATCAGGTAATATGACATAATAAGATTGTTTTTTTATTTCAATGTTCCCCAAATCATCATCTGCTATAATACCAACTTAAAATTCAATTTCATCGTTAGCGATAAGTAATTCAAATTCAAATTACCCTGAAAGTTTTTCACGTGATATATAGATATTTTTTTCTAGTTCTTATTCTTATTTTTAGACTTTATTTATATCATTCATTGTCACTTTTTTAAATTAATTTTATTATTATTGACTTTATTTTAATTGCTTCAATTCCTATTCAAGTTTTTCCAATCTCTATTTTTATGTATTTAATTCCATATCTTTTATTAATTTTTCTTTCTCTTCCTTGTTTTACTCTTTCAAAACTAATGGAATTAGTATCATGAATTCAATCAATTTTTTTCCTTTTGCCAATTATAATTTGATTGACAATTCAGCATTTTCATTTGTCATTTTCAAATATACAGAGCTATTCTTATCAAAGATGCTTTAAATATGTTTATCTATCTCTGATGATAAATCTTCTAATTCTTCTCCGAGATCTTGTGTTTAGGATAAGTAATCTTTAGCTGTTATAAATCCTCTATATTCATTGAATTTCTCATAATCTTTTACTTCAACATATAATAATAGTTCATTATTAGTTTATTTTTATTATTGGATTTATTATTAAAATTCTGCTAATTTCTGTTCTAATGGCACCCAAGCATTATCAACAAAGATATTATATTACCCTTGTTAATCTTGACCAGAAGGGAATTCTTATCCATTACTAAGTTTTACTTTTTATCCTTAACCATCCCCATACCCAATATTTTCATTTGGTTGAACCTGGATTAATTCATATGTAATTTATTTTTGATTATTCTATGGCAAATCTATTTTAATGAATTATACATACCTTGTGTTATTGTCCATACGATTTCAATATTTTTATCTTAAAAGTGATGCTTCTTACCTTGATTCATTGTATTTCTATTAAATATATTAATAAATTTTTTAAAATGATATTGAATTTATGTGGCAGGTTATGATAGAATTAGATAAATTTATATATATAACAATAAGATGATTTAAATCAAAATAATTATTTTCCATATTAGGTAATACTTTGAATAATCTCTTAGTGACTTCAAAATAATTAATAATTAGAAATCGAATATTCTATATTTTATTTATGTATATTAAAAATTTAAATTAAATTTATTAACAAAGCACATTATAATAATATAAATGATTATAAAATAGCTAACCATTTAAGTAATTATTGATATGATTTAAGTATAAAATATGTGATTAATAAAATTACAAATTGATCAAGAAAACCCTTAAAAAATTACTAAAGGTAGAAGCATTAATAATATAAGAATATACTAATAAGGAATTTCATTTATATATTTTTATAGTATTTATTAAGGATACTTGTTTTAGTTTTAAAATATTCAGAAGTACTAAATTCAGTTTATTTTAATTAGTATACTATATTAATATAATTTTAAATTTCTATGTATTTCAATAATTATATTATATATTTTATAAATCAAATGGGATAACTTTTTTCGATTCCTTAAAAAGATTAAAATCAATAAAATGTAGTTCTTTAAAAATAATTTAAAGAATCTACTGAATCTAACCAACCATGTGTTACTATTTCAACACATAGACCATAATAGTCTTTAGGAGAGACTAATAACTAGGATTTTCCATGTTCATTAATAATTTAAGACATTGACTAATAACAATTTTAACAAGAAGGTGATAATAATAAGATTGTTTCTATTTTTGAATCTAATTAATAAATCTAGATTGATGCTAGTGGAAGATTGGTTAGAAGTTAATAAACTTTAAATAAAATTCATAAATGCTTTTTTTGCAATAAAGAAATTGAAGAAATACTTATTTAAGTATTTTGTTAACATAATTATCATCATGATTGTTTTGTTAAATTAATTGAATAATAGTTACTTTAATTTGAAAGACAATATATTAAATGTAAATGTGGAACTAAATTGAATCCGAATCTTTTGAGATAATTAGTCAATAAAGAAGTTAGATCTAAATTATTGTATTAAATATTCTCTTCATAAATTTAAATCTTATTGAAAAATTCAGCAATAAGAAAAAACCCTGATTATGATCAAATTGTTTAACTCTTTAAATCAAATACAATCTAATAAGATTTTGATTATTAATAATCTATTAATTAAAATGAACAAATGTAAATTAAATTATAAGAAATTTAATTTAAATCTAATGGAATTTTATATAAAAGTGAATCAAAATTATTAATTACCAGCTTTTGTTAAGTATGTCAGAAATAAATTCATAATGATGATGTAGTTAAATTACATTGCAACCATTTTTATCATCTAAATTGCTTTAAGGAGTGGATAGAAATTTAAATTATGGATAGAACTAAATTTTTAATTAAATGTATGTGTGGAAACAAATTAAACACAAACATCATAAGAACTATTCCAGATCTATCCAATCGAATGAAATTACTTAGTTAGTTATTTTCTTAATAATTAATATAGATCCTAAAATTATTAAAAAAAAAGGAAGATTTTATCTAAATTATGGATATTTTTCATACGTATTAGAATTCAGAGGACTATGATTATATTACCCATACTGGTTTTATTTATTAAAGCAATACTTCTACCCCAGGAGGAGAATGAAAATTATAAATTTCTAATATTATATCATAATATATATATCATATATTTTAAAGAATATGTTTATAATAAAACAGATTTTCATAAGACATAAACAAAAAATCAATAATTGAAATTAAAATTAATCTAATTAGCTAATAAGTTGGTAATTCAATTAATTTAATAATATATATAATAAGCATAAATAAAAATAATATTAATGTATTTCAATTAATTGTTTACAATAAATAAAATATTTTATCAATCCAAAAATTACTGTTTCTATAATATAAGTTCATGTATTAAACTACTATTTCTAATTATATAATTATTTTATATATTTATTTTTCTTATTTTAACTATTTTTAAATCAATGCAATCATTTAGGTCTATGAAGTTTAATAAATAGCTTTTTTAGATTGAGAGGTTTGTATTTATTGTTAGAATTAACCCTTCTTTTCTTAGAATAAAGTTAAAATTAGTATGGTATTGAGTATTCAATTATCAAAAATCGCATTTAGAATTTATTTTAGTTATAAATTGAAATATATTATAATTTAAATTATCAACTATGAGTTTGTATATACCCCAATATGAATATTAAATATATTAACCTCTTTAAAGTTAATTAAGCATATGTATATTGAATAATTAATAAATCCTTTAGAAATTTTGCTTTATCGCGATAAAGATTTAAATATGACAACATTAAAAGAGTAGAATATAAACTAAAATCATTTTTTTAATTTTAATTTTCAGTTTTTGGAATTTTAATAATTTAGAGATTTTTTAGAATTTCTAACAGTTGATCAATAATATATTTTTCTATTATAATTTTTGTAAATTAGTAATTAAATAATCTAAAATTATTATTTCTTATTATTTTTTGTTCCTTAGTTGTTTAATAAGGATTTCTTACCTGGATATTAGATTATTTAGGTTTTGGAATGACAATAAATTTTATTAATCATTTTTGTGGTAGATTCATATTTTCCCATCATTTTTATAGATAACTTTTGAAATATTAAGTTTATTTTATTTAAAAAAATTGAGGCAATAAACATGGCAAGAATTACAGGAATTACAGGAAATTAAAAACATAGATTTTTTGAAAGTTCCTATCCTAAACTAAGAAATTTAATTAAAGGTTTAAAAATAGATTTGATCAAAAAAAATCTAATTTTTTATAACTAATTGCATTAGAATATATTAGCTGATCCATGGTCCATAAGATATCTCACTTAATATTTTTACTAATAATAATTAGGGTTGTTATAAGTAAAATAAAAATAATAGATTTAGAATTATTCAAATAAAATAAATATCTATTTTAATGTAATTGAAAATATCTATTCATATTTTAATTTTTCTTTAATAGTTGTTAAAATTTAGTATATTAGAGTTTGTTTGAATAGTATACATAAAATATTGGTGATTTATTAATTTTTTGAATATCCATTATTATTATTGTGTAGATATTATTTTTTTCTAAATTTGATAATTAATGTATAAATGTTCTTTAAATTTTGAGGATAAAAAATTAGAGGATTAGTTTTAAAATGAGAAACTATAAAAGATAAGAAAACCTGTATATTATGCTACATTTATATTTTTTGTTTTAAATGGAATGAAAGCTATTTTAGAATTTGTAAGAGGGACAAGCTTTTCATCAGAAATTAATATTGGTTTTGTGATAGTTTAAACAATAATGGCAGTGATGGTGTTCAAAAACTAAAGTTATATAAAGTAAGCATTAGTTATAACTAATATAATGTCTGGATTTTTACAAATGAATTTTAATGAAGAGGCTACTGCAAAGTAAGAGTTCTATTCTTTTGGGAATAGTTATGCTTTATTTTAAGCAATTGGTTATTTTATTTCAGATTTTAGAGATGGAGTAATATAAGCAATTAGTCATTTAACAACAAAGATAATTATTACAAGTATTCATTCAAAAAAAGTGGATCCACTTTGTACAAGTTTGGCTATAACAAGTACTTTTTTTATAGTACTTACAATATATGTAAGTGATTACAATTATAGAAAATAATTTCTAGCTAATATTTCAGATGATGTTTGGGATAAGTAACTTCCATTTTTGGTTAAGAAGCCTTATATAAAATTCACTCATAAAAATACATATTTTAATATAACTAGTTGTAATTTGATTGAAAGATTTGCTGGTTATAAAAGTGATTATTGTTTTGGATGTAATGCAAGAGAATTTTTAAGTGAAACTAAAGTCAACAATATATCTCTTTTAAATAAACTTCTAAGTGATACTATTACATTAAATACTGATATTGAAGCTCATTTAAAATGTTTTAGATTTAATATCAGGGTTTGTATGTATGGTTTTGAAAAGATGAATAGAATAGTAATTTTAGAAAAGGTGATGACAAAAGAGAAAGGCAAGTAATTTTCATTTGAATTTCGAAAGGATTTAGTTTAAACATTAAAATAAGGTTAATAAAAATTTCAGTTTTTGTTATTCTATAATTGGGGAATATAATCATGTTTATTGATCAACAATAAGTATATTAAATAAATATCTTTGATGGATGTGATTTCAAAATTAAATAAGAATTACAAAAGGTATTTGTCTCCTATAAGGATTATTTCTATCAGCAAATCTAAATTATAAATTAGAACATATTCAAATTTAATAAAAATCTATTTATTTCAAATATATCATATTCTGATAATTACTTAACCAAGATCTAGAGATTATATAGATGCATTTGTGAAAGAGAGTGAGGAATATATTGAATTCCAATTATAATTAAGGGATGTGAGAGAGTTTTGTGATCATTATTCCAAAAACATTTTCGTTCATCAAATTGAGAGAGTAATTTTATGGGAGAGAGTGAAGGATGATTTAAAAATATAATTTAGTAAATAAATTTCATTTAAGTGAAATAATTTTATTCATGGTCAAGCGTCTCATAATTAAATTGATAATTGAAGTCGGTTCTACTGTAGCCAAGTCTTTTGTTAAAGCATATTAATAAAGTGCAAAATGTATAAAGTTAATAATTAGATTAGAATCAGGAGGAAAAGCAGGAAATCCATTTACAGAATTTTTGAATCAAACTATGTAAGCTGCAAATCTAACTCATAAGCCTATGACAAGAGAAGAAGCATTTAAGATACTACAATTAGTTCCAGAAAAAACAAGTCCAGAGGATATTATCAGAGTATATAGAAGGATTATAATTTGTAGGTTTATTGGAGATAATTCCATAAGAATGATCCTGTGAAGGGAGGATCATTCTATCTTCAATCAATGTTACACAATGCAAAATGTGAATTAATGAAAGACTTTGCAGATATTAATGAGAAGGAAATCTTAGACAAGATCAAAAAAGAAGGAGAAAGTTAGAAAGGAGATGAAGAAGGGTAGAAGGATGAAGCAAAAGTAGAAGAGAAAAATGAAGAAAAGAAGGAAAATTGAATTCTTAAGTACTTATTTTGAGGATTGAAATTGATATATAAATTTAATTATGTTATAGAGATTGTCTGCAGTAATAAGAAGACCAATATTCTGGCATGGCACACATCATCATCATGATAGTAATGATGCTACAAAGAGATTGTTTGATACTGTTTCAAGTACAGTTAAAGGCATACAATAAATAAATTATGTGGTTGAACATAATCCAAAACTCACAACTGAAGAGAAGTCTAAAATGAAACAATTTTTGATTTATAGATATGATCCAGCTGTAGGATTTCATTTATTGATTTTAGGATGAAAATGACTTTCCAAAATATGTGAGTTATTATGTGGATTTGAAGAAGATACCCCCTATGTATTTGGATGCATTATTGTACATCAAAGACAATTATGATTCATCTCTATCCTTACGTCGTTCATGCAGAGAGGGTATCTGTGGATCTTGTTCTATGAATTGCAATGGTCTCCATAAATTAGCATGCATCCATGCAATTGATACTGATTTAACTTAACCAGCCTACATCACTCCTTTAGGTCATATGTTTGTTGTGAAAGATCTTGTTGTTGATATGACCAACTTCTACACTCAATACAAAACTATTGACCCTTATTTGAAGAGAAAGACTCCAAAAGTATAAGAATCTAATTTTATCATTTTAGGAAGGAAATAAAGAATACATCCAATCAGTTGAAGATAGAAAGTTATTAGATGGTCTCTATGAATGTGTATTGTGTGCATGTTGTTCTACTTCTTGTCCATCATATTGGTGGCATCCAGATAGATATCTCGGTCCAGCTGTATTGATGTAGGCTTATAGATGGATTGTAGATTCTAGAGATGAGTATACTGATGAAAGATTAGAAAAATTAGGTATTCTTATATTTCTATATTAATAGCTGAGGATGTTAAGGTAGAGGATTGTTAAAATATTGGAATGTGTTCTTTTACTTGTCCAAAGGGACTTGATCCATAAAGATCTATGAATCACTTAATGAAATTGATAGAAGAATATAAAGAAAGAAAGATTTCATCAGCCACATTATGACATTATCATAACATAAATAAAAATATCATAGAATACTTGTTTGTTAAGTTTTTTCTAAATTCACTTATCTTTGATCTATATTTAGGACAACTAAAATTTTATATTAGCCAAGACTTAATGCAATAATGTAAATGAAAATGATGCTATTAATTACAAGGCAGAATCAACAATTATTCATTACTACAACTTATTAACAAATTCCACATTCCTAATCACCTTATACATTTTGATTCTAATAGATCACTTTTGAACTTTTTATGAGTTCATTCAATATTTGCTGATTATCATAATTCTATTTTCTTTACTTTAACATATTTCATAATATCATTAATACTCTCAATGGTAATGATATCAATACTATTAAACATAAGATATACTCTTCCCCATATTAATACAATTATATTAATAAAAATATCATTTAAAAAGTAGCTAAATTACTATAGCAAACATCTAATGGTTCCATAATCATTTATAAACAAAAATCCCAAATTATGAGTATTTGATTGACTAAAGCATTAAAATATTACATATAACGAATGTTTCTAAGTCTTAATGCAACTTCTGATTTAATTTGTTCTTTAAGGATGAACTATCGTCTTTTTGTATCTTCCAAACTCAAAAAGTTATTCGAATCTTAATTTTAAGATACTACTAATTCAAATGGTTGATAGCCTTAGGGTTCAGATTGATATTGATGTTGTTCAAATTAAATTGTCTGATTTAAACTTTATGCTATTTCTATTACAATTCTATAGAATTGCTTATTTACAATACTATGTTGTTTAAAGATTGATATAATTTGGTATTATAGATATATTCTATTATAGAATCTATTTAAAAATATAAGCTTTTTTGCACTTTACAAACACTTATAAAAAAATAAAAGTAAATCTCTTATTTATTAACATTATTTAATTATAATATTTTTAGCATTATTATTTTTCTTTTGATTTTTTTATATCATAAATATCATAATTATATAAGATACATTAATTATTTTATTGAATATAAATCACTATTATTATTATTATTATTCTGGTTCTTCTTCAGGTGGTATCTACTCAATAAATGGACAAATCTCTTACCAAATTCTTATCATCCCATTGGAACCTTTAGATTTGATTATTATTAATATTTACTTGCAGTAATCAATAATCTACCAATAATATAAATTCCTCTAATTTCTTCTTTTGTTAATTCATATGTTTTGATTAATAATCCTTTTTCGATATTCCAAATACTTAATCTACCATCAGAACCACCTGTTATAAGATGTTTACAATATAGAAAACTACATAAAATTGATCCTGTATGACCATCTTTAAATGTTCTAAATATAATTAAATAATTTACTTTAATTTTGTACCTTGTTCTACATTCATTAGATCACTTACTTTATCCATACCTCCTACAAATAATAGATTATTGCTAATCATGTACAAATGTTACACTTTTACTGTAGCAACTGTTCTTAAAGTTTTCAATATAATTTTTGGACCTGTTTTTTCCTAAAATCATATAGAAAACATTAAATTTACTCTTTTATATGTTTTGACTCTTCCATCAGGGAATCCAGCTGCAAATACATCTTTATTATAAGTAACCAATGATATTACAAATGTTCTATCTACTGGTTCTACATGTTCTAAAGCACTTGATACAAAATTGACTAATTGAATCTTTCTATCTTCTGAGGCTGTCACAATACTACCATCAACATATAAAATAGAATAAACTCCTTTTTCATGATGTTTGAATTTGATATCCATTTACCAAATACCATCATGTTATTTCCATCCAATTACTGTTCCTTCTTTATTACCTGCTAACAACATTCCATTATGTACATAAACACTCAAAATTTCAGCTTCATGATATAATACCTTATTGATTCCAAATGTTTAAGCATTCCATATAATAACTTATTTATCTTCTCCTGCAGTGATAAATTCATCTTTATTAAGGAAGACTATTTGATTGATTTTACCTTCATGTTTACTCATTTCTAAACTTGGAAATTTACCAACAATTTAAGAATCAGTATAAAGTGAAGTAGATTTTAATGTATCTACATGAGGAATTAGAGTACCAATTAACCATTAATAAGGTTATTTTCTACTAATAGGAATTTATTAAGGAAAATTTAATAATTAAAATCCATTTGAAGATATAAAGTATATTTTAGGTTATTTTGATCTAATTAATTCTGTATTCTATAGATTTGCTCCTAATCTCCATAATCCTTATTATTATATTTAATCAATTTCCATATAGAAATAAGTTTCTTCTCTTTAGATTTTAATTATTTGAGTTGAATCTTTAATGATTTCTCCATTTTCTTTAATTAAAAAAATAGAGAAATTTTCTTTAGAGATTTTTGCATCTACTAATAGATATTTTTTATCTATAGATTTTAATTTATGTGGAAATTCTTAATCCATCAAAAATTAACTAATATTTGGAAAGATTCTATCTTATAATGACCAAACAACCATCTTACCTTAATTAGTAAATGTAAGTAATCTTTTTTCATAACTTACACATTCTCCTTAATATAATTTAACTGGAGATTGAAAATATTTTTAATTAGCAATTTTAAGTTCATTAACAGTTTCTGGAGATGGTACAAAACTAATATGACTACCTTAAGCAATTAATACTCCATCCTCATTTTATAAAACACTATTAACTTATTGATCAGAATGTAAACCAATATTTGGACCTCTTTCAAGTGAATCAATTCCTAAAGTATGTAATACACCATCAAGTCCTCCAAAAATCAAATAACGTTGATCCAAAGAAATAATCTATAATATTGGTTATCCACCACTAAGATAACCTTTGATTTAAACTTATTTAATGAGTGTTCCACTCAAAGGTTGATCTAATGATTTTTCAATCTTATAAATAAAAATGGATTTGTTATTCTCACATAAGATGGCAATTTAATCATTAGTAATTGAAACCATCTTATTGATAGGATCAACAGTTTATGTTGAAGATTCAACTTCAATGATTGAATCAATAGATAATTATAATTGTCTAAAATCTACTTTGACTAAAACCAATTATCCAATAACAGTACCCACAGCTAATCCTTCTGCTCCTACTTTACACATAGAATTAGTTTTCTTATTGATATTAAGTGAAGTTTATAAAATGAATTATTAGGTTTCATCATCTTTTTTCAACCAAACTATATAACCAGTATTATCAGAGATAATGACATTATCATCATCCCAAATAATAATTGTATTGACAAAATCAGAGAATACACTATTAATTGTACAATCAACCAAATAACTATCCAAATTCCAAACATAAATACTACCATTTCTATTTGCAGCAACAATCAAATTAGGTGATTAAAATGCACATTATACAACTTCTTAAGAATCTTAAATAGATTTAGTAAGATTGGGATAAGTTTTTAATTATGATGTATTGATAATTTAATTAACCACATCAAATGCTTCATATGGTTCTTTTAATGAACCCAAAATCCAAAAGTAAGGATATAATGTACCATGTTCTTATTATGGTAATTGGGGTAATTAATATTTTTATATATGATTTGGAGTCAATACATACATTTCTTCTATAGAATCCATACTTAATTTAGGTAGACATGCTACTAATTATAAAATATCTCTCTTATTTTATAGATTTGAAAACCTAATTAATTGTATACCATCTTTTGGATTTTAATTTTATTCAATGTCTTAATCAGTTTGTATTACTTATTTATCTAAATAAATATTAAGGATTATATATTACTTTCTAAAATTATATAAAAATTCAAGAAACCTTCATTAGGTTTATTTACAAGTAAGACTACTAATTGAGATTGTTGAGGTTTGTGTATAATGTGAAAATTGTTAATTGAATTTGTAGATAATGGATGTTATTCATTAATTTCTTTAATTTAATCATAATATTCAACATGTTAAATAAAGATTTTACCTTTATTAACTAAATTTATAATAAATAATATAATATACTTTTATTTTGTAATAAAGCCTTACAAATTCCTTTCTCATTTGAACGATAGCTATATAATTTATTATTTAATTCATCATGAACTTTAATATAAACATTTGGAACTGGATATTTGGTTACCAAATCTATAAATTAAAATTAAATAAGATTTATTTAATTTTAATGAGCAGATGGAGGTTATAAATATTTAGGTTTCTTTATCTTCAAATCACTTGATGGTTTTATTGCATGTTTTTTATCTAATGCATCCTATACAGGATCATATCCTTCTTCTTAAGTATTAGCTTTTATTAATTCATATTTGAATTCACATACTCCAGCCTTTGTAGTTATTTAATCCTGATAAACTAGATATCCTGGTTTCTTAACAAATATTGTAAATTAATCAGGTTCTACTACAATTTCATACTTTCCACTTCCTAAAGGAGATTCTTTCAAAACAGCATCTTTTCCACCTTTCATTGGAACTATCTCTACTTTACATTCAGTTACTGCTGCCAATTGACAAAGTACTATAACTACAATACAAGAATGTGTTTGTTTTTGTAATTCAATTAATTGATCAAGAGGTAAATCCTCATTGTTTAATTAAAACAAATTAATTAACTATTAACTATTAAATTTTCAATATTACATGAGTTTTACTAAGAAAATCATTTGTTTCTTCAATAATTACTTCATAAACATCCAGAGGTACATTTTTTAAAGAAATTCTACCATCTTAATTTGTTCGTTCTATTTTATAAGAGTGATTCTCTTCTGCCTCTTTCAAACTTCTTTGTGATTATCCAGATATATTAGAATAAGCTGACTTTGGTCTAGTTTAAGCACTTTATGGTCTTAACATTCTATTAGATCTAGATGTTATTACTATATTAAAATATAGAATTTATTTATTACACATAATGTTTTAAGATCGTGATTGAACAGGTCTATAAGGTTGTATTTTGACATCAATATTTTTTAATTTCTAATCAGAATCAGCAAATTTCAAATCTATATTGAATGAAACCTTCTTAAAATATTAAGGCAACTTATTAATAATCACTGATGTCTATGGCCATGCTTTAGTATTAAGTTTGGATCCAATTACAGCTTATTTGATTTATCCTTTTTATTTAGACATCACTTAAACTTCAAAACATCCTTAAAGTTATTTTCTATATAGAGAATACCTAAACGACGCTATAAAAACATGGTGTCTATACTATGATCAAAATGATCATATATTAATGGCTTAAGAATCACTTTAACAATTGGAAATCGTTAGATAATCTCATTCTTAAGGGCTTAGGCATATGATAGATAACGTGCTTCGTCATGTTTTGTAGATCCCAAATGTTCATGACAATTAGTACTGCAATTAATTTACTCTGTTACCAATATTCAATTGTAACAATAACATCTTCTTCTGAAATATCTTTGAATTCTCTAAATTCTCTAAAGCCTTGATGTTACTCACTCTTATTGTGAATCTCTTCATTCTTCTCCCATAACTCTTAAAATGTTCGTAACTTCTTAATCTTCACATTCGTGTACGACAATCCAGCATCTGAGTGTTCGTACTTAATCATCCGACTACACTTAATAACATTTGTATAAGTACTCATAACGGAATATTCCTAAAGAAATCCACGGTTTCTCATGTATTTCCTTATCAAAATGATTATCACACAGTCTACTTTCTAAATTCTAATTACCTTGACATCACCATTAATGATTAATTCTAAGTAAACTTCTAAGATCTCTTTGTTGGTTAAGAAAGTTGGGATAATCTGTCTGATTCATGGTATCTCAACATTAATTTGTATTTATATATATATATATTAGATAATAATAATAAGTTTCAAAATGAATGTCGTTTATAATGAGGATTTTATAATTCTTCTTAATCATCTTAGTCTTCATCATCCTCATCCTCATATTCCATATTTTAAACTGCTTCAAATCCTCCCATTTATTATATTTATTCCATCTATTCTTCTGTCAATCCATATTATTTAGCTATAATATAAATATATATATATATATACCTATTGCATCTTTTTATAGTTTTTCAAGTAACTTAGGATCTAAATTATCAATATCAATTTAATCATCATAATCACCATCTATTTCCTAACCATCATATTCTCTCAAAGATTATTCTGCTTATTCTCCTACTTAATCTACTCCTTCTGGATCTTATTAAGATATTCTCTCTGACTCTTCAACTTCCTATTCACCAATAGGATTCATATAATCAAATTACTCTTATTATTCTTATTCTTCCTAAGGTTATTATTGACTTTTAGCTGCTTCCACTTCCATCAATAAAGGTCTCTAATATACTCTAACAAAGATTTCTTTCATCATATTATTAAAATCTTCCTCTTCTTATCTTCTCTTTTAATATTATTCAATAAATTTTTATTATTATCTTTCATATTAAACTTAATTATGATCTTAAATTGCCCAAGATTAATGAACTCTTGGTCTAAATAACTATTTTTTATCCTCTCTTTATTTTTATTCCTCTTCATTTTATTAATCTAAAGCAAGTTGATTCTATTTCATTGTAAATATATAATCCACATATGCATTAAATTTATCTGTTGATCTAGGTTAAATCTTAGGTTTCTTTGAAGTTGCTTTCTTTGCTTTTTTCAATGGATCTTCTTTTTATACTGATTTCTCATTCAAATAATCTCTTTGAGCTCTCTTTTTACTTTCATGAAATGTAGGTCCAATTGGAATAGTTGATTTTTATTTCTTTTTCTTTTATTCCAATTACTTTTAGAATTGATCATGCAATTTATTAAAATTAGGAATAGATTTAGCTCTGACTTTTCTAGGAGAATCATGATGAGATCTTAACAATAATTCTTATTATTTCTCTTATTCTTGCAATTTCATCTTCTCAATCCATTCTTACATACGAGGTGGCAATTTCGAATTCTCTTATAACCAAAACTTTCTAATCTTCTTTCTATTCTCACTTCTAATCTTCTACTCTTGAATATTACGTTCATATAATTTCAATGAACAATACCAAGGAATAGGATTTGCTCTAAATTTATATGGTTCCTCTTCTTCTTCAGGTAATTTAATAGGTTATTCTCTTTTTCTATCCTCAAAATTAAATGGTTTCTGCATTTATTAAGTCTTTTCTTTGCATCTTTCTTTCAACTCTCTTCTTCTTATCTCTTCTCTCTCCAACAATTCATTATAATAATTCTTATCCTTCACCTTATATGGTATTGCTTTTGCCTTAAATGGTCTAAATTTATAAGCTTCCTCTATTTCCTCTTATTTTTATCTAACTTATTCCATTACCCATTTTTCCCTTATACTTGGCTACTTATTCACATCTCTCTTCTCTTATCCAGTCTTCTTAGGTACAGTAAATTACATCTTTTCCACATTAATCTCTTGAAATGGTTTTCTAGGAATTGATCGTTTCCTTACTTTCTTCTTTTCAGGTTCTGGAGGTGGAGGTATCTCTTACTTTGCAGTCATCTAATAGAAATAATCATCAGATGATTCAGATTAAACAGAGTGTTCTTACTCTTATAGTTATGGTTCTTCCTCTTGATCATTTGGAAGATTATCAAGAAAATACATAAACTAATTCCATGATAATTATTCATCAGGATTATTCAAGTATCCTATTTCTATTTGTTATAATACACTTTCCAATAGTAAATTCAAACCAAAAATAACAACATGAACAGCATATACAAACAATTCACAATTTTAACGAATTGCTTTAATTGCATTATCAACAGTAGCCAAACCATTCTCACTTACAGAATCAAAGGCTTCCTTTATATTTGATATATCTTGCAATAATAAGATACGAGGACTATTCTCAAATAGATTGACTTATTTATGAATTGGATCAAATAAATGAACATACTCTCTAAATCCTTTTTCTGGTTTAACCTTCTAATATTTTTACAAAAATTAAATGAATTCATCTTGTTTTAAATGAAATCTTTCTTTAACAGGAAAAGAGTCTAATGCCATTTAGAGTGATTGTCTATCAAATTAAAAGAGTGTCATTATTAATGGGTTATCATACATAAAATTTTTAATCTATAAATGATGTACCTACCCTTTACGATGAGGATCTATTTGAGTATAAAAGAAATCAAACATTTCTAAATCATTTGGATCTTTGGTGACCCATTTTTAAAGTGCCTCTGTCTGTTAGTCCAATAATTTAAGTAGTTTGAATTCTTATTCTCTCTATAGTCGTTCTCTTTAGTAAAATGAATAAAATCATACCTTTTTCTACGTAAATACATTTTGAATTAGAATATGTAATGTCTCCTTTACAAAACTTCTTCATTATATTTGCTTTAATAAGGTTTTTTCTCTTCAGGAATGTTACAATCTAATGATTCTTCACTTTCTTCAGTTTAAATCTTTGGTCTTTTTCCTTAAACTCTTCTGAGGATTTCACATATCTTATCTCTGGAACGTTACTAATTAGATCAACCAAATATATACTATTTTGGCATTGATAGTGTTATCTTTGATACTACGTTGTAGATCATACTCAGTTTTCAATTCTCCTACTTTCTGCTACAATTAACCGACAAATAGTTAATCTGTCATTTTATTTTTATTTATGCAAAAACTCAACACCTACGAGGCAACTCCTTGGGTAGCAGGATATCAATGTTGCATAGTGATTTATACTTTCATCAGTTTCGGACTCATTTTGGTTTCGGTGTTCAATTAATCAATACTCATGGATTCTGTATGTTAAAATGATATATAATCAAGGCACCACAATTTTACTCAGATTGGGATAATAAGTTTATAGAAGATTTAAAGATCTAAGACTCCTGTGATGAAGGTTATGTAAATATGTTAAATTTCACATGGCCTGGTACAGAACTTGGATGTGATTGTACTTAATCAAATGGAACAGGTCCATACAAATATTCTAAGTAAAAAAAAAATAAATATAAAGTTATTATTATATGGAATGCAGTGAGTTTATGTTAGCTGAGAATTGCCAACCAGTTGAACCAATATATGAATAGTAATTCTAACATTGGCCATTTATCGATTAAACTTCGGTTAAAGGTAATTAAAATGATTTATCTTAAGCTTTCAAATTGTGTGCAAAATAGAGCACTTCAACAGTAATAGAAGCATTCTAGATAGAAGATGCTGATGAAGGATATAAAAAATGTGGAAATGTTTATCAAGTTCCATCTGATGAATTATGTCCAATAAGTGATTTTACTATATCTACAGATTCAACTGGAGAGGCCATTGGAACTACTGGATTGTATCTGAAAATTCAAAGAATTCAAAAGGAAGAAATACCATTAATAGGATTTACAATAGGATTTAGTAAATAATATTGTAAAACTATTATTAGATTCAATATGTTATTCAACATCAGAAATTTATTAGTTTTAGTATTTAGATAAGATGATAAATTATCATTGTTATGATAATGATGAGAGATATGTACGTTTAACAAATGATATGTCTTATAGTGATTTATTATTTGTAAATGAAGTAAAAGAAGAATATAATTAATTGTATAAAAATGCAGTTATTGAAAGCAGAAGTATAATATAAAAATAATAGTAGATGTTAATTTGTTTTACAAGTAGCTAACTCAATTTTATTATAATTCATCATAATTATGTTAAGCAGAAGATCTAGAATTTATTTACAATTTAAATGCATACATTAATGATAATGTAATGGATGTATAATTGGCTGCTTAAGTAATAGTGGGAATTTAAGCAGGAGTATTTGGATTCTTAATTCCATTAGTATCAGCAATATCTTTAGTTGGTTGTAATTTTAAATATGCAAATTTGAACAGAAAAAGTTCACATTATAAAGACTTATTTGGATTCTGGTTGGGAGTCAAGTTGATATGTGAGACTTTGTGTACTATTATCTTGGCTGCTGATATGGGATACTAATAATAAATGATGAATCACTTCTATGATTTCATTAATGCTGATTGTTCTGATAGATTTTCTTTATAAGAGATGAGTAATTTCTATAGTGAGTATGAAATCAAGGTATATAATTATGTACTTTTGAATTTCATCCTTTGTATAATTACTAATGTAATTGATTTATATGCTACTTATCTTATGTGTAGAGATAAACATAAAGAAGGAACCTATTTAAAGAATAGTGAGCATTCTCATCTTAAAAATTTCACTTCTACTCATCCTGATGAATTACTCAATAGAACTAAGGTATAACCTTAATCAGAAATCAAATAACAACAAAGAGAGAATCAATAGAAAAGATAATTTGAAGATGTTGAAATACCAGGTGATGATATGCCAAAACCACATAAACCTGAGAATTGAACATGATATTATATATTTATCATGTATCATATTTTTCTAAACATATTTCGCTTGTGATATTACTAGGTATTTATTTACGTAATCTATTTAATCTATCAGTAACTCTATCTTAAATATTATCTCCTTATTATTGTAATGATTATCTAATTATATTATCTAATATATATAAATATAATTACCTTTTCTTTCTACTTCATCATCCCAATGTTTAATTAAATCAACTTAGACTTTTTATTCATTTTAAGATTAATATATTTTTTCTGTCATTGTTAATTTTTTCGAACGAACTTCTCTAATTATTTTATATGATATTTTCTTATTTTCTATATTATACTCTTATTATTATTATTATTATTCTTCTTCTTTAATAGGTGTCTATAATTTTGGTTTTTATGGTTTTTCTGGACGTTTCAAAGGATCATATTTAACTAAACCTTCCTTAATGATTGGTTTAATTTACATTTGTTTCTCTCTTTTTTCTCTTGCTAACATTTCATCTTTTAACATTATTTCAAATGCTTCTTTCTCAGCAATTGTATTTGAAATCTTTTCCATAAAATAATACTTGGCAGGATTACCTACAGTATCAAAGAATTCAACACACATGGCATACATATTGAGTAAATCCAAAATTTATTACATTGATTCAATCTTTGTGCTAAACTGAATTAAAGAATGCACTTTACTTTTCTTTCTTTTTCTAATAATTAAATGAAAAATTTCTTCCCTATGCCAAATTTACTATCATCTTCATCAGATGAATCGCAATGCATTTGATTTTTAATAATAATAAATATTTATTTATTTTTTTACATCAAACTTATATTCTAAATTATATGATCAAATTTTATAACTATTATTGTTGTTCATCACTATTATAAGAATTATTATATAACTCATTAACAATACCTATTTATAATTATTTTCATTATAAATATGTTTAAATTATTGTCTATAATGGTATTATATACTCCTTTTTAAAGTGTCATATTGTTAGTACTATATATTTATCTATTTGTATTGTATATTATTAAGGGAATAAATTTCATTGAATTCTCCTTATAGTTTTATTACTTGTTATTACTTTTTAATGAAACTCATACATTTGATCATTCTATTTTAGTGTTCATAAGATAATTCAATAATATTAGTAAGGATCTGATTCTATTGGAATTGATTTCAAAACATTATGTTGTTTTAGGTAATATTACAATGAATAGTGTATAGAATAGATAATTTGAATGATGTAATTTTGTAATTAGTGGATTTTAGATTATGGATAGTGAATTAATAGTGAATTCACATTGATTAGTATGGATTACACAATGATTTTAGAGAGAAAACAATATAGACTTGAAAGAGAAGGTAAATTTGAAGTGTGTTTGATGTTGGATTCGTAAATTTTAGTATGGGATGGTAATTTATGTGATTTGAAGGAATTACACATTTATTTTAGAGAATGTGTTATTGATTGTAATTATAATTAATAGGAAATTGGGTTGTTTTTATGACTGAAGAATATTGAATTGAAATCAATGGAAATGATTAAGAAGTATGGGGATAATTAAATATATAAATGGAATGAAAATAAAGATATTTATTTTTTTAATTTAAAATGTCTGTGGACAACAGCTTCGATAATTTTGAATAGTTGATGTTTCCTTCCTACGATGATATGTAAAACAGAGAGAAAATAGAGGAGTAATACATTTTAGATCCTATACCATAAGAATAGGAAGACAAACCAATTCTCTAAAATCCAGCTAATAATGGGAAAACTTACTAATAATTATTTGAAATAGTTTAACGATTAAATGACATTAACTGGGTGGAACCATCATCAAAAATCACTCCTATCAAGCACTTGACTCCAATTACTTACTGGTTTATTATATGTTCCCAATACTTCCAAAAAGGTGCTGATCCTAAAATCATCAAGTATTCAACACTCTTTACCCTTTAGAATCAATTAAGAATGCCAACAAGTTCAAGAAGAAACTACTCGTCCGTACACTTACTTTGACGATTGGTTCATTATGGAGATGAGAAACATAGTAAACTATAATCTAAGATAGATGGTTAAAAGAATTATAACCCAAAAATGATTTAGAATTATTGTAGACTGAACTAGAACAACAATTACTCGATACCTAACTCCAAGTAAATACTCAAATAGATACAATAAAAATAGAAAAGCCTACTTTGAATATTCAAAATCCTTCTGATTATATTCTCAAAGATCTTGTTGGTTTAACAGATATTGAGAACCAATATCTTATCTATCTTGAAAGTTAACAAAAGTAATTTATATATTTTCATATCTAGATATTATGATGAATCAATTATTAATTAAACAAAATCATCTAATTTAGCAGGAACAGCAAGAAAACTATAAAATGTTTATAATAATTGTTAGATTTGTAATCAAGGTGTTAAATCAGAAGATCCACTTATATCTTGTTAGAAATGTTAAATAATAGTTCATTAAAAATGTTATGGATTAGAGAATGTATTAAATAATTGGATTTGTGATGTTTGTTTGAATTTTGGTAATAAAGGAAAGTTTTTGAAATGTCCTCTTTGTCCAAAATTAGGTGGAGCTATGAGACCAACTAATATTGCAATGAAAGATTCTATATTTGAATAAATTAATCCTTCTTTTCATACATATGCTATCAATTCTAAAGTTGATAGACAAAGTAATTAAATAGATTTATTTTAGAACCTCCTCCTGATGGTGAAGACAATTATAATTTTATGATAATATAATATCAACTTGAAAATATGTCTGGGGAATCACCAAAAGCTGAAAAGATATGGACTCATGTTTCTTGTTCTTTATGGTTAGATTTTGATCTAACAAAAATTGATAAAAGAAAATTTAATACTTTATGTAGTATATGTAAATAGAAAAAAAATGGAGCATGTTTATCTTGTTCAAAATCTAAATGTACTATATCATTTCATCCTGAATGTGCTAGAAGATCTTAAATTTATATGGAATCCGATAATATTTATTGTTTTAAACATTAACCTTTAAAAATCAAGAGAATATTTGATGATTAACATAAATAATGGAAGGAAGAGATTTATTCATTTTTTAAATAATATGAAAAATTAGAATAATAATTAGCTAATAGACCTAAAAATAATGATATAGAATTTTTAAAATTTGAACTCAAAGCTTAATAAGAAGAAATTGAGGCTGATATTAAATAAGAAAATGAATTATTATTTTAAAGAATTACTGATATTTTGGAAAAGGATGAAAAATTCATAGTCACATTTTAATAAAATCAAGTTATAGATATATAATTACCTTTAAAGAGATAATCAATCTATGATATTGAAGAAAATGATAAAATTTGGTAATAATTGGCTAATGATAAATATTCTTCAGAATAGGTATACATTCTATATCAAAGAGCTATCAGAATGAGAAAAAAGAAAAAGTAAGGTAATGCAATTATATAATTGTAAATGCCTTCAATTTAGGAATTACCAAATAGAAAGAGACATTCAATTTATTCTAGACCTAAATTCTTTAAATATCATAAAAAACAAAAATAAAATGGTGTATCTAATAATAATAATACTAATAATAATAATACTAATAATAATAATAATAATAATAATAATAATAATAATAATAATAATATATCTCTAAAAATAAAAATACCAAAAGAAGCTATAAATATTTAATAATAATATTGTATTTGCAAATAATAAAATGATGAAGAAATGATGTGTATTATATTTATTTATTATTTTAGAATGTGAAATTTGTTCAGAATGGTATCATCTTAAATGTTTAGGATTTTTGAGTACTGTAGAAGATGCCCAGAATATTTATTTCTATTGTTTTAGATGTGAATAGAAATTAAATCGAGAATAAACCAAATATATCAAAAGATATAAATAATATTTTGCAGATGCTACATTTCGAGATCTAAAATTAAAGATAGGAATGTCCCCTCATGAATTAAGAGCTCATGAAAAAAAGAATTATAAATAGTTGTCTAAATGATCAATATCATATACATAGATTATACGATTTTTTTAACAATTAAATTTAATAATATTTAATAAATTATTAATAAAATTAGATAAATAAATTCATTAAATATTTCAATCTCTTGATTTGTGTCTAATATATTCAAGTAATGATTTAGAATAACATTGAAATGAAAGAAACTCTTCATAGTTTGACTATGATTATTGTTAAGCATTACTTCTAAAGGTGTGTTTGATAAATCTACAACTCCAGGAGGTGTCTCATAATTAATATTGAGTTCATAGAAACCAACTGCATATTGGATGGCTGGTAAAATATCTTATAAGGCAAATCCAAATGTAGTTTGTACAAATTGTCCAAAAATTATGTTAAATTAATTATCCTCTATATTATAAATAAATAATTATACTATTTAATAGAAACATTGAAGTTTATGACATTATTTCAAGCATATCTTAATCATATACATTAAGTTAAAAAGAAATGATTAAATACATGAATGATGCAACTATAGTTCTTGGCATATATTACAAAGTTTAGATGTCCATCAATGTACAATCTACTAATTAACATAGTTTTCTAAACACTTTTAATTAAATTTGGATTACATTGATAAGATTCTTCATTTGGTTTTCTAAATTAGACATTTAAACCATAATTCTCTGCATAAATATCCCATTGATCTGTAAACCAATTTATCCAATAAGTATAAGAAGNTAATAATAATAATAATAATAATATATCTCTAAAAATAAAAATACCAAAAGAAGCTATAAATATTTAATAATAATATTGTATTTGCAAATAATAAAATGATGAAGAAATGATGTGTATTATATTTATTTATTATTTTAGAATGTGAAATTTGTTCAGAATGGTATCATCTTAAATGTTTAGGATTTTTGAGTACTGTAGAAGATGCCCAGAATATTTATTTCTATTGTTTTAGATGTGAATAGAAATTAAATCGAGAATAAACCAAATATATCAAAAGATATAAATAATATTTTGCAGATGCTACATTTCGAGATCTAAAATTAAAGATAGGAATGTCCCCTCATGAATTAAGAGCTCATGAAAAAAAGAATTATAAATAGTTGTCTAAATGATCAATATCATATACATAGATTATACGATTTTTTTAACAATTAAATTTAATAATATTTAATAAATTATTAATAAAATTAGATAAATAAATTCATTAAATATTTCAATCTCTTGATTTGTGTCTAATATATTCAAGTAATGATTTAGAATAACATTGAAATGAAAGAAACTCTTCATAGTTTGACTATGATTATTGTTAAGCATTACTTCTAAAGGTGTGTTTGATAAATCTACAACTCCAGGAGGTGTCTCATAATTAATATTGAGTTCATAGAAACCAACTGCATATTGGATGGCTGGTAAAATATCTTATAAGGCAAATCCAAATGTAGTTTGTACAAATTGTCCAAAAATTATGTTAAATTAATTATCCTCTATATTATAAATAAATAATTATACTATTTAATAGAAACATTGAAGTTTATGACATTATTTCAAGCATATCTTAATCATATACATTAAGTTAAAAAGAAATGATTAAATACATGAATGATGCAACTATAGTTCTTGGCATATATTACAAAGTTTAGATGTCCATCAATGTACAATCTACTAATTAACATAGTTTTCTAAACACTTTTAATTAAATTTGGATTACATTGATAAGATTCTTCATTTGGTTTTCTAAATTAGACATTTAAACCATAATTCTCTGCATAAATATCCCATTGATCTGTAAACCAATTTATCCAATAAGTATAAGAAGGAGGATTTACATGCCATTTTAAAGTCTATAAAAATTAATAATTTATATTTACAAATAGTATGGTTAATTCCATATTTAGTATTTCATCTTTGGTATAACCATAATTAGCAGCTTTCTCAAATTATTTAACTCCAATTGGTATAACTTCTTCTACTTTATTTGCTATCAATAAACTAGCCAAACCAATAAGTTATAAATTCTATTTATTTACTTATCTTTTAGATAAATATGAATCTAAATAGAAAATTGATAGATGAAAAGTTTATCTTTTTAATCTGAATTCCATAGCTACTTCCATCATCCAATCTATAAGAATAGCTCTCATCAGTTAATTGATATCACTCTATTCTGTTAAATAATATGGATCAGTTAAATAATCTCTCTCCTATTAAATTAAAGGATCAGGCTCTGTTTTTATTCTATCTTCTATATTCACATTATTTATAACTATTTCATTTTCATCACAAGTCAAATCTAAATCTTTTGGATTTGAATTAGCTTAAGTAGAACCTAAAAATCTAGATTCTTTATGATCTATAGAAGAAGATCTAGATTTTTAAATTGGACTTTTAGATAATAATTATATATCTGCAGATACACATCTTTGTGAACTTTTTCTAAAATGAGAATCTTTATTTTTCAAATCATCTTTCATTTCAATTAATAAGTTTTGATACTCTTAAGAACAACGATACATATTTTCGATAACTCCATTAAATCTTAATTTATCATTATTTTAAATTTATGAATTATGAGCTATAGATTGTAATTTTAAAGTTAATTTATCATTACAATCTCCTTAATTCAAATACATACTATCTTTGATACGTGTTCTACTATTTGTATTGCTAAGAAGAACCGTATTAGGAAAACTAATTTGTCTAACTTTTTAAGAAGGCTTATTAATATTATTAAATGAATTCTCCTTATTTTGTTTATTTTGATTTCTAAATTCTTGCAACAATTGATGAAATGTTATTGAAATATCTCTACTTTCTGTTGGTCTTGATGTAATTTAAGGTTGAATAACTTAATTTGGCTTTGATTTTTCTGATGGTTTATATTGTCTTTCAGTGTGCCTATCTTTTGAGCTTTTAATTAATTAAGTGATCTATTTTATAATTTAAGGTTCAACAGGTTTTGCTTAGTATTTTGGAGATCTACTTTGAGTAAGACATTTAGGATGACTAACTTGCTTATTATATTATACATACTTAAATCCATTGATCTAAAGTTGCTTCTTTTACATATATTGTTATATTAATTCAAATTTAATTTATGAAATGCTATTAATAAATGAAACCAAATTTCACATTTGAACTCTTTTCTAAAAAATCTACAAATAACTTAAATAAAATAGACTATGAATAAAATTACTATACTGAAGATAATTATTATTGTATTCTAAAATGATTAGAACATAATAGAATATCTATAAAAATTAATCATTTTCAAGTAATCTTAATATGATAATATGATGGAATTTTGAATTATCATATTTAAATAAATTTATCAAAGAAATTAATTATTGTAGAGATTCATTCAATAGAACCCTAAAGTTTTTATTGATATATAAATTATACATAAATACTATATATATATTCACAATGGTAAAAAGGTTTTTTTTAAGAATATTCCTTTGATTTGGTTTTTTATTAATTTAAAAGCAGCATGCATACCTGATTTTCCTCCTGGAAAAAGGGATACTGTCAAATATATTAATGTAGAGATCTTTATTTATTGGAGATTTTACTTGAAGTGATAATAATCCAAGAGTATAAAAGTATCCCATATAGAACATTCCTGTGTAGAGACAAGCAATTAGAGATATTAAATAAATCAATGTGGCAGCTGATGAAGAAATTTTATTAAAAAGCGTTTTTAGTTCAATAATTTAAAGCATGGATATCAAAATAACAAGGGAGCCAACTGAAAAGAGTAAACAAAATGGTTTAGGATTTAATATTAAAAAAGAGGCAAATGGAATTGATATTATAATGAGAATGAGTCCAGCTATAAATAAGATTGCAAATACTCCCCAATTCTTTTATGTTTCAGTTTTTCTATATTAAATTTTAATTAATACTTTGGTTATAAGCTAGATACAAGTGATCCTAATAAAGTTTCCTCCTCTGCAAAAAACTGCATGATTAATTATCCTAATCTAATTTAATTTTTAAATAAAAAGATGAGTGAAAAATAAAGTGTAAAGCAATACATCTAAGGAAAATTAGATCTTCTTGAATTTATGATTGCAGAGAAATAAGCTAATGTAAAGAGATAAGAGGCATAGAGGAATGAGTTAAATAGTTTGGGTAATTTTGAATTTGTATTTTGAGTGAGGTAAGTTAAGGAAGAACTGTAAGCCATGTAAGAGCCTCATTCTTATGTTGGTGATGTTGTTAAATAGATGGGAAAAGATAAAGTATTAGTTAAAGTGAATCCAGAAGGGAAATATGTTGTTACTTTAGATAAGAGTATTAAAATTGAAGATTGTAAACCTAATACTAGAGTTGCCTTGAAGAGTGATTCATATGTTTTACATAAAATTCTACCAACAAAAGTGGATCCTTTAGTTTCATTGATGAAAGTAGAAAAAGTGCCAGATTCAACTTATGATATGATTGGAGGTTTAGATTAATAAGTGAAGGAAGTAAAAGAAGTGATTGAATTACCTATCAAACATCCAGAAATATTTGAGAGTTTAGGTATTGCTTAACCAAAAGGTGTTTTATTATATGGACCACCAGGAACAGGAAAAACATTATTAGCTAGAGCAATAGCACATCATACAGTATTATTAGATAATATTAATTAATAGGATTGTACATTTATTAGAGTAAGTGGATCTGAATTAGTATAAAAATATATTGGAGAAGGAGCAAGAATGGTAAGAGAATTATTTGTTATGGCTCGTTAACATTCTCCATGTTTAATCTTTATAGATGAAGTAGATTCAATAGGAGGTGCTAGAATGGAAGGAGAAAGAGGTGGAGATTCAGAAGTATAAAGAACTATGTTAGAATTATTAAATTAAGTAATATTATATATTTATTTATATAGCTTGATGGTTTTGAATCTACATAAACTATTAAAATTATAATGGCTACAAATAGAATTGATATTTTAGATTCAGCTCTATTAAGACCTGGAAGAATAGATAGAAAAGTTGAATTTCCTAATCCTGGAGTTGATGCTAGATTAGAGATTTTAAAAATTCATTCAAAAAAGATGAATTTAATGAGAGGAATTGATTTAAGAAAGATTGCAGAAGTGATGCCAGGTGCTTCTGGTGCTGAATCTAAAGCAGTTTGTACAGAAGCTGGTATGTTTGCTTTAAGAGAAAGAAGGATTCATGTTACTTAAGAAGATTTTGAGATGTCAGTGGCTAAGGTTATGAAGAAGGATATTGAAAAGAATATGGCTATCAATAAAATGCTTAAGTGATTTATGTATAAAAAATTATAATTATATATTTAATGATTCAACCTAAAGTTTTAACATAATTATTAACTCAATGCTAGAATTTAAGGTCTAATCAATTTTTGTAGCAGCTACAATTGATGGATAGATGATAGCTTAAGTTGGTTAAACTTAACATCAATTACCTTAATTTTCTATATTAAGTATATTCTTTGATGATTGTAAAGAAATAGGAAATATTTAATTATGTAATCTTTATTATATATAATAAATAGCATAAAACATTAAATTGAATTATGTATTTGTAGACATAGTAGATTAAAGTATTGTATTGTCTAACTTTCAGAATTTATTTATTTTAGGAATAGTATCATCCCAAAATGTAGGAATGTTGGTATTGTTTATGAATAAATTTTATCGCGTTAATTAAAATAAATTATTAAATGAATTGTCTTTTTTATATCTCATTATCTAAAATTTCATGTGTATTCATTTTTTTTATATGACTAGATTATTGATTATTTCTGAAACATAATTTTTTTTTTATTAATCATTTTTTATCTCTTAATTTATAAATTCTATTAGATAATTTTTAGCATCTTTTTCATTATTGATATTATTATTTGTTTCCATTATGTAATTTATTAATTTTGCATAATATTTTTTTCCAAATTCTTAATGATGGTTTTATTAAACTTATTAAAATTAAAATTATTAAAATTATATATGCTTAGATAATTATTTTGCAATTATTTCTAAGTAGTGTCTTTCTTTTTTTTACTTTTTAGATTAAAATTACTTCTCAAAATATCCATCTCCTATATAAATACTCTATCCTTCAATATTAAATAACAAAATATCAAGTTCATTAAAATACAAAGGCTAAACACTAGGACTTATTCTGGAATTTAAAATTAATAGAGGCACTTAGTGAGTCAAATATTTAAGAAACTTTATTTTATTTGCAGGGTTTAAAGCCTGTCTTAATTATTTAATTCCAAATTTTTTTTTTTTTTCTTTATTCTCAGTCCAAATTTTTGATTCATCTTCAGGCAAAAAGTTTCTTAATATAAAATTCAAAAATCTTTTTCTTTTTGAACTTGATTAAACCTGTGATTCCATTTAAAATGATAATAAATTATTATTAATTTTGTTATGAAAGAAAATTAACATCTTTTTTCGAAATATTAATTAGAATATATACAAAAAATAGGGGAAGGTGCTTTTGGGAAAGTATATAAAGCATTTGATTAAACTACAAAAAAAGTGGTTGCTGTCAAAGTAATTAATATATATTTATATATAAAGATTCTAAATACAGATGAAGAATAGGAACTACTCTCATCTTTGAATCATAAAAATATTGTCAAACATATGAGAGGGTAATAATTATAGTTCTAATTACATAGATCAACTTAATTACTTGTGATGGAATATATGGAAGGAGGATCATTAAAAAATTATATGATTTAAAATCCAAATTTGAATGAAGAACAATGTATATAAATAATGAAATCTATTCTTGCTGGTTTAAGTTATTTGCATTAGCATAATGTCATTCATCGTGATATCAAACCTGGTTATTATTTCATATATATATCTCTTTAGATAATATCCTATTAACCAAAGATCTTGTACCAAAGATAGCTGATTTTGGTCTCAGTATCTAATTTGATAACTTTGATTTCTCTACATGTAAGTGTGGCACTTATCTATATATGGCTCCTGAAATCTTATTAAACAAACTCTATTCTAAAGTATATATCATATTTAGCTTAGCCAGTTGACGTTTGGGCTACTGGCATTATTATGTATTAATTACTCTAAGGAATTCATCCTTTCTATAAATAAGAATCAAATAAATAACAATATCTTTAAAACATCCTAGAAAAACCTTTATATTTTAAAAAACAAATTTCTCCCCAGGCCAAAGATTTACTTATTCGACTATTAAAATTAGATATTACTGATCGTTATACGGCTAGTCAAGCTTTATAGCATCCTTGGCTTACTAAATAAAATAGTATGCCTTTAAGTCTTTTTGAATAATTTAAGTTATTTGATTGCAAAAACAAATTTATTAATGTAATTGAAATCATCACATTTAGATCATTAAATTGTTGATTTTTATTCAACAATTAAAGATTCCCAAATTTTCATATGCATATATTTTAGGTTAACAAGGTTTTCATATCAAATAAGTTCAATATATTATTGGATAGATATAATCTCCTCTTAAAATTGAATCTCCAACTATTTCAAGTTCAAAAACTCTCAAGAAATTAGGTAAAATAGATTATTCAGAAGAGAATACACCATTAAGTCTTCAAAATTCTACATTCTATTAAAAAAATAAAAAATTGCAAGTAATTACAAAGATCATAAATAGAAATTATCAAATTTTTATGAATAAGCTTATAAATCTAATGAAAACTCACTTGCATAATTAAGTCCTTAGAAACCTAAAAGAAGTAATATGAATTTTTCACAAGCTTCTAGAGAATATGCAGAGATTATGTTAGGGTATTCTGCAATAAAAGAAAAACGAAAGCCTTCATAAATAAAATTGGAACCTTTAGATAGAAGAGCAAAAAGAACATCTTCTGTAATAGTAATTTCAAATTAATAATGAAAAATCTAATTCATATAATTTATTATTAAGATATATTTGGAAATATGATATAAATTGAAAAATTAAATAAAAAAATTATTATATATTGTATAGAGAAGATACAATAATTCTAATTGAAATAAATGTATTTATATAATGAAAATGATAATTATAAGAAGGATTCAAATAAAATCACATTTTTCTTTTTCCACATCCAGATCTTTAACCTGATCTTTAACCAGATCTACATCCGGATCTGCTTGACCTAGATTTATATTATTTCTTATTTGTTTTATGTTCTCCACCTTCATTAACTTTATCTTAATGTTCTTCATCATCCTCTTAATCCTCTTTTTCTGACATTTTTTATTTACCCTATTTAGAATGATGTCCACTTTTATTTTTATGACCTTCTTCTTATTCATCATCTTCACATTCTTCTTTAGCTTCATGTTAATCACTCTTCATATCATGAGTTTTCTTTTTATTATGTTGTTTTTCTTCATTTATTTTCATATTTTAAACACTTTTCTAAACATCTTCCATATCATCATGATTCTTTTCATGTTAATTATGATGACTTTTATGTGATTTTTTTGATTTATCTTATTTTTCCTTTTCTTTTTCTTTTTCCTTCTTCTCTTTTTAAATATGTTCTCTAATTTCTTCTTCCTTTTCTTAAAATTCTTTCTTTTCATCTGAAGATAATTTATTCCATTATTGAATTATTTTTTCTTATTATTCAAGACTCTTTTTTTTATGAGCTGATTAGAATAATTATTCATTTAAATATGCATTAAATCCACTGCATTTTTGTTCATCACTCATAACATTTAATTGATATTTTAAGAGCTCAGAGGGTTCCATAAAAAAACAATATATATAATACTATTTTGAATTTAATAATTACAAATCTGTTAATTGGCAAAACCTAAAAATAGCAAAATTAATCAGAAATAATTAAGTACTCAATCATTTGAATTTATATGATCTTCAATTTACATCAATTTCCTTAAAGTAGATTCTGAATAATCTGAATCTTAATCGTAAGTGATCAATCATTGCCTATTTTTTAACCCATTTGCCAATTTTAAATATTCTCTTTATTTCTCTGTTCATTTAATTCTATTTATATTTTTATTTATATCCAATTAAATCTTTTTCAAATCTTCTTCTCTTTCTATTATCAATTGAGAATTTTCTTAAATATTTTATCTTTTTATCTCTTAAACTAAATGAAATTCTTGGGAAATTTAACAAATTATTAACACTTTTTCTCTAATCCTATTTAAAACTCGAATGCCAAATTTTATTATTATGCTTATTCTATTTTATATTATTTTCATTGTTAATGCTAATAATTTTATGTTTAGAATGATAGTTATACTGAGCATATTTCATATAACAAACAAACACAAGCCAATATAGAGTATCAAATTAAGTATGAGCAAACGTACTGTGAATATTTTAAATCTCCTGATTTTATAGTTTTATCCAAAAAGAATATTTACTTGTTTGATGTGTCTATGTAATATTTTATTTTATCGATAATGTATTTCATATGGAGTATAGACTATCTGACAGAATATTTTCCAGATAGATTCTTCTATCAAGTATTCTTTTTTAGCTACTTCAAAAATAAAACCTAATCTCCACCTTCACAATATTCTAATATTTTATAAAACTGGTATGTCTATTTATCAATAATGTGATCATAATATTTAATTATGTTTAGATGTTTGAGCTCTCTCAAATAGTAACTTCATTTACATATTTTTTAATTTAAATTATAAATCCTAATTGTTATTTTTCACTCATTCTATTATATTCCATTTCTTTAGCAATAAATACTTTTGATTAAACTTCCTAAGAATTTTGTATACTTTTTTTTGCAAATGATCCTTTTCCAATATTGTCCAAATATTAATATGCTTCCAATTTTATAATAAATTTTATACGAATGTTTAATACAATTAAACCTTCCTAAATTAAGTATTCTAAATAATAAACGTAATTCTTTCCTACTTTATTTAATTCATTTTTATTTGACAGTCATAAAAGTTGGCATAATTAATTAATTTCACCTTTTTTCTGATATAAATTGAATTTTTCATTAAATAATTATTTTCTAAAATGATACAATAATCAATAAACAAAATTACTCTGAATTTAAAAGTTATATATAAATATATGAAATATGAGATATTCTATTAAGTGTAATTTTATTAATAAACATTTTGATTTTCAAAATATTTTAGGTTTACAATTGATTGCTTTTATTTATTGTATAAAAAACCTGAAAAAAACTATTCAATCTAAATACTTAACAAATGATGTTGAATATGAGTTAAATATCAATATGATTTAGGGGAATCGGTTGCAATTAATGTTAGACATTATATATGACATTTTTATATTAATTGAATTGTAAATATCTTATATTTATTAAACAACTTCTAATTCTCATATTAGTGTGATTAATTATAAATATTATGATTTGTAAAACCAAGCATTATTTTTTTGATCATCAGTATAAAGTTTTTATTGAAGAGGATCAAATACTAATTGGAAAGGTAATAGCCTAATTAAATATTATAGTAAAAAGAATCTATCAAGTATAAAGTTTCATTTTCACATAAAATGTTGATATTCTGGATGTTTTAATAAGGGAAATTCACTGGGTTTAAAATTTTGCTTAAAGAAAAATGGAAGTAATTTGACATGAATCATGAGGATTGTTTAAAATTCAAGAAGAGTTTAGATGGGAGAATAGGTTACAGCAGAATAGAATCTCTATATAAATTCTAAGGCACAGTAGGCTTAGGGAGCTATAGTGAAGTACATATATTTTAAAAACTAAGGTATTCTTAATATAAAGCTATCTCGATAATTCAAAATATATTGCTAAAAAAATGGCAATCAATTCAAAAAATGTGTTTAGTGTAAAGCGTTATTAATAAATTTATAGCTTTTCAATAATGAATTATAAGCTTTACAAAATCTCAAACATCCACATATCATAAAGTTGAAAGAGTTTTATATGAACTATGCTGATTGTTATATAGTAACTAATTACATTGAAGGAGAATCTCTGGCTAAATTTTTGAGATACAATAAAAAAATATGTATTAAAGAAATCAATAGTATACTGAAAGTATATATAAATCTATAACAAAAGTAATTATTTGAAGTACTATCATACATCCATTAAAATGGTTTCATACATAGAGATATAAAGCCAGAGAATATATTATATAATAAAGAACATAAATTTATTACTTTGATAGATTTTGGATTTGCAACAAGGATTGGATTACAAGAATATAGTGCAGGAACTCCTGGTTATACTGCACCTGAATTATTTGATAATGTTGTTTCAACTGAGAAATGCGACATTTTTAGTTTGGGCTGTATATTATATGAAATGTATAGATTATTATTATTATTATTATTAGAATTTATGGGAAAAAACTATTCTAAGGATAGTCTCTTTATGACATTCAATAAGTTAATATGAAATGTCATTATAATCTCAACCTTACTGATCACCCTTTACATGATTTATTAAGTAGAATGCTTGAGAAAGACTTAAGAAAAAGAATTATTGCAAAAGAAGGGTTGAATCTCTTATTATAATTTGAATAAAACATTCAAATTTGATATTCATTATTAAGCAAATGTATTTGATATAATAATAATAAATAATGACTTCAACTTGAATATTTTATTGTCAATAGAATACTACAAATTGCTATCATAATAACAAGTATTATAATGCATCTTTTTGCTAATGGAGAGTTTTAGTATTCTTCAGCCTAATTTAATTATAATAATAATAAAAAATTACTTTTTTCAATTCTTAATTTGCTTTCTTAACATTGAATACAGCTTAATCAATATTATAATCAATTCTATCTAAAATAGTACCTTAATCAATAACCAATTAATTTAATGATTTGAATACTTCAGCTAATTCATTAATCATAGTAACTAATTTATTGATTTCTTAATCTCTAAAATAATATATATATATTTAATTAAACCTCTCACAAATTATATCATCATACATTTACTCTTCTGCTTAAGTAAGTTCATCATCAGCAACTTTCATTTCTTATTATTTTTGTTCACTTAATTTTAAGAAATTTCCTAATTCTTATTTCATATCAATACCTCCATCATCTTTATTTATTTATTTAATCATCGTAACCATTCTTTTCTATTGATTTCTTAACGTATTAGTTAATTCTTAGATTTATTATGCTAATGCTCTGTTTATATTCATTCGAACTATTCATTATTATAATACAATACTTCTTTAATCACTTGGTGTTTCCTTATCACTACTATAATTTGATATGAATTCGGTATTTTTCTCACATTCCATAATTTTCTACTTTATAGAATAAGAATACTTATGTAGCTTTCTAATTGTTCTCATAAATCAGTTTCTCTAAAGCTGTAGCATCTCCAAATTGCATTTTCAATCTCTTAGATCCTAAACTTTAAAGTTCTTTAACTATTTGTATGTAAGATTTATTAATATACGTATCTCCTAAACTTATTTGATTTTATCTAAACAATCTTCATAATGACTAGCCCATTCTGATGGTAATCCCTTATTATGAGTTTACATTTCAATTGAAAAATTGCTAGCTGTTGATTCACCAGAACTATCTAACAACAATGTATTTGGTTCTATATGGGATAAATTAATTTCTAACTTGATATGTGAAGATCATTAATCTTCTTAAATCTATTTGCTTATTACTTATGTTCTTCTTTATATTTGAATAGTAAATGAGTTTTATTTCTCATCACTCCAACACTTTGTCTCATTATTATATTTTAATTATTGAATAAATGTTTCAAACCCTATAAAAATTAAGGGTGATGTGCTTTATGTTTGCTACAATTGCTGAACGGAAAGTCCCACCAACTCCATAGAATATACCTTTCACCTTAAATAATCTTTGGGATAATCCAGGTGCTAGAAAAATACAAAAGAGATGGGGTAGAAGTGGTACAAGAGGAAATGCTTGTGGAAGAGGATAAAGAGGACAAGGAGCACGTTCAGGAGCAGGAGTCCCTCCTAAATTTGAAGGAGGTTAAACACCCTTAACAAGAAGACTTCCTAAATGGGGTGCCAAACCAAGGTATTTCAATATTAAAGTATTTTTAGTTTAGAAATTTATAAAGAAGTTAATATTTGTCAAATCATAGATAGAATCAAACAAGGAAGAATTGATGCTACTTAACCTATCTAAATAAAAGACATGTTAGAATCAAGAATTTTTAGTAAATGCAAATATGGAGTTAAATTATTGGCAAGAGGAGCAGAAAGATTAAGTGAATTGAATACTCCTTTAACTATAGAAGTGTCTGATGCTTCAAAAACTGCTATTGAAGCAATAAAGAAAACTGGAGGTGAAGTTAAAGTTGTTTACTTTACACCACTTTTATTGAGATAACATTTGTTTCCAGATAAATATCCATTAGAATTAAGACCTGCACTCCCTCCTTCAAGAGCTGTAGAAGCTATCTAAAGAAGTGAAGAGAGAGGAGCTGTTGCTGATTATATCAAACCTAAATGGGTTATTGAAGATGAAATTGAGAAGAAGAAATTAGAGGAAATGGCAAAACTTGAAGTTGACACTCTGAAAGTTCAATTACAAGGAGCTGAAACAGTTGAGACTGCAAAGAAGGAGAAAAAGAAGAAGGTATTGAATTAAAAATATATAATTTTAGAAATAAAAATAATAAGAAGAAAAATAAGTAAGTACTTTAGATTTAACAAACTTTAAATATCCAGCCACTAGAGAACCTGGATGTGGTAAAGATAAAATCAAGTAACGTAAACCAGTAGTTTATAAAAAGATTTCATTAAACGTGGATTGAGTTATTCAACATATATATATATAAATAATATCATAGTAAATAAAATGCATATTATTATTAACAAGTAAGTGCATGTTAAATAGGTTATAATTTATTTTATAGTATTTGAAGAGTTTCTTAATGTCTCTTTTCTTTAAAGTATTTATCTTCCTATCTATTTCTGAAGAATTGAATGTTTCTCATAATTTAATCTCCAACTATATAATACATTCCTGTAATTTTATTTGTAGAACGACTTTTAATGTATTCAATAACACAATCTCTCAAACTAATTCTTAAAAATAATATACTTTTCAGCTCTATTTTCTGGAGAGTCTATACAAATTTGTTCCTTTTTAAATTATTATTTCAATTTATTCTTTATATCAATTGCTTTTTGAAGATATGTTAATTTAGTTTAAATTTGTAGACAATTATCAGAGCATTCTTTAAGTATCTATTTCAGATTTAATTATGTTAAATCTTATTGTTCATACTTAAATAGATGACATAGAGCATAATATAATTTTTAAAGATTTGGTTTATCTTTTTAAAGAAAGAGATGAATCATCTTACAATTACCTTAATACAATATTTTATTTTTTAAATCTTCAATGTTTAAGATATTATTTTCGTTAAAAACTTCATCTATCATAATAATTTATTCTGGCTATTTAAATGTGTGTATCAAATGATTTACATTTATCCAAATCTAATTTATATTCCTTTAATAACTCAAAACATCATTAGGAGAAATGTGATGTGGTTAAATTATGCAATCATACTATTCATCTATCTAAGATAAATTATTAGTTAATAACACTAAAATGCATTCAGATTTGATTTTTTGGATTAATTATTTATTAAGTGATACAGATTAACCTATTATAGCAATTCTTTAAAGATGACTTGTGTCTCTATTACCTTTGTAAAGTATTTTTGGTTCTGCTATCTTAAATTAATAGATATCAATTATTTCATATTTAATATCTGTAAACTTTGGTTTACTTATTAATGTGTTATTCTTACATTATGAGACTGGGTTGAGTTTATAAACCAATTAATCTTCTTGTAGATTTCTTCTTATTTTACATAGTGTTGATTTATAATTATTTCTCTTTCAAAGGTTCGCTATGGAAATGTGCATCATGAACTGATATTGTTCTACTGGTTAGCTATTAAGATTATTAATTTTAATTAGTAGGTAATCTTCTAATAAATTATGAGTGTTTAGATGAACGAGTTGCTATGAATATTTATATTTACAAATATATTACATATTGAAAGCTAACGGATAGGAGTATTCTTTGCAATAAGTAAAGTGCTGAAATCATTTTCTGAAGGAGGTTTCATATTCATTCTCTTTGTCAATCTCGTTATATTTAATCTCATCATTTATAGATAATTAAATTGGGGAAGAAAATAATATTATTTTAATGCTTAATAGTATTAATAAAGTAATACCTTAATAATGTATTTAATTATAATTCAAAGTATATTTAATCTATTTTTATACATCAAAACCAAAAGTTTACAATAATATAAAACTAAAAATCATAAAATTCCAAATTTCTTCATAACTTTTATAAGATCCTCCATGTTTAGAGGTTTTTCTAAATGATAATCTGCACCACATTTTTAAGATCTAAGTTTATCATCAGATCCTGAAAAGGCTGTAACAATTACGATTATAGATTGAGATAACTTTTGAATTTATTCAAATTTCCTTATCTCAGATGTACATTAATAACCATCCATTTCTGGCATATTAACATCCATAAAAATTATATTCATTTATTCCTTAGAGTATAAATCGAATGCTTGTTTTCCATTAAAGGCTTTAAACAATTTACAATTAATAACAACTTAATTAAGCATAGCACTTAAAGCAATTATGTTAAATGGAGTATCATCCACAATAAGAATTTTAAAAGAATCATCTGGAGTAGTTTCTAATTTATAATATGTTTGAGCCTTTTTAATTTAAGCTCTTTTCTTTTTTCTAGAATTTATATTAATATATGATGGAAATCTAGGTACAATTTATTTTTGATGTAAATCTTATTCTTATATTGAATTTTCAAGCTATTATTATAAAATTCTATATATCTTAAATTTAAATGTAGACCCTTTACCTACCTATGATTTAAGTTCAATTTTGTCAGAAGGACCCAAAAGAGAAACCAATTATTAACTAATTGTTAAGCCCAAACCAACTCCATGTCTATTATTTTTACCAATATCATAAGTACTATATAATCTAAAAAGATTCTTTTAGATTTCTTCTGGAATTCCATATCCAGTATCTGAAACAGATAATTCTATTAAATCTGTTTCAAGATTATGAGTAGCTAAAATAGAGATTTCACCTTGCATTGTAAATTTAATTGCATTGGCTACTAAATTAATAAGAACTTGTTTTAGTCTTGTTTCATCAGTTAATAATATACTATTTTTGTCATCAATTGTATTTTACCAAATTAATTTAACTCCTTTTTCAAGAGATTATTTATTCAATAATTAATTTATAAATTTAAAGGTATTATTTATATTAAATGTTTTAGGTATTAATCTTAATTAACCTTTATTAATTTAACTATAATCCAATAGATCATTTATCATAGACAATAATAATTAACCAGCTTAATTAAATTCATCTAAATGTACACATAATTATTCAATGTTACTCAATGTAATTGATGATTTTTATGATAAAATATGTTACATTATTTCTATATCTATCATCATTCCATTTAATGGAGTCTTTAAATCATGTGATACTGTTGCCAATAATCTATCTTTATATTAATCCATTTCTTTTAAATGTTTCAATCTAATCTTTTCTGATATATCATTCATAATAACCAAAATTGAATTTCTATTTTCCCAAATACAATGTAAAACACGAATTTCAAAATGTGATTTAATTTTTACTTGTGATTTTGTAGATAAAGCTACTTTAGATTATGAATCAAATTTGAAACATAAATAATAATCACTAACATCTGAAATATCATATTCATTATTTATTACTGATGATCTATTACTTGATGTTTATTGAAACTAAACTTCAACTTAATTTAACTTTTATTATAGAATATCATAAATGCTAATACAACTATTATATGATTCTTATTCTGTCTCTTATTCAGTTTATATAAATATACTCTTTAATTTTCTAATAATCTCATTTTCATCCGAAACTTAAAGATATTTTATTGCAAAATCATTTGTATAAATTAATTTCATTTCTTTACCAGAAATTGTGGAATCTTATAAATCATCATTTTATCCTGTTAATATTAATATTGAATTTGGAACTGTCTTATCAAATATATTCTTGCATGCATTCAAATTTGAAGTTTATTAACATATCTTATAAAAATCTAACCTCTTATAATATTCCAAACAACGGAAAAAAATAAACAACATAATCAATAATACATAAAAAGTCCAATAAATTGAATCAATTATTCCAACTAAACCTACTAATAAGATTGTTGCTGCTACTAATATTAAACCTTAACAAAACCATAAAGGACAAACTATTAAATAGCTAATTATAATAATTCCAGTTTATATTCCACTACTTAAAGCTTATGCAGTAGTTTGCTAATTACATTATTTGTTTAATAATTGAGCTTATATATATACATTTGTTATTAATATTGTCGAAAAAGCACTCACTATCTCAGATATTGATATAAAGTATTTATAATGTATTTTTTGTATGTTTGCTTATGAAATTAAGCATATTATATGCCAAAAACTAAATCCAATTCTTAAATATGCCACAGCTTAATTTTTCAAAACAAACTGATTATTAATAAAGTAGATAAAATTAATAAAGAAATGTATCAAGTATGATAGCCTAAAAAGAACAATTATTCTTTTTTTCTCTTTATTTGAATATTTTACTTCTATATCTGAATTTCTAAATTCTAACGTCCATAAATTCATTATTTTTTTTGGCTCCAATTCATTCGACACTTCCTCTGGATGAAAAAAGAACCTTACTATGAATTAATAAATTTTTAACATTAATATATAAGAATTAAATATTGATGAGCAAAATCCCATTTAATTCTAAATGAAAGAAAATATGAATTAATATATGAGTAATACTTGTTCAATAAATAATTAGAGTTTACTTTTTCATTTTGAATCATTGAAAACAATCAGAATAAATATCAATCAAATATATTTTCAATTAGTTCATTTTATAAACATTAATGAAATAATCAATTTGATTAACCAAATAACTCTTTATTTTTCAAAAATATATTTTTCTATATTCTTCTCTTTATGGAACTTAACTAAGGGTTCAATAACTATTCTATAAATAGATTCGATTCCAATTTTCATGTTTCCGTTATTGAAATTTTAGATTTAAAGTGAATTATTGTAAATCGATTTTTTTTTAAATTTTAAATCAATATTTTATGTTTATTTGATACCAATTAATAAATTATTTATTCTGATATATTTTTATATATCATCCATATTTATATATAAATATTTGATCATAATCATATTAAATATATCAAGAAATTTGATTTAGTTCTATAAATTAACTTTTTCAAGTTTCATAAAATTTGTTTTTAAAATATAAATATAATTTGATAGAATTATTTATATACTTCTAAAAATTTAATATGGATGTAAAGAGTTAGATAGAAAAAGAAAAAGTAAAATATTAGAATGTAAAAAGATTCAGATTAGCCAAAATTTAATAATAAACATCACAGGATTGATTATTTGAAATTGAAATACATCTTAAAAGATATTATCATAGCTTAATATGAATAGATTTAAATTATTTTGTTCAGTATTCCTTCAAACAATTAATTTTAATTGATAGTAGGGTTAGTGACTGAAGAAGGGAAGGATATCTTTATGAATTTAATTTTTAAATTAAGGTTGTTAATATAGAAAATTAGATTAAGGACTTATTTAATATGAGAATATAGGTTATAGTTAAGAAACAACATAGAATTGAAGGAAATTGTTTATTGATGATTGTAAATATCAAATAAATTAATATAAATAATGTCCAAATTTTAATAAGATGGTATAACCATCTGTTTACTGGGAGGGTTCCAGAAGTGGCCTTCCAGTGCCCAACATTCCTTCACTCCTCATAAATGTGGATTAAGGGTATAAAATTTGACATTACTATTTTCAAGTTTGTTAAATAATTTACATGGCATTATAAGGATTATTTATAGAAATTGAATGGCAAACCAATTTAAGTGCCAGTAAGGATTCTTACTACTCCTAATGAAGGTAAGTATTAATTAAATTTTGATAGGAAAATATAATGATGGTTATGATAATGAAAATCATGATCTCATAATTAGATAATATGACAAATTATACAATAGCAAAAAGAATATGTAAGTTATGTGAGATTAATAATTAAGAACATACATTTGTGAGGCTCTTTTAGGTGCAGGAACATTTGGCTAAGTTATCAAATGTAGTATAGAAGGAACAAAATAATAAGTTGCAATAAAGGTATTATATTAGGAGGATAATTAGATCATAAAAAATTAACCTGCATTTTAAAAATAACAAAAAATAGAAATCAATGTATTAAGAACTCTCTAAACATTCTCAAAAGAATAAAATATTTAAAAAAATCGTATAATCTAACTAAATGATTAATTTCCACACAAGAAACATGCTTGCCTAGTTTTCCCTTTATTGGCATAAAATTTATTTGAAGTGATGAAAACAAATAAATAAGAAGCATTTAGTGTGTCTTTAGTCAGAAAATTTCTCAATCAAATAGTAACAGGACTTACAGTTGCAGAATAATGTGGAGTTGTTCATGCAGATTTAAAACCAGAGAATATAATGATAGAATAAAAACAACCTATATTGGATGATTGTTCTCTTTAAATCATTGATTTTGGATCCAGTTGCTTTTTGAATGATAAACATCCTTATATATACATTCAAAGCAGATTCTATAGAGCTCCAGAAATAATATTAGAGAATCATAATTATACTAGTATTAATATGGAACTATGAATTATTAGCTAAAATTGATATTTGGAGTTTAGGTTGCATTGCAGTTGAATTATTATATGGTAATCCTCTTTTTCCATGTTTCGATCAATATTCTTGTTTAGAAAGAATAATTCAAGTTACCAAACCTACAATAAGTAATAAATTATATATATAATATTTTAGCTATGCAGGGATATGTTAAAAATGCCCCTGCATCAAAAAAATACTTTAACTTACTTTAAAATAATATTTTTTAATTAAAATCAAGGGAACAATTCACAGCTGAATTTCCTTAAATAAAAACTAGGGAAGGGTATAACTTGATGCATCCAATTAAGAAACTTACAGATCTAGCTCAATATTATAATTAATAATCTTCTAAAGGTATTTAATAAATATCATATTTGAATAGATTAACCTACATTCAATTAATTTCTAGATTTTGTATAAAAATGTCTTGAATGGGAACCAAATGCTAGAATGTCCGCCGAGGATGCTAGTTAACACCCATTTTTGACTGGATAAAACTAAGGATTTGAAATCAATATTGATTTAGAGGACTTATTTGCAAAATTGGATACTTAATCTAATTAAAGTAGTACTTCCTCTTTTTATGAAGACCAACCAGAGTTTTGAGATATTTCCATTCCTCAGATTAAAAAGTTCATTCAAATAACAATAAGTAAAAAAAAAATAAAATTTCCATTTGAATGATGTTTTAATCATTAAGAGGCAATTAATTAAAACAAATAATATTTTTCACAATATATAACTTATAATATAGTGCATCGATTCAGTAAATTAATTTCTGCTATATAATTCAACTAATTGTTGGATTTCTTTTCATTATTAAATTATAATAAACTTGAATGGGTCTTTGTCAATCTACCTAATCTACTCTTAAACTTCCTCGTATTCCTGCCTAAAAGCATATACAGATCAATTTTGATAAGATTAAGCAATACGAAATCCAATATACTCGTCAAGAACAATATTCAAAAAAGCAATCTACTGAAGGATTCTCACCTCTCAACAATGTTGTCAAATGAATCCAATCATGATTTCCTTATTTTCATAATCTCCAATCTATTATATATGTAATTCTCTATATTTCACTATCATTTTTCCTTTGAAATACCTAAATGATTTACTTCTTAATCAAATATTAGAGAATTAATGACATCAGGAGTTTTCTATAGAATCATTTATATCGCTGAAAAAAATGAAATTTCTAGAAATTAACATTTGAAAACTGTAAAAAGTTGATAATGAAAATCATCAAGTTTAGAAAGTATTGTGATTTTAGCAGTCATTTAATATATAGAAGCATAATTCTAATGAAAAATTTATAAACATACTGGTTGGTTATTTAATTAACTAACATTAAAATAATGATAAAAATAAATCAATTTTAACATATTACTTGATTACAATAAAATAAATATTATAAAAGAATAAATAAATAGGCAATTTTCTTATTCTGAAGTTTACCTTGGAATTATATTATATTATTTTTATATATTATTTATTAGATAAAAATGGATTAGAGTAAATAATTGATAAAGAATGAACTTTTAAATTTGAGTTTTTCAGAAGAACAAATTGCTCAAGTATTACCAAGTGCTGATAGTGTAGAATAAGCTGTAGAGTTACTATTAGCATTATAAGAAGGATAACAAATAAAAAAATAAAATATTGGATTATTTACAGATATTGATTCTATTCCATTTGATATTAATTTTGATGATATTAAACCACCAGGAGAGTATTTTGATAAGAGATATAAAATGGTATGTGTTGTGAGAATGGATTTAAAAATGGGGATTGGTAAAATAGCAGCATAAACAGGACATGCAGGTATATATAAATATTAAAATGAATAGTATTGGGAGCATATAAATAATTATTAAATGATAAATATGATTTATTACAAAAATGGGAAGGAAGTGGTTAAGCAAAAGTTGTAGTGAAATGTGACAGTCAATAAGAATTACATAATATTGAAGCAAAAGCAAGATAGAATGGATTAATTACATATATAGTAACAGATGCAGGTAGAACATAAGTAAGAATGAATTCGAGAGTCTTAGGTTGAACCTGGAAGCCAAACTGTATGTGCAATTGGACCTGCAGATTGTGATCTCATTGATTAAGTGACTGGCCATTTGAAATTATTATGATATCATTAATAATTTAATAGTATAAATAATATATCAATTAGTTGATCGAAAGTTTTTACTTAATCTTTTAAGATCTAATTAATTGACTATAGGGGTTGATTATTCTTATTATTTTTCTTCATTTCTTTAGGCTGATTCATTATTAAAATCTTTCATAAGATGTTAGGTTTCTTCAATCATTTTTAATTGCAACATTTATTACTTTTTGGATTGAACAGTTTTCCATAAACTGGTTCTAGATCTTTATTTAATTAATGGCATAGGAGCAAATGATTTTATACCTTTAAATGATAATAATTCAATCTATTCTCTAAGTTTTAGTAATCTATCTTATTCATCTTATACTTTTTATTTCTCTTTCATTTTTTCATGTTTTGTAGTATCCATATTAGATAGTTTTTCTCTCTATGTTTTAATTTGAATACTTGAATCAAGTTCTAACCACATAATGTCAGCTTTAACAAAACCATTTTCATTATAACCTCCAAATATTAATAATCTATTTTCATCTTAAGCAGCACAATGACCTGCTCTACCATCTCTATAGTCCATTTAAATATTACACCATGTTTAAGAATCGACTTTGAATATGTGACAATCATTTAAGAATATTGAATCAATATTAATTCCACCAAAGATAACAATCATTTATTACTTTTCAAAATAATTACATGTATGTTTATATCTAGCACATGGAGGAACACCTTTAGCTTTAACTTCAGTCCAATACATAGGTCTTTGATATGTATTTAATAAATAGAAACCAGAATATAATTAACCTTATTTATTTTCACCTCCAAATAAATATATTCCTTCAACTTTTTATTTCATATCCTTCAAATCTTCTGGATCTAAATTAGATTTATAAAGTTATATTAATCTGTTGTTATTATAAACAGAAACTAAAGTATGAAATGCTATTCCATTCTAAAAATAATTGCAAGTATCAATATTAGCAGGAGCTTATTTGGCTGTTGTGACATCAAAATGAAAGGCATCTGATAAATACTTTCCTTTAGTATTTATGCCTCCCATAATAAACATATGTTTCCCTACAAATGTACTAGACTATCCTCTTCTTACTTCTACTCCTTCTCCACTTGTTCTAACAATTTTAAACTCATTAGTTTCTGTATTGAAAACTCTAAAATCATTCAAACTTTCTCTAATTTTCTATGCATTATCATATGGCTTTTCTCCACCAAAATAAAATATAGACCTTCTATATACTCCAGCTATATGATTAGTTCTTCCAAATGGAGGTTTATCTATTATTTCAATTTAAGACCATTCATTTCCATTCCAAACATTCATATCATTAAATGGAGTTGCACTAATTCCACCATATAAATAAAACTTATTTTAAATTACACTCAATGTTGCTCCTTCTCTCATAGCAGGTCTCCATTTTCCATAAAATTTTTCAACCCAATTCAAAGAATAATTTGGTATTGAAGCATCTTAAATTACTTCTATTACTTTTGGTTAATTCTTATTTTATAACTAACCATCATCATTTAATCTAGATGGATAACATTTAATCCTAGGTAATCTTCCAACTGATTGACTCTTACTTATCGAATATTATTCAATTAATGATTACAGTTACTCATTCTAATGTTTTATTTATGCTTTATTATGTCCTAATTAGAATGCAATTTCATCTAAAGGACCATATCCTGTATATATTTTACTAGAACTTTTATCATTTAAACTCCTTAAACTATGTTAAGAATTATTTTTAAAGAGTCTGTCTCTATATGGTTACCATTTTTAATCTTTTTCTAATTTATCAACTAATGTTTTATCTACTTAAAGTAATTCTTATGAACTTACAAATTTACTCAATTTACTTTTATTATTTTATATAGGCAATGGTGGATGAATCTATATATATTATTCAAACATTTTACCATCTATGATCCTCTTTATACTAAATATTTATATTTTGTTATTGATAAATCACTTATTCCTTGACTCTAGTATTCCTTTACTAAATGATCCATAGCATCATCTTCATCATTAAAATTCAAGATAGGTTAAAGTGGAGAAGGTGAATCATAATTGCTCATTTTATTAAAGTAAATATAAATTTTGAAATAAATATTTATTATTTATATTCTTACAGTAAGTGATTTGACAGTAAATGATTATATTAATTTATCTTAATATTTGAGTATAGTCATAAATAATATATTTAATGTATTTAATATTATATATAACTATTTATAATAATGTACATCCTCTAAATCTAATTAAACTAATTGAATTAGATTTTCATTTTTTCAAACTTAAGTTTCAATTCTCAATAATTAACAGACTAATATTATTAAAGTTGATTAAAAATATATTAATTTATTTATAAATATTTTTATTTATAGAATAACCTCCAAAAATAGGTTTTTTAATAGCCAAGCTTTGGTCTTAGTAAAATTATTTAAATACATTCATATTAACATATTAAAATAAATACTTGAATTTACTTATAATTTATCGATATAAATATTAATTATAAGCTATTGCGTTAATATATTTTAGCTCTTCATATATAAAACTAATATTATCAAATAAATTAATGGGAGTGTGTCATAACAAAAAGCAAGAACAAATGAAAAATACAACTATCCTCAATAAAAGTCAACCAAGAGCTAAAATTCCATAGACAACAGAATAAATACTAGAATTTGCTATAACAGAGCCCTTTGAAGATAGCAATCTCATATACATTTCTCCATAATTCAAACATAAAACCTAATCATCAAAGCAACCAAGTCCTACCTACTCATTGAACCTCTCAAATTATAAATATCGTTTTTCTTCAAAATATGTTCACTAAGAATTCAAATTGAATGAGAGTATCATACTTATTTTATTAGTTAGAATAGCTTATCATTCATAGAGAGAGTGGGTTACCATATTACCTTGAAATTTTGGAGTCTAATTCTTAGAACAGAGGATTGATTAGAAAATTGTTTAATCCTACTAGTCCAAACAATCAATAGGACCCATCAAATCTCTTCAATATTGTTGAGATATGCTTATAAGATAGATTAATCTTGGTTGTAAGACAATATAAAGAGGCTCAAAGCCTTGAATCACAATTATAAATTGTCAAATCAAATGTAAAAACTTTATCAATTCCTGTCAATCAGATAATTAATATTATAACAATACTACATTCATTAGATATAATACATTTTAATTTGAGTATCAAATCATTCTAGTATTAATAAGTATCAGGAGAAATATATCTAAACAATTTATCGGATTTATATAATAGTGAAGAAGTTAATTATTAATACATATCTCCAGAACAATTAAATTATATTCCTTACTTTACAAAAGAATGTAATATATGGGCTTTGGGAATGATTATTTGTTAAATGATGGATTGTCCAAGGGTTCCTATTTATAGTGATAATTTGAGTAAGTTTAAAAGACAAGTAGAGAAGTGGCAACCAAAATAGTCAATAAAACATATCTAGGATAAAGATCTATAGGAATCTATAATTAAAATGTTATAAAAAGATCCAAGTTAAAGAGTATTATGAATTTCTCTATTTATATTATAAAATAAATTGAATTTTATACATAAATGAAAAAAACCAGACTTATTTTATAGTGAATGTTAAATTATATTGAAAATGGAACAAAAAATTGATAATATTTGTAATGACAACAGAGAATTGTAATTCATTTATTAGATTTGCCTTAGATCTTATAAGAGATGAAGATTATTATACAAAAACACCACCAAAGAAAGAATTAATCAAACCTAAATTGATACTATTTGAAATTGACGAAAGTCCAAAAATCTAAACTCCTATTTAACTATTTCCTATTTAATAAAAAATAATAAAAGTTAAGTAAATAGAAAAGCCAATTATAAATACAATTACAAAATGTAAATGTATGAAATCAAAATGCCAAAAATCATATTGTGAATGTTTTGCTGTTGGAAAAGCTTGCAATATTAATTGTAATTGTATTGGATGTAATAATTCAAGTTGTTCCTAATCTATTAAGAAATTATAGACTGGAGGATGTAATTGTAAGAAAACAGGTTGTTTAAAAAAATATTGTGAATGTTATTTAAAAAAATAAAGATGCACATTATTTTGTAATTGTATAGATTGTTGTAATTAGGAAGATTCAGAATAATTGTAATAAAAAAGTATTGATTGTGGATTAATTATTACTAATTAAATAACCTAAAAATGAATGGAATTTTATAAAATAATTTAAGCTCATTTAAATAATTGAATTGGCCTTCTCAACCTATAATACTATGATGGAATATTGTATATGAAATTAGTAATTGTGTAGTATACTAAATAATGTGGTTTCATTCTAAACTTTCCCTTCTATCTTAATTCATAATATAATTAATCCCTAACAAAATGTTAATCAGTAATTGAAACCCATTTTAATTTTTAAGAACAAGTAGTTAAATCTCTATTAATTAAATCTAATATTACCTAATAACTTCATTTCCATTCTAATATTTATTAGTTTCTTCTTGATTCATAGAGATAGTTAAATGCATAAGTAATTCATTAGCCATTTTTGTTCTAAAATCTCCTTTAGGGAATGCTACATCTAAATAATTTGGAATGCACACTAATTCAGGTGCATGTTTCTTATATATATATTCCATCATAACTTTAGCAATTTTCTAATTATGAGCTTATCTTTTTTTAAATATAATGCGTCCATCAAACCATTCATTTATTACTAATATATATATATATATAATATACTTCCAGCTAACATTATATATCTAATAGGTAATATACAAATAACACAGTAAAGTGAAAATAAGGCATAGAGAAACCAAAGAGTTCTATGGTATTCTTACCAAGTGAATAAATTAATCACTTTTTCTGCAAAATTACTCAAATAAGTTAAATATAATTAAACAATAAAGAAAGTTTTCTTGATTGCTCTAATTTTTTGATAAAATGATTCTTTTGGTTCATTTTCATCATCAACTTCTAATTTAATTTCATTTCCTTCAAATTTAATTACTTTATCTAATGATTAAGTATTCTTTTTAAGATCTTTTTCTTCTTATGTGAATAATTAAGGAGTCTTATAATATTAATTCAATTCACATAAAATATACTTATCCAAAAATAACCCTACATAATGATGTATTGTGGGATGTTAATAAATTAATATGAATAATAATAAGAATCCAAAGTATTATAGAATATTATTTAAATCTGCATTGTAAATGAAGATAAACATAAAAGTAAAAACTATTAAAGTTAATCTAGGATACTTTTAATCTACTACATCTTCTAAAGCAAGTTAAAATTAAATCATTAATGAGATTATTCTTTTAAATCTGATGATGTTCATTTTGATAACAGTAAGATCAGGCTCTAATTATTCATTTTCATATGAAAAAACAGGACCAGGTCCAAAAAGTGACAAAGGACTTGACATATTCCTTATTGTAACAATTAAACATGGTTATTATTCATCTAGATTTGTAGAATTTTTCTTAAGAAATTAAAATACATCATTATTGTTACTATCTTTATTTAATGGTAATGATATTCTCTAATAGAAAATAAGATATAAATTTTTACTGAAAACTTAGTTCCTGAATGATAACTCAATAAGTCTGCAATTTATATTTCAGCTACACCTATAATTGATTATTTGACTTTTCTTTTCAAAATACCATCCTATATTTCACTTATCAATTCTAATCTTAATACAGAAAAAGAATCTATTATTGGAAGAATGTAATCTTAACTCCATTATGGGTTATTACTATATACATGTTATTTTGTTTAACATGTAAATGGAGGAAATGATATTTTAACAAACAAAAAAGAATCTTAAATTATATTAGTTAAATTAATTGCTTCCTTTATTTGAATCTATACTTTTCCTAAAGAATGAAAATCATCATGCATTCCTTCATATTAAATAACATCTTGAGATGCTAATTTCAATTGAGTATACCAGATTTTTAATAAATTAGGATCATTTACTGTTAATTAAATCTTCTAATAATCATAATCATGATACATTAACTATTAATATAGATTTAAATTTACAATGACATCATCTGCTAATTCAATTTTAATTTAAAATAATATTATTTGACAACTAAAATAATTATAAGATATATGTTAATATAATTGTAATGTGCCTTCTTAAATCTTTCCATAAAATGTTTACCAAGTTTCATCATCTGAAAATCTTAATTATACATTTGTAGCCAATTTCTTTTATTAATCAAAACTATAATTTCCTACTTGACTTGCATCTTCAGTAGATAAATTATGATATCTAAATTGCCAATCTGGTTCATCTTCATTTTAAACATCTGTTGATGCAAGAATAGTTTATTTTTAATTTCCAAGTACTATATTTTTTATGTTATTTTTATTTACAATCTCTTGTCAAAAAGTAATATAAGAATTTTAGAATATTGCTCTATATTTAAGGATGTTACATTGCTATTAAAACTAACTTATTTAAAAATAGATGAAATCCAGCTTTTCTTTTCTCTGTTTTAAAGAGCCATTCATGTTTAGATGGAAATTAAGGTAAATCCAAATTACAATATTTCATTTTCAACTTAACTATCAAATAATTTATATACCACTTTGTGTAATGCATAAAACTCATTATATCGTCTATTACAAATAAATGGTTGAATATTTGGATGTTTCACTTATATTTTATATAATGTAAAACTAAATCCATATTCATTCTCTGTCCCAATAATATTTATCTAAAGTTATTTTAAATCTAGTTTCAAAAAATCATCAAAAGTTAATTTAAAACCTTCCATTGATGATTTCACACTCATTGGACTGCTTTGAGACATAATTATAAAATAATTTATAATTCAATATTTTAAATATCATTACCATACAACTATCTATTCCCAATATTCTAATAATATTTAAAATTCATTTTCATTTATTAATTTCTTATATTTGAATATCATTTTTTTATAGATTTTTGAATAATATGTAGATCTTCATTAGTATTATTAATAATATATCAATATCCTTTAATATAATACTCAAAATAAAAAGTATAAAGTAATTTTGAATATTATAAAATTTAAGAGTATTGTAAAAATAATTCATCTTATATTAGAGTCAATTATAAGTGAGTTTTAAGTTGAACTTAATTCAATTAATTCCTCAAAAATAATAAAATTTCACTCTTTACAAATAAAAATAAGAATCAAAAAATTTCTTATAATAATTACTTCAAAATTATACAGCATAAGTCTTGACTCCATCAATAAAATTGATTTGTAATATTTTTTTATATTTTATTCGTAAAAATATAATGAATAATAGATTTGAGAATTCTTAAGACCATGATTTAGATATGTGTGGCATTTCAAGATCATACTCATAAACAAAATTACCTAATCTTAACAATCATAATAAAGATAAATTAAAAAATGAGTTTGTATAATATATATTAATCATAAGGTGGATAAAAAGTTATTGTAAAGAAAGGATTATGAAGATCTTGGAGGTTCTATTTAACTTAATAATTTAAATATTTTGGGATTGAAGGATTACTACTCTGGAGCATGTGATAATAATAATTAAGAAATCTAACTCACAAAAATAGAAGAAACTAATGATTGTATACAAATAGAAACACAATAAAATGAACCATTTAATAATACTCTAGATTAATTAGGTCAAAAATTGAATGAAGTTATAGGACAATATCTCTGTGAACTTACCTCTTAGTCTAGATTATCCTTGGATTCATTCTCCCTTTAGAACAGTGAAAATTTAGATGAAGAACAACAATAACAGATTTTAGATCTTGAATTAAATGTCATTAGATAGCGTATTTATAAAGTAACATTTTTTATTTAAAATTAGCAAATCGTTGATAAGATCAACCTATCTGTTATATAATCAGTTTAATCAATAGGAACTTCTAGTTAACTTACATCTTAATCAAATTATATTTCTACATGCGTTTCAAAAGAACTTTTAAATAACAGTACTACTTAATTTTCCTAAATTTCACAAAAATCACCCCCTAAATCACTTACTCATTCTCTATTAGATTTATAATCACAACTTTATCAAAGTGCACAATAAGCTTAAGCTAGACCTAATAAAAAAGTTGATGAATTACCTTTTAATAATTTAGATTGTGAAGGTACAAAAGAAGAGTTACAAAATAAACTCAAGATTTCCATATAATTAAATTATTAATAGTCTTAAATAAACAGTCAATTAAGAGAGGAATTATAAAAATATGAAGTATGGTAATTTGATTAAACCTTTTAGAAAATGAATTAACCAGATTCAATATAAGAGGATGAAATACTTACTTTATAATAAGAGATCCAAAATTTGAGACTGGAAAATGCTAAACTAAAAGAGTCTTAATCAAATAGACTATGCGAAAAATGTAAAGATAGTATATGACTTTTTGAAATAAAATTCAAATCTATAATTGTCATTTATTCAATTTTTCTTATTTTATTAAAGGCAGTATTTTATCCAAAACTTATTAGTATTATTAAATAATATTTCTGATTTTTGTTTCTTCTTTTTGTGGTTGTTACAAACTCTTATGTCTCTAGTACCCCTAGTTTTAAAACTTGAAATTCTTAATAGGCTTAACGTTCAAACTCTTCTCTTAGTTATTTAAATATTTAGGTAAGGTTTTAACTGCTCTGGGACTAGTTTTACTATTAGACTTATCATAAGTAGATGTTCTTAATTATTAGACATAGATTACATTTATTATAATTTAATATGCATTCTAGCATTTTCTTTCTTTCTATTTTCCTTTAATTCAATTGATCTTTTGGAATTACAAGAACTTACGCTACGAATTGATTATCTTGAATACAAATATATTTTTAATTAATTTTACAGATTTTTGGAAAGTGGACTCCACATTATTTAATTTATGAAGTAGTTTTTTGTTCTATTTCATAATTCCTTCCCATCTATTAATTTCTTATTTTCTGGCAGCTATATATCTGTTTTGCTTATAAGAATCAAACGTTTTATCTAATTTTGGAAGTGAACTCTTCCTTTATTTAATGTCACTTAATCTCCTCTAATGAATCAAGTAGGCTCTAAAGAATTATTGATTTCTTATACTGCTGATTCTATTGTTAGATGTATCTCTGCATATACTTTCTAACTAATTTATATATATAAAATATATAAAAAACAATCAAACTATTTTGGAAGTAACTTAGACAAACTTTTTGAGATTTATTTATTTTTTACTCAATAAATAGATTGCAGCAACCACGCAAAATCCAGTAGTAATGCTCCACTTCCAATACTACTCTTTTTTCTTTTTGTTTTGATTCTTATCAAATTATCATGTATTGTTACCGCTTAGGCTTATTTCTTAATTATTTCGATTTCTTTGAGTACTTTTTATCTCCTTTGTCTAACTCTATTCATGTCATAGAAGGTAACAACCTTATTGTGTATTACTATTTACCTTATCTGTAATGCATTCAGTCTTTTATTAATTATTGACTTCTCGAAAATGGCTGAACAAGGAGAGTTTACTGATGAAGTAAACTTTTACTTTTAAGGCAAATTGTTTTCTATTGATAGTTATTTAATTCATTTGGAGAAGTTTAGAGAAATCTAGATTTACATCTCCATTGTATAATATTATTAACACAATTGTTGGATATTTATACTCTTCTAAATATGGTATATATTCTGATCTAATAATCTGATGTTACCTAGTCTTCAAATTAATGTTTAGTTTACAGTTGATTTAAATAGGTTGTCTATTTTCAATTTAATTTCGTAACACAATTATTTGGCTTTGGTAGCTGGATATTTAATTCTGGTCTCAAATATCACAATTTCTCCTTAAAGTATGTCTCCTTGATCTTTTGCTAATTTATTTGAATATAACTCATAGAAGTTATGTTAATGTTATTCTTACTTGTCTTAATTAAAAGAATTAGATGGATTATGCACAAATTGATGTCTTCGATTAGCTTAATCTTGTCTACTTTATTATTTAAATAATACGTAGTTCTTATTGATCTAAAGTATTCTTCTTTAGTATAAACATTAGTGTTTTCTAATTTCTGATCAAACATTAAAGAAAATGAATTAAAAGTGAAATTTCTCAATGCAAAAAATACTTGACTTTCAGTGTTTTGATTCTAAATTAAAACTAGAGCAAATTACATTAATTTGTTATGTCTTATAATTTATCAATTATTCACAACTCACTTTTTTTGAATCCAGAATATGTAGCATATGAACAAATGAAGGAGTTAAAAATGAATCAAATTCATCTCCAATTAAATAATGTGCATAACGCTATAAGAATTGACTCTCTATTTTTGAATGAATATCTTAAGCAGAAGCCTAAGATTTTCCTGTTTGTGCTATATCGTTCATTTTAACAAAAAACTAATATTAAATATAATAATAATTCTGATTATTTTAAATTCAACAAAATAATAGAATAATGGGTTGCTAGTCTTATATTATTCTTATTCCACATTTCTTATATACTACTAAATTTATTTCAAACATAATCTTCACATACTTAGTTTTATGTAAAATTCTTTTCTGATTTCTTATATCCTCTAAATGTTAAACCTTTTATATATATATATAATAATTAGTTTAAAAATAATCCATTCAAAAGGTTACTAGAAGAGGTTCAAATTAAAATATTATTATTTACACTTAATAATGAATCAAAAACCTAAATTATAAGGTTGGTAAGATTTTACTAACACTTCAAAATTTACTAATCAATTAAGAATCTTAAGTGACTCATTAAATTAAACACCTAGATAAACTAAACCTCCTAATTCTCCATTTAATAATGTTATCATTAAAAAATGTTTAACTCAACAATCTCAATCTCCTAATTAAAGAAGAAATCCTTATAGAGATTACTAATAATATACTTGTAATAAAAAGACTTACTCTCCAGTTTCCAAAGAGTAACTATTTAATTTTAGTTCAGAGAAAACTCAAAAAGAAACTAATATTAAATTTAATGTTTCAAATTAACCAAAATAAATGAAATAAAGTCCTGTTGTACGATGCGTCTAAAGATATCAAAAATAATAACTAAGAAATAAGTTATTAATGATTTCAAAAGATTTAAACAATACTTAAATTAACCATATAATTTAACTAATTTATAAATGAAAAATAATTGTATAAATTTCAATATGTCAAACTTTTTTACTTTAAGAATTTGCCATGGCTACATTAATAAATGGATGATAAAGAGCATCTTCAGGTGTTATTCTATTTTTTGGATCTAATTACAAACATTTTTCTAATAAATCTTTGAATTACAAAAGCATTTTTTAATCTTCAGCATTTAAACCTTATTCTTTATTCTTTAAAAGAGTTCCAATAGTTCTTGTAGGTTTCTCCCCCAATAACACTGGTTTTAAAATAACTTATTTTGTGATAGGATCAATTTCTCTACTCTTAAAATTAAGATGTTAATCAAAATATTTTGAAGTTAATGCAGATCGTCTCAACATTTTCATTGAAAATTTTCCCATTGTTTATAAATGTAATTTCAACATATCATTATTATTGTCTCCTGAAAACAAGAATTATCCTGTAAACAACTCATATAATGTACATGCTGTAGCCCATACATCAATATTAGTATCATAAGGGTATCCAATAATAATTTCAGGTGCTCTATAATATCTACTTACAAGATACTCTACTACTGTTACTTCATCAACAGTGAAAGCAGTACCAAAATCACAGAGTTTCAATAATTTTGTATCAGCTGATATTAATATATTATCTGGTTTAATATCAGCATGTATAATTTTGTGTTTTCTGAGATGAGCTAAAGCAACAAATAACTACATAGCATAAGATCTAATTGCTGGTAAATCTAATCCTTATCCTTTTGTATATACTTTTAATGCATCTCGAAGATTTAAGTCTAATGATTCAAATACTAAACATAGATGTTTTCTATGTTCAAAACTTTCAATTAATCTAAGAATATGCTTTTTATTATTTGAATCAGCTTCATTTAATTATTTTAAGATTTGTCTTTCTCTTTCACCAGATCTAATGTATATATCTTCAGCCCTAATAAATTTGATTGCATATTCTTATCCATCTTTAATAGCTTTGCACACATTTCCAAACACTCCTTTACCACATTTATTAATTATCTTGTAGTCCTTAATCATTTCACCAATGGTAATTCTATAATATTTATCATCATCAGCCTCATATGATGCATTTGTGTTATGTCTCACCATCATATTTAAATCATCATTTTCTAATTCATCATCTAATTCATCAAACATATCTAAAATGATTTTTTTTTATGGCTATCCTGTTTATTATTATTATTGTTCCTCTTAATTGTTTACTTAAATTAAATCAATAATTACAATTCCTTTATTAATCAAGCATACGAAAGTAACTCTATTTATTTTCATCAATCTATTATTGTGGTTGATCAAACATAAATCCTTAATTATTCTCTTTATCAGGTGAAACTTAAATCTCCTATTCTAATTATTTAAATAATTCTTCTCTCATCTGTCTTCTTCTTAAAAATACAGCCTCTTCATCTTCAATATCCAATTCTTTTACATTTTCATCATTATCCACTTGTATAATTATACCCTCTTATTATTATTATTAATTTCCAATACTCTATTCTTGTTTCTATTCTTCTAAAGGTTACCTTGATTTTTATTGTTAATATATAATTTTTCTATCTTCTTTCTTTTCTTTTCTATTTGAATCTTTTTTATGCTTTTTTTTATTTTTTTTATCCCTCTCTTTTTCCTTACTTCTACTTCTTTTTTTATTTTTTTTTATTTTTGCTTTCCTATGTTTTGATAGTGATCTCTCTTAATCCCATTCTGGAGTCCGTTCACCTTCCTCTAAAATTCCATTTTTTTAACCATCACCATTTGGAATTTCTCCTTCTTCCATCATATTACTATATGTTATAAATTATATAATTAAATTTTATTATTTTTCTTTTCCATTAATATTATTCATATGTATTATTTATATGTACAAAAAATTAAGCATATTATGTTCATCATTATAAGATTGATTTATTATAATAATATACAAAATTAAATCAAATTTAAAGTATTATCTATTCTATCAATAATATTATGTTTTTTGTTTTTATTGATTTTCTCTTATTTAAAAAGTAATACTATTAAGACATTCTTTTTATAATAAAGAATTATTATAAAAAGATATTTCTGAGTCTTGATTTAAAATTAATTTTTATAAAAAAAATATTCAATTATTTTAAATTGCTATAATAGAAATAATAGTTGAATCTTTAAGATATGAATGAAATCTTTATTATTTTAATCACAAATTGAATTAAATTCCAAATAATTCTAGTATATATTAATTAAATGAAAAGCTTAATTCAAAAAATTTATATTAAAGAAAAGTAATCTTGAGTTTAATATTGGGATTATAACACAAACTTTAAAGATCTTTTTAAATCAATAATATCATTTATATGGTTAAATTCAATAAACAATCTCAAACTTTTCCTAAAGACTCCAAAAGCAATACATGTATAAAATATTTTGAATTTAGAATCTCAAGATAGCATAGAAAGTCTTAGTTAGTGTTCAATTATAATCGAAGAAGGTGGTCCTCATTAAGAAAATTGTACCATATGCTTTAAAAAACTTTGCTCAAAATGCTATAAATAATTAGAACTTTTCCCTTCAAAGAGAAACTAAACTTTCTAATGTCCATATTGTGAAGAATTAAAGGAATTGAAAAATACTATCCTATGCTTTATTGTGAATACTCTCTAATTGATTATTTTCCTTTCCCTCTCACCTCTAGTGGCATTTGCACTTGCTCTGAATAAAACTGAAAAGTTTATACAAGAATTAGAAACAAAAATTGATAGCATTTTCATAATATTGATTGTTAACTTACTTTTCAGCATACCTATATACTTTGGAGAACTTATAATTTGTATTTTTATTGCTCCATTGAAAATTTTCCATGCTTTTCATGAAGCCATAAACAATAGGGACTTTGTAATAATGAAAAGAGTTTTCTCGTAATAATGAAATTTGATTTTATATGTGTATATTGATTAATACGTAATATATATCATAATCATTTCTTTTAATTTGAGTATATTATGGCAAAGATGATGCCAAATAAATATGCATTAATTGAAAACAATTGTTTTAAAAGGCCTTATTCTTAAAAATAATTTGTATGAATATAATTATTTTAGATTAATTATGGATTTATCAGATTAAAGTGTTTCTGAAGAATATAATCCCAATTCTTTTTTATTATTTAGATTGAATTTAGTAAAACATTAACATAAATGTAATATGTTATTGATGAATATTATTATTGGTTTAAATTATGCTATTATATGTAATCAAATATAAAAAATATACTATTTAATATTGGATAAGAATAATATGATATTATGAATAAGAATAAGATTTTTCGAATATATATTATGATAAAAGAATTAAATTTATTGAATGTTAATTAATTTAATTATGAGATTTTGTACATAATTTTTCAGATATTTTATAAAATATAGAATATTATTATAAATATATATAGATATCTTCAATATATTTGAATTATTTATTCATAAACTACTTATATAAAATATCAAAGTCTAATTAATGTTGTTTATTGTATTTTATTATAGTTTTATATAGAGTACTAAATTATATGAAAAATATTAATGTTTATTAATATTATTATAATTAAAAATCAAATTATATATTGATTAATATTATATTTGTAGTTTAATAAATACAGTTAAATTCACTAGCATTAATTAAATGAAGACTGAGGAGGAAGAATATTCATTGATTCTATTTATAATAGAGTTCTTTTAAAATGACTAAAATTATATGAAATTGTAATTACACATGAATTGATTATTTTTTTAGTTTTAGATATTTAACTTCTAAGGGAGATGGACTTAATTCTCCATTATTTTCTTCATGTTCTTCTTAATTTAATTGTTCTTTTGTTATTTTACTCATGCTTTCTAAAGCCAAAGATAGAAGATTATTATTATCTTCAAAAAAAGAAAGTTATGATAAATTATTTTATTGACTAGGCATACCAATTACAGTTTAATTTCCACTTTAATTACAACTACTGAATGAATCATTAAAACTAGATTAACTTTTTTATTTTGCAGGTGTTAATGAGATATTCCGACATTTCTATTCAGGTGTTTTTAAAAAACTATGTCCAGATAATCCATCTATACCATTTAGAGTACTTGATGATGCTTGTTTTTTTCTATTTTATAATAAATCTAATTATTCTTAATCTGTAGTTCTTCTTGATCGTTTTAAAATTGCAATTTCTGAACTTGGAACTTGAAGTGATGATGGAGTATAATCCCAATCATATCTTAATTAATCTTAAATATTTTATTAATGAGCTAATTTTTAAAACATTGATCTTAAGAATTTATAATCTGGAGTTGCTCTAAAATCTAATTTACGTGAATAATCAATCATTCTCTCAAATTCATTTGGTAAACCATTACATAATTCATTAAGTGGTATTGTATTTTTCATATCACCTACAGCTTTAATTTTTTATTCATCCTATAATTTTAAAACTTGCCAAGGTAGGCTTCCTAAATAAAAATAATAGACTTAACCTTTCAATAGATATATTAAAACATATCCCAAAGATTCTAAATCATCTTTTCTACTTAGTTCTTATCCTTTATGAGCTCCCAAACTAGCATATCGAGATGTTCCTAAAAATGATTTATTTTCACAAAAATTGCTTAGAAATAATCTTAATTATAATACATATGTCTGCCTTTTTTATCTCTATAAAATTTACTGATTCCAAAATCCACTAAGTATAAATTTGAATCATTATCTCTCCCAGTCAATATATTCTCTGGTTTTATATCTCTATGCAAAACAGATCTCAAATTGATATCAAATTTTACTTTAAATGTATATTTTCAAGAATACTAAGCATTTACTCTGCAATTAGTAGTACACATTTTAGTGAAAACTTTTTATATTGTCTTATATAATAAGTGAGATCTTTTCCCAAGAAACTTATTACCATTAGTGTTTATTTCTTGTATTCTCCAAAATAGTACAGTCTAGGTATATTAAGTGTTCCATTCAAATGCTATAGAATTTTTGCCTATTGATATTAATTACCTAAATATAGTTACTTCTTTTTCTAAACTGGATCCCTAATCATTCTTTTCAATCTTTATTGCCACATACTAATTGGTTTAAACATCTTATCCTACATACACTACACCAAATGACCCTTAAGAAATTTTCTTCTTTATTAAGTATTAATCATTAATCATTAAATTAATGTCCATATTACATTATATGCGATTCCTAAACAAATAAGCAACATTTTTAATAATTAACACATGATGTGTAAATAATAAATCTTAATTGTAAGAATTAGACTCAATTCATAATTACACTTAATTATCTCAAATGAAATTAAATCAATTAGGTTTAGATAAAGGATAATGTTCTTTTCTTTATAATAAATATTAATAGATATAAATGCATTAATAATTAAACACTGATAAGAGAAATAGTAATAATTTAAAAAATAATTGTATTTATCAATAGATTTTACATCAATTCCTTAATATCAAAATTAAAAAATAAAGCTACTAAATTATTATGATATTCAATTCTTTTAAAGAAAGAATATAAATCATTGGTTATATATAATATATTATAATATTTATTGATTGTTATTGACACTACAATAAACAAGGAGAGTTAATCATTTTGATACTGATTTTTTAGATATCAAATGTAAAAATAATTACTTTTTATTATACTATCATCTATTAAATAATATAATAAAAAATGTCAATATCGAAATAATTTCACCTTTAATTATCACAATCACCAAGATCTATTAATAAAACCTCTTTAAAATATGATCTTGCTTTACTAGGTTAAAGTGAAAGATTGATAAAGTAACCTTAAATTGCTCCTTAAAAACGTCATAGAAGTATAATGAAACAGCAATTATTTCTTAAAACTTAAATATAAAATTCATCATTAAATAAGTCAAATGAAGACTTTTTATTTAAGAAACAGAATTAAAATTAAATCTCCTTTTAAGAATAATTAATTATGAAAGATTTGCTAATATAAGAGTACGAAAAAAAATATAAGGATCAAGTAATTGTAATTTTAGAAATTTAGATTAGTATTTGTTAATAATTGACTTTTTAAGTTGAATAATAGAAAGAGTTGATTGATTAATTGTAATTGCAAATTAATCATCTAAAACTATATAATTTAGATCTTAAAAAATAGATTGATAATAGTATTTTACATCAATAATGCAATTAAAAATAGCAAGAATACAAAGATTAATTAAAGAGATTTGATGAAATTCTTAGATAAACAATGGATTAAAATTATACTACTTAATAAAAGATTAAAGATTTTGAACTTAAATCTTAAAAACTTAAACAGTAATCAGTAAATACTTAAATAATATTTAGAATGATTTAAAATATCATATTATATGTAAGAATTGCAATGCTTAAATTAAGAATGCAGTTACTTTGATACCTTGTGCACATACATTTTGTAATAGATGTATTAGTAATTTTAAGGGATAGTGTTTTGTATGTTTAGATTAAGTAAGATTTTAATAATTAATTATAGAGTAAAGTTACAGCCACATATTCCAATGATTATATAACAGATTTGGCTTAAATATACTAAACTTTAGAATCTTTAATAAGTGTAATATAATGATGATTAATAATTTTATAAATAAATAAAAGAATTATCATTTAGTAAAAATATTAAATTTCTTACTATGATATATATGATGAATTAATTATACATAAAATATAAATTACATTAAATCAAAGATTAAGTAGTCCTTAATAGTATTCATTATAACAATTTTGTAAGTCTTATTCAACTTTTTGATGACATTGTTCATATTCTCTTTCATCTTATTATGATTTATAACATTATAAGGCTTATCTTTCTATAAAGAGTAAACGTGTAGATAAGAAATTAGCTATATTGTCTATTTTACCTTCATATTTTTCCATACCTAAGAATATTAGATTGTGTTTTTTACATGTGGCAAATATTTCAAAATTAGTTGAATTATCGAGACAAATTTGTTTATGCTTTGCTGCTGCTTCAACAGATTTAAGCATTTATTCTTCAGATAGTTTTATATTATGTTTATAGGAATCGAAATCCTTTTCATATTACTATTTTCTATACATAAATTTAATATTAATATATTATTGTTTAATTATATTAATAAATAAATAATGCATCATTAATATGTTTTATTCTAAATAATAGGTTCACACATAATACTATTATAAACTTTTTCTCTTAGTAATTTAATAAAAGTTTGTGTTTGGTTTTCGATTAATTCACCTAATAATCTTGGTATATAAGTGTAATATTTTCTATAGATATCTTTTTCTGTACTTGTGAGTTTTTCTTACTTTACAAAATAGCAATAACTAATTTGATTAAATTTTTCTATGTATTCAATACTTGTATTATTAATAAAATTCTTAAATTAATTACTAAAATCTCATACTTTTAATTGATGTTGAGGTAATTACTGTTTCATTAATTACAAACAATTTACCATATGATTAGTTAATTCATAATAATTCTTACCAGTACTCATGAATTAATTATTCACTTGTTATTGTATTTTATTTATATAATTATGTATCACAGGATTAATATCAATTTATACTTTCCTACATAATTTATAAAATATATATATATACTTATTTAAATTGATACCATTTATATCAATATTTAATTAATAATCATTTGTCATAGTATTATAACCCTATAGAATTATAGTTATTATTTTTAGAACTTCTTCTAATAATTATTCTTTCTGAGTTTCAGTTTCTTAATCATTTATTATTCTTTAATCTTATTTTGATGATATTTATAATTTATAATCATCTAATATTAATTAATAATGAGCAATCAATTCATTCTTTTAATTGATTTCATTTAATTATTAAGTCTAAGTATTCAACTATTAATGATAATTGTCTTCCATCTCACTTAATAATTTCTCAAACTCTTTGATAGTTTCATCTTATTCCAATAATTTATTTTTATAATATTAAAGTTCCTCAATCATTTCCTATTTTTCTTCTTAAATACTTTAGCATATTTATTAATACTTATCTAATTAATTAATCATCTTCTACACCTTTTCAAAGGCATTCTTTCCATCTACTATACATACTTTATTGATAAATAACTCTAATTATGACATCATTTTATTAGAATAGCTTTAATTTGATTATTGTTTTATTTGATCTAATATTGGTTTAAATGGAAGAGAATTACCTTATTGATATGAATTATCTAATAATTTAATTACCTATTCAATTTACTAAGATTAATCCATATTAATAGTCCAACAACCTTTTAAAGCTTATCTCAATCCTTAATGTTATTTTTAATATAATTTAGTAATATCCATATTACATTACAATAGTTCAAAAAGTACTCTACTTTTTTCTTTATAAAATAACAATTCATCTTCTTTTTTGATAAGTTACTCAACCATTTCTTCTTGTTTCTATATAGTCAATTATAGTATTTCTTAATTCTTTGATATAATCTATTAATTCATTTAACTACAATGTCTTATAAATATGTCTAATATTTCTTTTTATTCTAATTCTCTGTTAATAGACTCTTATAATTCTTATTAGTAATATGGAGTAGTTTCAATATATTTAATTTGAACATTATCCTCTCCTTATTTATCTTATTCTATAAATAAATTCATAATTTCTTTGGCTGTAGTAGTTTAAACAGGTACTTTTAATTTTTGAACATCTTTTTATTGTTAATTGTAATCTTCACTTAATGATTAATATTTTTCTTTGAATCCTTCATTGTCTCTTAGTTATTGTTCCAAATAATGAATTTATTAAGACAATTCATCAATCAAATAATTCTATTATGATAACTCATCCCGCATTTATTCAATTTCTCTATCTTTTCTCATAAGTTATGTGATAACAGGAGAGAATTGTTTATTTTTAGGAGGCAATGTACTTTGAGAATCATAGGAAAAGTTAAGTTAAAAACTTCTATCGATCATTTGAAATTAATTTTATAATAATGTAATAGTTAATTAATTAAATTATCACATCAAATAAAAAGTTTAATAAAATAGTATACCAAATTTGATTTATGTTAATTGAGTTATTGAATGTATTTATTTATCTAATTATCATTTATTTTTAAATATTGAGATTCTCAAATACATTCTTTAATAAATAATAATAATATCAATTATATCAATTATGTTTTTTAATTAATAATAAAAATAGCTATTCTTGTTTTTCAATATATAGATTATTTAAATATATTTAAAATAAATCAAAATAATCTCTTTCATTATATAAATACTAGAAATAATATATATTAATAAATAAAATGGAATAATTACTATTAGTTTAACCTGAAAGAATGTTGAAATTCGAATTAGAAAATAATTAATATGTTGCAAGAATAATTTTACAAAATGTTTCAGCAATCTTTGTAGCTTTTAAAGTTAGATTAAGCAATCAAAATGATTATAGTGTAAAACCAAATATAGGAGTTTTAAGAGCTGGTAATAGTGTAACATTGTTATTAACAACAGACAATGCAATTAATATAAATGTTGATCGTGTTTAGATTTTAGCTGGACCCATTTCTAATAATGAGGTATAATTTAATAAAATTAGCAGGATGTAATATAATATTTCAAAAAACAATTAAGATTAAATTAAAGAATCCTTAAATGTAGTATTGGTGATACTTCATCATTATCATCTACTATATATAAATCTTCAATTTCTCCATAAGAAATTAATGATTTCAAAACAACTACAATTAAAACTGAATATGTTAAACCATAAAAGAAATAATCAGCAACAAAAGAAGATGGTTTAAGTTTGGAAGAGCAAATAAAATTAATTGTATAATATTTTAAATTAATTTTTATAGAGTGAAGATTTGAAACTTATTAAAGAAAAATAAAATGATGGCAAGATAACAGTAGGGATTAAATAATTCTTAATATCAATTTTTATTTCAATGATTGTTGGAGTATATATAACTTATAGATGATATTATTCATATAAAAACATATCTCGTTCTTTAATTAATAAGAACATTGGCAATATTAATTTTTTTCATACTTTTTATTTATTCTTGAGTGAACTCAAATGACACTTTCTTATTCGAGATCAGTTGATAAGATACGTTATTTGAATTCTAATTTTATTGTGCTTCAAAAGAACATGTTTTCAGTATTCCTTATGGAGATACATTTTTTATTTTTGTTGGTGTATTTTTACCATTTCTAGTTTTTTTAATAGGGATATCATGATTTTAACTTAAATTTTTCTTTTTAGATCTGTTCAATCTAATTTATTACATACTAGCAACTTAAGGTTTATTGTTTTTTTAGTTTCTTTTATTTTCTGTAAAAATGTCCACACTTTTGCTGACATTAATTGTACAAGATGAAATAACTTGATCTTGCAATGTTCTGTTAACCATTTTTGGTTTTAGTAATTAATATTAAACTTATTCATCATTACTATAGCTCACTCCCATGAATTTATATTCAGGAGATGGTATAGGTTGATTAGCTTATTCATTTTATGTATTTATTTAAGTATTGTCTTAATAGCAATATTGGAAGTGAGTTTAAAATGGACATATTTTTACTTATTTAATTTCTTCATCTGAGTTAATATCTATATTTGATTCGAAACTATTTTCTGTAGTCATAATCAAAAAAATAAATATCTCGACAGAAACATTTTAGAATAAGATTTTACTTCCTATTATTATAACACATAATTAATTTAACTAGTTTTTCATATTGAATTATTATTCATTATCTTTGAAGAAATGAAAAATATAAAAACATAAATAATCATTCATACATTCTTATAATAGTATACTTAAATCTTGTTGATTTATAAATCTGATAGATTCTCTAATTTCATGTTTTTTATCTATCAAATATATCAATTAAATAAAACTACTTACTTGTCGCTTATAAATATTTGTAATGTGTAACCTTATTTCTAAGTCTCCAACAGAATAGCTTTTTCATATTCTTTTCTCTTAATATTTCTATTTTTTATTTACAATAATAAAACTAATTTTTCCTTAAATAATTTATTTTACAAATACTAAGATCAATCAGGTTAATTATTTTTTCATTTAAAAAAATAAAAGAATAATAGGTTCATTTTGAAGATTAATTTATAATATTATTAGTTATTGAGTTGAATATATTGTTATTAAAAGGAGAATATTGATGGATCATATAATAAATAATATTATATATCCATCAATCAATCCAATTTAAGAACTCATAAAAATTACATTAAATATTTATATTCTATGGTTTTTTTATTCAATAGGTTAATTATATATTCCTTAAATATTTAAGGTGATCTTAATATAATGAATATATACTAATATTATATTATGATTTAATTGATTGATTGAATAATAAAACATTAATTACATTTATGGGTGGATAACAATCTTATGGACAAGCTATAAGTACTTACAATGAGAAAAAAGCTATTATTATTGGTTAAGTGAATGTTTAAACAAATATTGATCATAGTAATAATACAAATGAGTGATATTTAGTGACTGAAATCATTGTGGCATTGGGAAATGAGATACATCCTTAATTATGGAATGTGGCAATAATGGAAATGAGAAGTACAGATACTGATTTTCCATTGACTTATCGTAGGTTCTGTTTGTCAAACCCAGTTGAGGAATATTAAAATTAATACATTCCTGAAAAAATAAGTAATGTTTAGCAAAATTGAAGATCAATTTGCAAGTATTTAAAGACCATAGAGAACTGAATTTCATATGAAAACAGGTCATTTCTGGACAATACTAATTCCAAGTTATATTTAAGAACATTTGCAAAATGATGAATCGAATTTAAATGCACAAATAATTTATCCATTTTGTGATAAAACAAAGTTAAATTTATATAGAGAGTAATATCAATAGACATATGTTGATGTATTCAAAAAAATTGAATAAGAAATGAGTAACCATTCTGCGTACATCTCAGTTGGAATATTGGATATGTAACAAAATAATCCAATTTTGGGAATAGACAACTATTCTATGACTTAAGATATTATAAATGCATTTACTTAATGTACTCCTAAAATACATAAATTAATATTCATATCTGAAAATGAAACATAAGCATTTATAATGGGAATGGCATTAAAAGATAAAACTAGAGAATTATATGATATTACAAATGGATTTATGGAATAAGAAAAATAATAAGTAGATCAAATAATGAATTAGAATGAAGTTCCAATTAAGGCTGAATTAGAAATACAATTTAAATAAGATGAAGATATTTAACTTAATTCAAATAATCTTTAATAGGAAATTCAGAATCTGCATCCTTAAATTCAAAAGATTCAAAAACCTAATGTGGTTAGTTATAACAATGGACACAAATGTACAGATAAATATATTTACATGATTAGAAAATATAGTATATTAATACTTTAGAGAATTCAATGTTCCTTTAAATTAAGAAGTATTTCAAACAATACTTCCAAGAGTAGGTAGTGATTACAACAAATTGTGTCTATGTGGTAGAAACTTAACAGTTAGAAATGAAGGTAATTAATGTTGCTATTGTGGATTACAAAGACCAACATTATTTTAATGTGAATAAAGAGTAACATTTAATTTTATTTAGGCATGTGGAAGATAGTATTGTCCAAGTTGTTTTAATCCAACTAAATTATTTAATTTATGTATGTAAGGTCATTAAATGAAATACATTGATGCATTAAATAATACTTAATAATGTTTCTATTGTAGATAATCTACTTATCGTCTTGGATATTTCTTTTGTGAAACATGTTCTTTTAAAATATGTGCTTATTGTTATTATTAAAAATATTCAGAGTGGCAATTTAAGAAAGTAATATTATCATATAAATTTATATAGATGAAAATATACTTGAATTGTTTGAAAAAGATCAAACCAAATTATAGATAAGAGGTTTCAAATCAATTAATTACTGAATATTTAATGGATGCAAATTTATAAAAATTAAGATAAAAATGATATATATTTATATATATATATAAATATTAATTCATATTTACCTATAATTATAGTTCTTAAATAAAATACAAAAATTATTAAAATAATATCAAATCAAATTATTTAAACATATAAAATGTATATTAAATATCATATGTTAAATTTATAATAGAATTAACTAAAAATAATATACTTATATCATATTGCATAACTTATGAATGGGAATTTCTATATAAGATCAGCCTCCTCAGATTTTCCTTCTGATCTTAAGTTCTCTATATATGATTCTCTTTTTGAATTATTCTCAAATTTACATCTACGATATCTCAATGGAGCTACAATCATATCTTTATAATTTAATTAATTATCTCCAATATAAGGTTAGAAGATATCTTTGAATTTATCAAAAAGATCGATAGAATGTTTAAATTTTTTAGATTCATATTTAACAAATAGCTAAAACTTTTAATCATATTCTAGTGTATGATTAGCAAGTACTTCATCCAAAAAATCCTCTTCCAATTCAGTTGAATAAAATTATTCAAATAATATAGTTCCATATATTTTGTAAGTGTTTTTGTAACTCCAACTGGCTGTTTCAGGAGGCCACATATAACTTGGTTTATCCAATAAATGTTGAATAAAAAAAGAACGACTACTTTATGCCTTAGATTATTAAAATGGATATGCCTTATCTCCAGCTTTATCAAAAGATGAAATAGCTGGATAAGATAAAGTACCTCTTCTATCTTAAGACAATGAAGCTTAAGGGGCTGCTACTGTCTATTTGAACCATCCAATCAATTATCCCCAAACAAATTAAGAAGAATAGGCTCTCCCTTCACTTTTACATTTCTTTTTAAAAGCACCAACTTTCCTCCATTCTAAATCTTCAATTGGAGGAGATAAGAATCCTACATATTCATAAGGTTTAAAGTATGTATATGTAAAGGCCATCATATAAAGTATTAACGATAAGGCTTCATGATGAAAAGTGTATTATTATTACATAAGCATATGTGACAATGTTAAAAATAGCATTCTTGTTAATAAGAGTTCTTATTTATGGATATAAAGAAGGTTTTCTTTGTAATCATGCAATTATTATTTTTTTTTGTATATCAAATGAATTAATTCAATCATCTTTTTTTGATTGTGTTTTTGAAATAGTTAATATAATTCATTAAAGAATGAAGATTCATTTGATGATCCNTTATAGTTCTTAAATAAAATACAAAAATTATTAAAATAATATCAAATCAAATTATTTAAACATATAAAATGTATATTAAATATCATATGTTAAATTTATAATAGAATTAACTAAAAATAATATACTTATATCATATTGCATAACTTATGAATGGGAATTTCTATATAAGATCAGCCTCCTCAGATTTTCCTTCTGATCTTAAGTTCTCTATATATGATTCTCTTTTTGAATTATTCTCAAATTTACATCTACGATATCTCAATGGAGCTACAATCATATCTTTATAATTTAATTAATTATCTCCAATATAAGGTTAGAAGATATCTTTGAATTTATCAAAAAGATCGATAGAATGTTTAAATTTTTTAGATTCATATTTAACAAATAGCTAAAACTTTTAATCATATTCTAGTGTATGATTAGCAAGTACTTCATCCAAAAAATCCTCTTCCAATTCAGTTGAATAAAATTATTCAAATAATATAGTTCCATATATTTTGTAAGTGTTTTTGTAACTCCAACTGGCTGTTTCAGGAGGCCACATATAACTTGGTTTATCCAATAAATGTTGAATAAAAAAAGAACGACTACTTTATGCCTTAGATTATTAAAATGGATATGCCTTATCTCCAGCTTTATCAAAAGATGAAATAGCTGGATAAGATAAAGTACCTCTTCTATCTTAAGACAATGAAGCTTAAGGGGCTGCTACTGTCTATTTGAACCATCCAATCAATTATCCCCAAACAAATTAAGAAGAATAGGCTCTCCCTTCACTTTTACATTTCTTTTTAAAAGCACCAACTTTCCTCCATTCTAAATCTTCAATTGGAGGAGATAAGAATCCTACATATTCATAAGGTTTAAAGTATGTATATGTAAAGGCCATCATATAAAGTATTAACGATAAGGCTTCATGATGAAAAGTGTATTATTATTACATAAGCATATGTGACAATGTTAAAAATAGCATTCTTGTTAATAAGAGTTCTTATTTATGGATATAAAGAAGGTTTTCTTTGTAATCATGCAATTATTATTTTTTTTTGTATATCAAATGAATTAATTCAATCATCTTTTTTTGATTGTGTTTTTGAAATAGTTAATATAATTCATTAAAGAATGAAGATTCATTTGATGATCCTGAAGAATAGTCTTTCCAAAAACTATCTAATAAATCATTATCTCCAATTATCGAGATTGGTGGTTCACTACTATCACTATTATTTAAAAAGAATTTAATTTTGTCTAAAGTAAATATAAGATTCTAAATTCTATCCTCTGAATGTTAAGTAGCAGTGAAATGATTCCACTATTCCACTTCAGTTGTTTATTCATACTTTAAATTCAATTCACTTTTATATGTTTGACGTCTAAATATATTAAATTTGAATAATACTCTTAATCTATGAATTTCAAAATATAACCAACCCAATTCTTTAACCACAATGGACAATCATTTAATACACTTGATCCAATTCTATATTTACTATATAACTCTGAATCTTCATTTGATTTATCAATATTATCACTACATGATTTTAATAAAATAGCATTTCTTGTTAAAAAACAATGTTCTTTGTCTAATATCCCATTATACTCCTTACAATTAGATAGTTGTAAATAATAACTAATATTAAAAAATCAAAGTTACATTTTGCATTTCTCACTACCACATAAACATAATGCTTATAATTATTCTTATTTACTCTCTGTGAATGAGCAATAATCAAAAGTAAGTTCTTCTCCATATTGAATTTCTCTCATTGCATACATTCCAATTATATATGTACCATTACTAACAGTAGTAACTGTTCCACAATTAGGATTACAAGAGTGACTCAACCTAGATGAATAATTACCTTTATTTATAGGATCTACAAATAAGAAATCAATTCCTTTAATATCATCTCTATGAATGTCTAACATTATATTATAAAAATCTGGTAATATATCTTTTTAATTATGTTCTTTCATTTATTTTTTAATAAAATCCTATTTTTCATACCATCTCCAAGGTTGATATATTTCACCTAAATAAGGAATAATTAATGAATTATTCTTGATTCCTTATTTATTAACACAAACTAATCCAAATCCTTTTGTATGTATTCTAAATCCTTCTGGATTATATTTAATAACTTTTTTAATTTATTTAGCCATTTTTCTATCTTCTTGATTATAATGACTAGACATCAATTTAGATTCTTTGATAATATAATCACATGCTAATCTCATATCATATGCATTTTCTTTATCAGATGGTCTATTAATAGCCAATAATAATTTCTCCATAAATTTATTCTTTTATGTCTCATCATAATTTAAAGGTAGTATATTCATAATAACTTTTCTAGTATAAGCATCTATACCCCAACAAGGTGTTTCCTATTTTAATTATACATTATTACTTCTACATCAGCATTCTCTTCTTATTTAAATTTATTCACTTAATGTTATTTCGATTATATTGACATATTCATACATGGTTAATTTGTTCCTTCATGTTCCAAACACTCTACTCTATTTTTTCTATTTGGACATTCAGAATCCCAAGTAATATTTACATATGAAAATGTACCCATTTTACTTAAATCAAAACAAACACAATCCTTATCACATTTTATAGGTCTCTTAGAGGTTGATAACTTCTCTTTTATCTATTCTATATATGGTTCTTAATTGGGATTAGGTTCATAATTGTAAATTTCCTAATATGACCTAATATCTTTCTTATCTGGAATTACTGGCCATTTAGTTGTTTACACTTTAAACTCTTTATCTATTTCCATTAAATTTTTCACATCTAATTCTATTTAAATATTAAAGACATCAATTATTGGTTTAATTTTAACTTTACTATCCAACCACACTTTACTCAAATAATTATAATCTTATTAACTCCTACATCTCAAATAACTATTGCCAAATAACTTATATAAATCATTCCAAACTGCCTCATTATCCCAATAATATCTATTTTAAATACGCTTCTCAAATTAATTTAAATAATGCAAATTACTTTTAAACCCAAATGGCTATCATCTTAACACATTTTATACCTTTATTAAATTAGATTTCTCATCTAATTCATATTTTTAATCTTCATCAAACCATTCCTTATAAACATTCTATTATCCAATATCATTTAATTAAATTGTTAGAATACACTCATCATTATTCAAAATACCTTAAGTATCTACTTAACCGAGTACTTTCCCAACATTTATTAATCTAGACCATGCAATTGGATTAAAACGAAGCAATGGTTAAGTTTTCACTTTCTTCTTACATTCTGTAATTGTCACCTTGGTATTTTTTTTGAATTTCTTCTTTATCTACTTAGATGAAGAATCTGACTCATTCTCTTCTTCTACACTATATGTCATTTTTGTAGCATTTCTTTTTGCACGCTATAAGCTCATTTTTGGAATTTATTATTTTTTAATATGAACAATATATTCAATTCAATGTATTTAATAAATTTATTATTTTAATTATTATTAAATCTCAAATTTTAATACATCCTCTTTAAAATTTATCAATCCAATCTCAAATTATACAATATTAGTAGGAAATTATTATAAATCATAAAATATATTATAATTTATTCTTTACTTAAAATTTCACATTAATAAATATGAATAAAAGAAAATTTATTTACTAATAAATACTATTGTATTTTTAAAATATGTTATTAATAAATTTATTATAAACCTTGTTAACATATAATAAAATTAATTCTTTAGAATAATGCAATAAAATTTTATTTATTTTTACATTATAAATGTTAAATCAAGGTAGAGCTCTTTGGTATGCTCTAAAAGTTGAAGATTATGATTTGGTTGAGTTTCTGATCAATTAAAAGACGGATATAAGATAAACATATGAATTTGAGCCAAAACGATATTTATCTACTGCAAGTGTAATAATACTTAATATCAATTTTATAGTTATTAACTCTTCGTGTTTGCTAGGCTCGTTCTAAGGGTTTGAATAATCATCACTACAAAAGGATGTATTAATTACTTGATACTTTTCTGTAATATGCAGAAGAATGTGATATTCGATGTCATTGTTCAAAGAACTATGAACATAGATGTCCACTATATATAGCATTGAAAACATTAGGAGTTAAAAAAGAAGATGATATGTTTAATAAGAAAAATGACATTCTAAAGGCTTTACTTATCAAAGGGGCCAATTTTAAAGTTTTTTAAGGGTAGACTTAGATAATTGATGTAGAAGGTTATAGACAATATTTGATATAAAGAATTTAATTCTAAAAAACAAGTGGATTCAAGTAAACATAAGATGGATATGCTACTTTTAGTCAATGATATAATAATATTATAATATCAATCTTAGATTTGCTATTCTTCCAATGAATCACAATATTCATGATGATATTTTACAAATGAAAAAGTTTAACTTTATTCTTTAATCATTGAACTTTATAATTATTGCTTTAAAAGTTTATCAGTAGCACTTTAGAATTGATTTTGTAATTCAATATTTTATTCTCTTAAATACTGATTCTCTTATTCTAATTGTTATAATTTATCTTTCATATCATTTAATTCCTCATTGTTATTGTTTTCAATTAAATTTAATTCCTTTTCATTATAGCCAATCTAAACTTCAGCCTTTAGTTATTCAACCATACTTTCACTAGAATTTTCTATTTGATTTTATTAAGATTCTTTTATTAAATCCTAATATCTTAATTTCCATTTATTTTTCTTTTTTAATATACTTTCAACTTAATTTAATTATTCTTTAAATATTTGACAATCTTATTTGAATTGTATAAGTTCAGATTAAATTTAATTCCTGTCCTTCTCTAATTATTTATATTAATTATCCAATTTCTGAAATGCTTAAAATAAATCAATAGATTTTCTATAATATTAATTTCTTTCTTCCTTTAATTCTATATAATTCTTAGATGAAATCAACTACTACTACTTTAATTCATTTATTTATTGTTTTAGTATGTCATTTTAAAATTATTATTATTTTACTTGTTATTCCAATTTACTCTCATTTTCTAACCTCTTCTCCATTATTTCAAATTTTTTAGTCCATTCTAAGATAATATGGTTTTTCTATCTGCTTTTAATAAATATTTACTATAATAATATATGCAATTTCGATATGTCTTCCTATTGCCTATAAGCCTGTATTTATCTCCTTAAAAGTGCATTCTCTAATTCACATTCTTATAATGCTTATGACTTTTCTACATATTTATTGCTCAAATCATCTAATTCCATATTTAATAATTTTCTCTATTAATTAACTCGATGCAATTCTTATTCTAGTTGATTACTTTTGACTATTTATTCAGTCTAATTTGTGATGACATCTTATAATGAAGTTCTAGCATCTCGTGAAGTATTTAGAGATATGTTAATCTTTTTTTTTAACGGACTTATTTGCATTTTTATATATATTTGAATATATTCAACAATATTTCTCATATAAAGGGAAACTAAAGAGGAGTATTCTAAATTTCAGAAAATGGAGTCATTGGTTCACAAATTTCATATAAAGGCTCTATTAAGATAGAACCATATTATGGTTAATATCCTTTTAACAAATTCATCATCAAATCCCATGTTTGTTTATATGGTTTATAAATTTCAGGATTCTTTTTTTTCTGACATTTCTAATTTCATATATTATCAATCTATTACCTTTAATAAATCATCTAATTTCAATAATATTAATTCCTATTTTTTAGATTATATTCTTAAATGATAAGATAAAAGTCCTTATTGTTCTTTCAATCTATCTAATTGCATTTTCAATTCAATATTCGATTACCTTATCTAATTTAAATTGCTCTCATCTACTAATACTGTGGATACTCTTTAATTGCGTACTATCTTATACAAATCCTAAATACTTCTTATTTTCAACCTTGAACTTGCCTTTAACAAAATACTGGTGCTAATACTATTTCTGATTTCGTTCATTTTTTTTCATACTGAATCCATACATACTCAACTATCTCAAAAATGATTAAAAGCATTTTGTTGTAAAGTTCTCAACCATCACTTTTTGAGAAAATTCTTCAATCTTAGGTATTACAAAACTATCTCCAGATGTTTACCAACGGATATATTTTCTATATTCATTTGACTTCATTTTATAATCAATAACTCACTTCAAGTATCTCATAAAGTTTACTTATAAACTTTGTAGGTTTGCTCATTTATTATTATTTTATAACCAATTATTTTATATATTTTTAAATCAAAACTTAATTGCTTTATTAAAATAAGTAATGATTTGTAGAATAAAAATTTTAATATATATTCATATATAATACCCAGATATTAAATGTCATTCTTTTTTATTTTAGATATATATAAAAGAGAATAATTGATATTTCAATTTTTTTACTTTTTGAATTTACTTCTTTCAACTAATAAATTTAATAAAGTTGTTAGATATTCCTTATTCGTATTTCCCTTAAATTAATTGACTTTTATACTGAAAAAGCCATATCCAATGATTCTATAATTCTTTACTTAGAGTAAAACGTTATAAAAATTTATAAAATTCATTTAAATAATGAACTTTGAAATATATTCCACTATTAGTTTAAGAATCATAATATTACTTCAAAAAATGAATATAGAGTGTTAAAATATATGCAAACATATTATTATTAACATTACTAAAATTAATTAGCAAAATCTAACTTAAATTTGGTAAATATTATTAAACAGAATTTTTATCCTATTTAAATCCATTAAAAGAATTATTATCATCTCTTTAATTTAAAAAATAAGAAAGAAAATCAAATGAGTTTAAAATAAATTTAATGCTTTTTGTTTAAATTAAGTGACCCATTTATAGTGTAATCTTTATTATTAAATCAAATAATAAACACGATTAAGAAAATGCGTATTAATATTGCGTTATATAATTGAGCAAACGCAATATGGAATAGTTTTGAAGAAATATTTAAATTAAAACGGAATTGCTTAAATGATTACATAATTCCAAATATAATAGTTATGTTATTATGATTAGAAAAAAATACATACACAAATCTCACAAAGTTAAGTAGTTTAAGTAATCATACCTATTCTTCATCAGTCTCTTCATCTATAATTAAAAGTTCGCTATTTTTTATTTATAATTCTCTCCTGTATTATTTTATTTAAAACAAAAAAAATAAGGAGAGCTAATTAGCATCTAAATTTTCTGGAATTTCAAATTAGTTTTGTACTACTATTTCTTTAAGATATAATTTTTCTTAATTGGTAATTAGTTTTAATTCACACAGAGTTCTTAAAGTTTAAAAACAAATTCTATAAAAGAATTCATTCATCATTAATTTTAAATATAAATAATCCTTTTTTTAGCCTGATTTAAATTAATTAAACAAATTTATATTTGTATGTGTATAATTTATCATTCTTTCTTGCCTTCCTTTTTGGTGGCATCCTTTTTTTATTAAGGAACATCCTTTTTTTAAACTTATTTGCCTTCTACTTAAGCAATTGCCTTAATCTTATCTTTCTCTTAAAGTGTTACTGTTCTATTCCAAATGAATTTTCCATCTTTTGAATCGAAATCTAAATTGAAATATCCCAATCTTTCAAATTAAAGTTTATCTTCTGGTTTAGAATTCAAGAGATCCCTAAAAACAATAAAAAAATTAATATACTTGTGCATTAAAGCATTAGGACATACTATCTTTGAGTTTGGATTAATTCCTTTTATGTAATCATCTAATTCATTAGGATCATAGGCTTCGAATAAATAGTCATATAATCTGACAACACAAGGAGTGGCCTCTTTAACAGATAACCAATGTAAAAATCCTTTAGGTTTGATGTCCTTTCCTAGTCGTTCTAGGTGAACTTCATTGGCAGTAACACTGATAACTTTGAAAGGTCCACATTACTTAAGTCCAATAATTTTACCAGGAGCAACACCCCAGAAATCAGCATGATCTTCAGTCCTTTAAAATAGTTATTTTAAATATATATACCTGACATCATTTTTATCCAAATATATTGATTTAGTCAAAAGGATCTTTCTATTACCCTTTTATGGATTTCTTGGAATGATAGGAACTTCTAATTCTTCAGAAAAATCATCAGCAACATTATCAATAATGGCTACGATTGGTTCTAAGATAGCCATAGTTCTAGGAGCTTTGACATCTAAGTCTTTTCTAATGCAACTTTCAAGAACATGCATGCCAATGAAATTTTCATTACCTTTTCTGGTAACACTAATTAAATCACAGAATTTATTAATGGAATCAGCTGTGTATCCTCTTCTTCTGAGACCGTTGAGAGTCAAGATTCTAGGATCATCCCAACCATCCACAATATTGTTAAAGACCAAATGATGAAGTTTTCTCTTACTTAATACTGTATTAGAGACATTCAATCTGGAGAATTCCCAAACGAAAGGTCTGTAAAGATCTAATTCTTTTAAGAACCAATAATAGAGGTCTCTTCTGACTTCAAATTCAAGTGTACAACATGAATGGGTGATACCTTCAATAGAATCGCAGATGCAATGAGTAAAATCATAGAGAGGATAGATGCACCATTTATCTCCTTAATGAGGATGAGGAGTGAATCTAATTCTAAAAATGGCTGGATCTCTGAGAGTTGGATTAGGATGTGTTGGATCAATCTTGGCTCTCAAACAAACTTCATTCTCTTTATAGTAACCCATTTTCATTTTTCTGAAGATTACAAGATTTTCATCTGGATTAGTGTCTCTGTATGGTGAAGGTTTAAGATCATTTCTTAATTTAGAAGACTAAAAAAGTTATAGAATGTTAATAATACTTCTTCCTTGCTTAAGAAACAACAATAAGCTTTTCCTTTTTAGATCAATTAAACAGCATACTCATAAAGTTTTCCAAAGTTGTCTGATGCATGAGTAGTTTTAAATGGAGTGTATCCAAGGAATCTTAAATTTTCTTTGATGTTATCAATGAATTCTTAGCATTCCTTTTCTGGATTAGTATCATCAAATCTTAGATAAGTGACTCCTTTATAGTGTTATGCTAATCTAAAATTGAAATTGATTGATTTTGCATGACCTATATGTAAGTAACCATTTGGTTCAGGTGGGAAACGTGTTAATATTTCATAGGGGAAATTCTCCTTTCTCCAATTAAGTAACTATTCACTATTAACTGTGGTGGCAAGGTCTCTGGCAACTAATTTGGAGATATCAAATTTGCATTCATCATCATCTTCTTCAACTTATTATTGTTATTATTATTATTATTATTATTATTATGGTTTTTTTGTTTATGTTTTGGCTGCCTTTAAATCTTCCTCAGTCTTTGGTCCAAGTATAGCTTCAATTTATTAATTGAGTTCTTAAGTTAATAACTTTCCTTCAGCAAATGGTAGGAGTGTTCTTACTTATTTTGTGTATTCAGAGAAATTATAAGTATATCGGATAGTCTTCAAATCTTCTTTACTTTTAAGGAATTGAGCCACTGTGTCTTTGATTTATTCTGGTGTCACTACTATTCCTACACCTGCAGCTTTCTCAAAATCTTATACAGGTATTTATTCCAAATGAGTGTGTGTTTTTAAGTATTCTAGACCACCTTCCAACTGCAATTTGTTGGAAATCTTTCCTTCAACAATATATTAAGCCAAAAGAGCTCTTCTATTGTCAAGGGCCTCTGTTAGATTTTAGGACATCTCATATAACAAATTACCAATCTATATAAAAGAATTATAAATACTTTCTTATCACATTCCTTAACCCCAACCAAATCAAGAGTCTAAAGTATTGATTTCAATGCATTTTTTCCTTTAAGGGTGTTCTTGATAGTTGTTTCATCAAGTCCAATCTTCTAAAGACGTGTTTAAACTTCTTCCATTTTTTAAGGATTCACAAAAATATTTAATTAAATTTTAAATAAATCTTAAAATCATGAACAAGCTATATAAAATGCATTTCTTGTATGAGTTTATACATCAATAATAGTACTTGGAATGTCACATCTAATTTTTGTTCAATTTAAAATACATAAAGTGTGGATATTCACATTAGGTATTTATTCAGAAAGATTATTTTCTATTTATGATATTCATAAAATAACGTTGTTTCTACTGCACATGTAATCTTTGTATTATCAGTAAATAACCAAGCTTATACGCATCCAAAAGTGTAAGCAACAACATTTATTTCCAAAATATTGAACATTACTGCGTCGTTAAGTGCTCCACTAAACCTTGAAAATTAATTTGAAGCAAATAATATTGATAAAACATATCCATTAATACTTTATTCTTTCCATTTCAATAAAAATACACTATACTACCCTTCCTTTGTTAAGTAAGTTTTTCTAAATTGAATATGAGCATAGTTAACAAAAAAATACAACTAGTTGAGTAGAATTTTCAAAACATATTGACAATCTTACATATGATTAATCCAATAATCCACTATGACACCGACATTATCATACCTTTAGTCTAATTAACTCAATCTAGAACATAATGTTCTATCATATTCTATAGCGAATGATTCTCCAAAATTCCTACTTCATTTAGTTTATAGCAAGGTAAAGTTTCAGAACTTAAAGAAGCAGAACTAGGTGTACAATATTCTGATAAGAGAAATTTGCCTATGGTATTGTTGTTATTATAGAAAGATGCTTTTAAACATATTCAAAAACTAAAATTATTTATTTTCAAAGGGGATATTATGGTTATATTTTTATCAATATTATTATTATAATAATCTAGATCTTTAATATTTCGACCTTATTTATTGATGCAATTAGATAAACTAATAAAATTTAATCATTCTTGTTAAACCAATTTATATGAATTAAAATATAAAATTATTTCCTCAAATATTAATGATCAAATAAAAGGAAAAACATTAGGCGAAAATAGAAACTCAGGCATCGGACTATTCATATCTTTAAAAGTTTCCTACAAATACTCCATTGAAGGCTTATAACCAAAAAGAACTGTAAGAAAATTGTACTTAAATCTTAATTAAGATTCATTCTCATGAAATTCTTTTAAGGCCAAAAATACCTTTTCATTCATTTAATAAATACATCAACCATCTTCCCAATTTTTTAAGCTATCAATAGTTAGATTTTACATTGTATTCTCAACTATTGCTAAATAATTTATTATTGCTCCTATAAACATTTCAATTTCTCTTAGAGAATAATGTTTTATTCTATAAGACCTGAAGTACTAAATTACTATTCAGAAATTTGAATGATTTGCTTTCCTCTCTTTATTCTAAATAAGTCTTTACTAAAAGTTAATATTATCATACAATTGTCCTTTCTTAAAATTCTGATGGTAATACTCTTTTTTATTCCTATCATTTTTTCTCATCTTGAATCCATATAAACATAATTATCTTAAAAATGAATGTACATTTGATGTTCTAAAATATTATTACAAAATTCTAGTTTGAAATTCGGAAATTCTTTAAAAAGAAAATGCTTATCCATTATCTACCCAATATATCAAATATTATAAATTTGGATCCTATGGATTAATTTTAAGATACTTCTAAGATTTCATATAAATTGAGAATAAATTTCTTTGGTTTTTTCATTTAACAAATTAATAAATTAAGAATTGTAAATAATTGCTATGTCAAATAAATATCATTAAATAATTAAGATTTAAATATCATATATATATATTAATTATTATCAAAATCATCATTTTTCCTCTATCTTTTCAAAATTTAAGGAATAATAGTGAAATATTTGATAANTTGCCTATGGTATTGTTGTTATTATAGAAAGATGCTTTTAAACATATTCAAAAACTAAAATTATTTATTTTCAAAGGGGATATTATGGTTATATTTTTATCAATATTATTATTATAATAATCTAGATCTTTAATATTTCGACCTTATTTATTGATGCAATTAGATAAACTAATAAAATTTAATCATTCTTGTTAAACCAATTTATATGAATTAAAATATAAAATTATTTCCTCAAATATTAATGATCAAATAAAAGGAAAAACATTAGGCGAAAATAGAAACTCAGGCATCGGACTATTCATATCTTTAAAAGTTTCCTACAAATACTCCATTGAAGGCTTATAACCAAAAAGAACTGTAAGAAAATTGTACTTAAATCTTAATTAAGATTCATTCTCATGAAATTCTTTTAAGGCCAAAAATACCTTTTCATTCATTTAATAAATACATCAACCATCTTCCCAATTTTTTAAGCTATCAATAGTTAGATTTTACATTGTATTCTCAACTATTGCTAAATAATTTATTATTGCTCCTATAAACATTTCAATTTCTCTTAGAGAATAATGTTTTATTCTATAAGACCTGAAGTACTAAATTACTATTCAGAAATTTGAATGATTTGCTTTCCTCTCTTTATTCTAAATAAGTCTTTACTAAAAGTTAATATTATCATACAATTGTCCTTTCTTAAAATTCTGATGGTAATACTCTTTTTTATTCCTATCATTTTTTCTCATCTTGAATCCATATAAACATAATTATCTTAAAAATGAATGTACATTTGATGTTCTAAAATATTATTACAAAATTCTAGTTTGAAATTCGGAAATTCTTTAAAAAGAAAATGCTTATCCATTATCTACCCAATATATCAAATATTATAAATTTGGATCCTATGGATTAATTTTAAGATACTTCTAAGATTTCATATAAATTGAGAATAAATTTCTTTGGTTTTTTCATTTAACAAATTAATAAATTAAGAATTGTAAATAATTGCTATGTCAAATAAATATCATTAAATAATTAAGATTTAAATATCATATATATATATTAATTATTATCAAAATCATCATTTTTCCTCTATCTTTTCAAAATTTAAGGAATAATAGTGAAATATTTGATAATACCATTTAATTTCTTATAATGATTAAATTAAAGAATAAATGATTCTACATTTTCTCCATTCTATTTCAATAATAAATTGTTAAAGTCTAGATATTATGTTGACTATTATAATTTATTAATGTATTTTGTAAATATTTTAATTTTCTTATTACATTTTTATTAATTAAGTGAGTAAAAACTATTAAATTTTATAATAGATTTTGGTAATTTAAGTAAATCTTAAATTTATTGTCTATTAAATTTCAAAGAATAATTTCAGAAAATATATAAAAATTTTTTGATTCATATTAAATTCTACTTTGTTATTACAAATATCAATATAATTGAATGATAGAATTAAGATGAATTTACTATTAAAATACTTCATTAAATGTTAATCTTTAACCTTAGCTTTATTATTTCAAAATTATAAGTTTCGAAAAAGGTAAACTGTTTAAAATGATCATAAAATATTAATAAATAATTTGGTTATAATTTTTACTTAGAAATTGAATTACATAAGGATGGAAATACTCAAGATTATAACTTAACTTAAAAATTTGTTATAGAGAAATAAGCAAAAAAAAGAAGAAAAGCTTACAATGAATAAATTACACTTAATTAATGTTTTTATGTATCAACTTAAAAATAAATAACAGTTTATCCTTCTTTTTTTATTTAAATCACTTGAATATTTCAATTTAAATAATATACAACAATAATTTTGTAATCTATAAAATAGAATAAAATGCAAATACTGATATAAAATGAGAATTTCCTTTTGAAAATAGAGAATATTTATTTAAAATTTATATTGACAGTGGATAGTTATGATAATTATAAACAAAATGGAGATTAAACTAATTGTTTATTTCTATTACATAAATCTATAAGGAAGATGTTGTATTATCTAATCAAAAATAAAAGGATGAAATAGAAATGATATTATAAAGATAATTAGATTCATAATCAATAATTTTATGATCAAAATATCACCGGATCCAATTCTCTATAATACCATAAAGCAAGATAACGAATAATAAACAAAGCAGCACCTAATGTCAAAACTGCAGGACTATTAAAATTAAGAAGACTAACATAAACAAGACTTAAAAATGAAATAACAGTAGCAGTTGATAAATCATACTTACAAGCATCTACCCAACCATAATATACAGCAGTTGCCAAAAATCCAATTGCCACACTAATTACACCCTCCTTAAACTTCATCAAATAAATATTTTTTCTGAAATTACTCCAATGAGGTAATAATCCCCAAATTTATAAAACTGAAGGCACAAAAATTGCAACCCAACAACAAATGCCTCCATATATACCCATACTATGAGTACCTAAGAAGATAGCAAAATTTAAATAAGGCCCAGGCAGAGCTGCTGCTAAACCAAATCCTAACCAAAATGCATCAGCATTTATATATAAAGGATTTAAAGCAGTTTCTGCATACATGAATGGTAATGTAATAGGTGTACCTCCAATCATAAATGTTCCAATATTGTAAAATGAGAGAGATAAATCTAAAATCAAGGATTATTATTATGAATTTAGATACAACAATAATAATAGTATAAGGGAATATAAGTGTAAAGATTTATTTCCTAATAATTAACTGATTTTATGACTGTTTTTTTTATTAATTAATTTTGGATCATTAAAAATTGCAGGAGTAGCACTTTATTCTTTTACAAATGTTCTTCTTCCTATTGTATTTTCTGCATCATATTCAACCATAATTGTTATTATTCCTCCCATCATCATAGTCAATATTAATACATATGGTTATTAATATGTAACAAATAATATTGCACTTAAAATAGATAAACTCATATGCATCTTATTATTAATAGTCTTCACGGCCATTGATATCAACAATTATAGAATCAATGAAACAGTACTTGATTTGATTCCCTGAATGGCCAGAAATACAAGAATGTTGAGATCTCTAGGATCAGGATACTTACTATAAATATAACCTAATATTGTTAATATCATTGCTCCAGGCATTGTATATGCCAATAAAGCAACAATTCCTCCTAAGGCATTTTTTTTTGATATTGTACCTAAAGCTACCATCATTTATGATGTTGTTGCTCCTGGTATGAAATCAACTAATGATGTTATCTCTTCAAATTAAGGTTCCTATAATTATAATATACTTTACAGAAACAGCCTTATTTTAAGTTACAAAGACATTCTTGAATTATTAATAATGACTGGTACTTAGAGTTTATACATCAACAAGGGCTAAAGGAGCTGCACATTTTAGTAATTCTAGATAAGTGAGAGTTTTGGAATCATCAATCAACAAAGAAAATTTTGGTTGTGCATTTTTCACTCCCAAAGTTTACAATTCAATCATCTTAATAAATTAATTAATCAATTATTAAACATTTTGTGCATCATACCATATTTTATTAATTCTCTTTCAGCTCTTGTGTATCCAAATAATGCAGCCAATACTTATAGTGCTTCGATATTAAATCTTATATATTTAATAATTATTACCTTGCTAAATAATTCTTATAATCAATTTCTTTAACTAACCTTTACAATTCTGTTTCCTCAAATTTTCTAAATAAACCCTCCTTAACTTCTATATCTTTTTATATTTATTGATATTCCTTTATTAATTTATCCTTCTCAAAGTTATTTATTTCAGTGAACACTATTGATTATTCTTAATTTGCTTCAGATTTAAACATCTTGGCTATTCTTCTTTAAGCTTCATTATAAATTATATCATTTAATGTTTCTTTACTTTAAAATATATGAGTAAGAGTTGATTAGATCAATTTATTTTCTGTATCACTTAATCCTTATATCAATAGAGATACTTAAGATTCTTTCTATTATCTAATCTATTCTATATGTTATTTCTTAATGTCTAATGAATCTATTTAAGAAAAATGATTTTTAGATAATAGAGACACTATGGAATTGTTTCCTGTATCAATTGAAGAATCTCTATAATTACTGAACAATTAATGAGCCTTTTTAAACAAATCATTCAATTCAATTGTCTTTCTTGTTTTTGTAATTAAAAAATCTCGTGCTTTACTATCTAAATATGGTGGAAAACTTGCTTCTGCTATTTTCTCACCTGAATCCCAAACAGCTTTAATTATCCAAGATAAACCCTATGATCTACAATCTAAACCAATTTTAAGTAATTCTAATAAAAATCCTTAAATTGATTTTAATAATGTTTTATTATTTTTATTCAATTTTGAATTCTCTTATTCTAATTTTTCAATTTAAATTGCATTCAATTTCATTTATTATTAAAATTTGTTATAATTATCTCTCATTTAATCTATTTAACTTTCCAATTCATTTTATTTAACTGCAATTACCATATAATTGTCAACTTAACTAGCATTATTTTTAATATTAGGTGAATTTGATGACTATTAAGGTTTCTTATTTATTCCTTTCAATTCTTCTTATCTTTCTTTGATCTAAAATTAAACCAAATATTTACGAAATCCTATATGGCTCTTAATTTTTTATGAATTTCATGATTCTCCATTCTTAAAGTTTCAAGATCTTTCTCATTTTTTTTTACAGTATTTTTTTATCTTTCCAATCTAGAATTAATTGATAATAAAATTTAGTTCGTTTATTTTTCATAAAATAATGCTCGATCACTTGCATTCTAAAATTCAGTTAATTGCATTTTAATTAATGTATGTAAACTATTCTTTAAACCTTCTACAGTATAATCAAATATTAGAGTCCCATCATGTTTTTCCTCTCCTTATTATTTGGCTCTAGCTAATTCAATCTATGCTAATTCTTGTTATGTTAAAGTTGAACCCTATTACATATACTTATCCAACTATTTAGTAAGAGAATGATCTTAATGAAGCATTTCTATTTTCTTGATAGCTGATATCTTTTACAAGGATCCCATCAATTTCTATTTGAATACACTTTATTCTCCTTCCGACTTTGAAGACTCAACAATTAACTTAGGAAAGGCTGGAATTCCTTATATTGCTTTAGATCTATCATTCAATCCACCTCTTCTCAATAATTATAATGATTATGACTTTTCTTAGAATTATATTTTAGCAAGTCCTAATAAATTATATATTATTTATACTTTCTTTCTCCTATTCCTATTTCAATTTCTCTTATTCTTCTTTCCATCTTCTTTTTATTCCTTTGTACCAAGTATCCAAATTTGCTACTAATTAATCATCACTTTCAGCTTTATATTATTAATTTGCCTTAAATTACTCCTCTTGATGTAATTTCTTACGAACTGTTTTTGTATTGTTATCAGGATCTTCTTCAAGTTTCTCATAACTTTAATATAAATATAATATATACATTTCTTATAATAATAATTTGGCACCAGGTTCATTTGACAAACGAGATCTTAATTTATTTTCTAAATCAGTTCTCCTAACTCTCTAATGCAATTTAACTGGTTTCTTTGTTGAATCCTTAAGAGAAGTAATCATTTCATCTTAATCAGGCATAACTATATCATAAAACTGTATTGTGTTCATTTCATCATTCAGAATTTTTTTACGCATATCTTGCATTACTAGACTTTCAATTTCTAGATGATTAGTAGGTCTATGTCTAGTCCTAATTATTTCAGGAGCAGATTAAAGGTCATTCCTTTTTATTTTTTTTTTATGCATTTATTTATGAGAATTAAATTACTTATACAATTTTTATTATTATACCCTAATTGAATATTTTATTTACTAAATATATAATTAGCATAGACTATTTAGTTTTAAGAAATATCAATTATTGATTACAAACATTTATTAAAATAAATTTATTAAGTGTTCCTTTTAATACTAATATTTCTGTTTATAATTTTTATTTATAAATATTTATATGATTAATCTTTAGATAGTACTTTCTTATTAAATTCAAATATACTCATATATATATAATTGATTATTCATGATTATGATCCACTAAATCTCAATAGTTCTTATTTCTCAATAGATTTTTATTAGTATTTTTATGTATTCCAGTCCTTCAAACTAAATATTTTCATGAAAGCTTTTCCTAATTTTCTATCCACTTATTAACATTATGTTCAAAGATTTTAACTTTTTGTTAAATCTTTGTAGAAGGATCCTAATAATTTCTGTCTTTATGGTTTCAAGTAATCCCTATATATTCCCTCTATAATTAATAAATTAAACTGAAGGGAGATGTGTGTACCATAGTGGATAAACTGATTTAAGATCAGCAATCTGTAATGATGGCAAAGAAAAATGAAAATCTTTTTTTTGTAAAAAATCCTGCAACATCTCTGTAATTCTACTGTTCATATACTTTTAATAACCTTCATAATCATATAAAATCTTCAAAAACAAAATATATATAAAAAGTAAATCTAGTAAACTGTAAGAGCCATGATTATTGAAAAAATAGCAACATTATATCTACACTTTACAGTATTACTTATCTTGATGTTATCTAGATGTTTTAATTTAATTACTCTTATTCTTATAAATACAATTGAAATTCTAAATTCCATAAAAATTGACATTGAGCATTGAAAGATTTAGTTCTCTTAGATTAAAACATTTTATTAAATATTTTATAATAATAATTTATTTTTTATAAATTCTCATTATAGAATTAATTTTCAATAATTGAATTAAGTCATATAAATTTTCTCATATTTTCTGTTCAAATTATAAGTTTGCATTAATTGTTAATGGTTTTATTTCTTAAATTAATTCTTTTTTAGAATTATTTTATTTTAGATAAATGTTAATCTCTTTTTATTATTGAATTTAGATGATATATTCTATATTCTGTTTATAAATCAATTAAAATAATAATTAAGAAATTCTTTAGATTATTTGTAATTTGTATGAATACATATAAAATATAATAATTCATTTAGTTTTAGGTGAGTATCCAGCAGGACTTCTAACTCCTGTTAAATTTGGCTCATAATAACTATTTGATTCTTGTTTATCAAAAGAGATATCTTTAGCTTGATAACTTTCCATTTCAATTGATTCCAATTTTAGTAAAATTTTATCCTTTAACATTGCCATCTTGCTTATTTAGGCATCTTAAGGTAGCTTCTATATTATAAGTATAAGTTTATTGAGTTTTGTTAATGAGTAATTTTTTATTTGATTTATTTTCTAAAAATAAGTTCAGACAAACTTACATCAGTGATATCCTGAGTTTCTTTATACAATTTTCGATTACGATCCATTTAGAATCTGATTTCATTTAATATTCTCTACTGATCTGTTTGTATTTAGATTAGCTACTTTCTCATTTTATCATGTTCATTTAAATAAGATTCTGATTAGAATTCTTTAGTTAGAGTCTCCATACTCTATTTTATGTCTTCTTAATTACGACGTTTAATTTTAAGTAAGTTATTTCTATGATTAATGAATTCATTTATACTTAACTCCTTTTCTGAAAAATGAATGTTGAAATTCATTCTTCCCTTAATTATTTTTCAATTTCTTAAACCCATACATATTGAGTTGTCTATAATATATATATCTCAATATTTACCTTAAGAAACTTTAGAAATTACGATGCTTAAAGTATTAAGGCAGAATCTAATCTGTCAATGACGCAGGATCTTGGATCTAAAATGTCGTTCCCTCCTTATTCCAACATATTGCTGTTTATTCAGACTCAAAAATAGAGGTTTATAAAATTACTTCTAAAATCTCATACAATTTCATTAGAAAGGATGGAACTTATTTTATGTCTTCCATGATTTAATAATTTTTTTAGAATTATTATCATTCCAATATTCAAGTTTAGTTTACATCAATCACATAATTAAAAATCAAGAATCTTTTATAGGTTTTATCAAAACTTGTATCTAATTATTCAAATTTAAAGGCCACACAAGATTAGATTATATTAAAAACTTGAATATATTTCTATTAATGAATTTAATCATTAAATCAAAATTCAATTTATTTATTAATTAATATTAAATTTTGTCAGTTTTCATTTTTTTCTTAAATTTTAAAAGGCTTTAACTTTGTTATCAATTGACAAATTATTATATTAGAACATATAATTTATATAATGTAATTTTAAAATTAAAAATTCTAAATGATACTTTAGAATATTATAAAAAATTAACTTAAACGCATAACAAAAATTCATTTCTAATACATGATATTTAAAACAATAATAATATATTATATAATATAGATAATTACTAATAACAAATTTAATTATTTTATAATAAATGTTACCAGAGTTTTCCATTTAAGCTGTTAAATTGTAATCTAATACTAGACAACCTAAACCAGTTAAGGTAATTTATTAAATCAATTTAATAGTATGTACCCCCAAAACCAAAGAGTCCTGCATCAAAAAGAAGCTGTATTTTAAAGTTAAAATATTTAGCATCTTAGCAAAAACCTATTACTAAAGCCAAAACATCAACAGATAGACTTACTAGAAAAGGTTCAGAGGATTTCTAAGATACCTAATAATAGCAGGTTGTCACCATAGAAGCTCCATAATAAAAAATTATTATGAATATGGATGAAAGATATCAATATTATGAGAATGAAGCTAAAAAGAGATAAAATGTGATAGATGTTTGTGATGGAGTACAATTTTATAAACCAGTAAAACCTGATGAAATGCCTAAGCCTCCTAAACCAAAAAAATAAACATCTAAAATTGATAATGCTAAATAAGTTTTACGGACTGAGAAATCAGAAAAATAATCAGTTTCATCCGATTTACAACATTCTCTAAATTAATCGAAATCTCTTTATAATCAAACAACTTCAAGAGAGTAGCAATAATCTACCTCTACATTAGTGGAAGAATTTTAAACACAATAAATAGTTGTGGATCCCAATTTTTTAGTTTAAGGAGAAGTAGATGGTTATTAAATTGATGAAAGTTAATCATAAATGTTTGGATTTGGATTGACTGATTATATTAAGAATAATGTAAGGATGTTAATTAAATAAATAGAACCATAAAAAAGAACTTGGTGAAAAAGATGTTACAAATGAAGTTAAACCTTAATAAGAATCTGTCTATACATATTATGATTACTATCCTCCTAATGCAAATGGAGAAATTCCAAAACCATTATTGGAGAGTGTTAATTATATGAATTACCTAAAAGAGTAATAAGCCTTATAAGCTCAACAGACTTAGGAAATATAATAATAATAAACCAAAAATAAATGAATATAATTTTAACTATTTAATTTTCTATACTTTTTTTTAAAGTAATTAAATCTTTATATATATTAAACATTTACAAAATAATTATTTATCAACATTCTTCCATTGACTCTGAATCTGCTATTATTTTAGTTAGAGGTTCGAGAAATTAAGAAGCTAATTTTTCGACAGATGGATGTTTGAATACTTCTAATATTAATGTTGTCATATATTAATTTTCAGTTTCTAAATGTTTCACCTTATATATTATTATTCTATAATTTTACTTTTTTTTATAATTTATTAAATTCATCCTATAAAGGTCCTATTTTCTCTAAAGCTTCTCTCTTCTTTTTTTATGATTCTTTTGCTGATGTTCTATTTCTTCTTATACTAATTAGATTTATGTGATATAATACCATTAACACTTTTTGCAATTACATTCTTCTTCACCATTATAAACACATTTGCTTTTAAGTTTTTCAATCATTTTTAAATAATAATTTGAACTATTTTGAACTTTAATTTCAGGTAATCCATTTTATATTATATGGTCTAAATATTAACTTTCTAATTGCAATAACATAGGTAATATAAATAGAATCTAACAATTCATTTATTTATGAATTTTAATTGTATTTGAACTAAATTAAAGTAAATCTAAATCTGGTGTATCTTCAAAAAATACTTAAATTGCTTTTTTTAAGAAATCTTAAGTTGTAGCTTTAAAACTACCCATAATAAGTAAATACTAAGTAGTTATTTAATAAAATACTTCTTAAAATATTTAATCATTATGTAATTTAGCTGTCTATTTAACACTTTATGCAACAAAATCCATTATTAAATTACTTTTAGTGAAAAAATTATTCAATAATTATGTATATCTATTAAACTACAATAAAAATTAATCTTTGATTATCTTTTATTACTATTGACTTAGTAATTTAAATGTGAATGCTGTCCAAATATCATCTTGTTATTTTTTTATCATTTGATGTATTTGAGTAAATCCAATCTGCTGACTTACTGCTTAACCTTATGATATTTAATAACAATATAGTGCATTGAAAAAAATATCACAAAAATCATCTCTAAAGAGCAAGAAATTTGCAAGATATTTTGTACCTTTTATAATAATAATCTAGAACTTTGATCATAAATAATGACTTCGGATCGGAACAAAAGTGCTACTGTTTAGAATAGTGAACAACTCATTGATATCTTTAATGGATTTGTTTTATATAATGACACTAAGTCTTTTATGATTTCTTTATCTGCTTAACAATTCTCCAATCCATATATAATGAGGTTGCTCATGATTATCATAAAATATGGTAATTGAACTTCTAAGACATTTTTTAAATTGATAGTCTGTTTCTGAAGAATGATTTTCTAAAAGTAAGACGTGACTTAATTTTAAACCTCAATTAAAGTTGGAGGCTTGCTTTTTTTTGATTATTTAAAAATATTACGAGACTTGTTAAATTGGCTAGTTTTAAGTTTAACATTGTTGAATTATCTATAAAAGTTACTGTTTTTGTAAATACTATATAGATATTGAATTCAAATACTTATACATTTTATTTCTAACTATTCTCTTCTTATTTTACTTGTTAGGAAGATTCTTAATGGGATTGGTTAATCAAGGCTTACAAATATATTTTTTATAGAGGATTCATTAATAAATTAATAATCAAAACAATGTAGTCACTCTTCTTTGATCTTTGAGAAGTGCGTAATATAATTAAAGTAAATGAACATATTTGATTAAATATTAATACATTTGTGCATTATTTTTACGTATTATTTATAATATATATTAATAATTCCTAAATTATTTTAGATTTCTTTTAATAATCGTATTAATAATTGATCATTATATTACCACTGTTTTTTCATTCAAAATGATTGCTTAAAATAATTTTAGGATTAAATAATTTCTAGATTAATAATCATAATAAAAGTAATTATTTTAACTAATTAATAAAGTCAAACTCTCAAGCAATCTAAATTTTATTTATTGATTTTATAATTCATCAGACAATTTCCAAAAGATAATAATAATATAAAACTATTTTAATCATTTATTTACATACATCTATAATATCTAAATATAGGTTTAATCAACAATTTAAATCTTTTTTTCATCTTCTAAATTTTTCAATTTTATTTGATTATTAGGATAATAATTGGAGTTATTAGTTTGTTTAATATATTTTTATTAAAATTAAAAATAAAAAAAATAAAGAATTATAAAAAAACATTTGATATGTAAGATAATTTGTACAGAATTTAAAAATGTAATGCAATATCAATGACTTTACTCCTTTAAGGCTTCTTAATATATTCCATAGAATAAGGAATTTGTTTGGTTTAATAAATCTTTAGTGTATCCAAATTCTTTTACTTCTCCCTTATCTAGAACTAGAATTCTTTTGATAATAGATTATATATATACTTATCACAATGAAGTATGGTATTGATTCTATGAGCAATTGTAATGACAGTGCAGTCAGAAAAAGCATTTTAAATGGTATCTTGAATCTTATGTTCTGTATCAATATCTATATTGGCAGTAGCCTCATCTATTAAAACAATAGGACTTTTCTTAAGAACTGCTCTAGCTATACAAACTAATTATTTTTCTCCAGCACTTAAATTATCTCCATGATCATTTATGTTAGATTCTAATCCTTTTCTTGATTCAATTAATTCTGTCAAACAACATTTATTTATAGCTTATAAGACTTCTTCATCAGTTCTTAGATTTAATGGATCAATATTATCTCTGATAGTACCACTAAATAATGTTGGATCTTGCATAATCATTGTAATTGATTCTCTAAGTTGTCTTAATGAGATTGTAGAGATATCATGACCATCAATCAATAATTATCCATTCAATCCTTCTAAGATTCTTAAGATAGTTAATGTAATGGTAGACTTTCCAGCTCCTGTTCTACTTACAATACCAATCTTTTCTCTTGGATTGATTACAATGCTCATATTTTTTAAAGCTAAAGGCAATCCTTCCCTATATTAAACTGAATAATTTTTATATTCTATTATTCCATTTTTTGGCCATTATGGTATATATTGATCTCTATAAGTTTAATTATTTTAATATCTCTTAACTGCAGCTTCATATCCTTTTTCTGGTTTTACTCTAATTATTAATTAATAAATATATATACTTAGTATAAGCAACACATCTTTCAAATGAAATCAATCCATTTTCCACATGTCCTAAACATTAAACTGTTCCATTAATATTTTAATCCAAAGTAGATGCATATGTCATTAATAAACCAGCATATGCAGGATTTTTTGTACTATAAAACATACAAAATACAATAGCTGTAGTATTGACCATAAAACTTGATAAACCAAGAACTAATCCAAACCAAGCATTTGCAGCTATCTGTTCTAAGAATATCTTACGATTTAGATCTTAATTGTTTCCATGTTTATTCATAATTTAAGATTATCTCTAAAATGCTCTTATTGTTGTGATTCCCATAATTGATTCAGAGAAATAACTCAAAATTGGACTTTTGCTAATTGCTTCTAGTCTAAAGAGTTCTCTACTAGCAGCCATATATATTCTCTATATTTTCCAACATAAGAAAAAGTAGATTACCATAGGAATGGCAACCCAAGGAGAACTTGTATAGATATTTAAGAAGGTATTAGCCAATAATAGAAATACTTAAACTAACATCCAATTAAATGTCCATTATAATTCTGAATCTAAAACATTTTAATCTTTTGTTAATCTATTCATAATTCTACCTAATGGAACTCTTTCAAAGAATTGACATTATGGTGCATACATTAAACAACTAACCATTTTGTTATGCATATTATTAGCCTAATTACAACTCACTATAACTAATGCCCATGATCTAAGAAATGCCAAGATTCCATAACTTAAAGAGAGTACAGAATATATTGTAAGATAGAAATAGTTATTGGTATCTACTCCATTAGCAAGATCTTCACTAGCTTATTGAGTCCAATGAGCCATCCATAAAGATGAACCTACATAACATCCATCCCATAAAAGCATCATAAAAACCATGAATGAAGCAAATAATACACCTCCAGTCAATCGAATATAAGTAGCCAAGATTTCAAATGAAATTGAACCTTTATTTCTATCTTCTAATAACATAAGTTCATCAATTTCATCTTTATTTTAAGGTACTGTAGGTGTTTCTTTTTAAGATGATTATTTTTTCTCTAATTTTAATTCAGAAACAGGAAGTTATTCAACTTCATTTATTTATTCTTAAGATTCTTCATCATTTTTAACATCTTTGTAAAATTTCTAATAAACCTTTTTAAATTATTCACTTTATTTGATATCAGCAAAAGTACCTTATTCAGCAATGGTACCATTATCCATTAAATATACATAATCAGTATATTAACAATAATTGAGAGCATGAGTAACTAAAATTCTAGTTTTATCTTTTAAATAACCATTCAAACATTCATAAATAATAAATTTGCCAACATGTACATCTACAGCACTAATAGGATCATCTAATAAATAAATATCACAATTGCTATAAATAGCTCTAGCCAAAGAGACCCTAGCCTTTTATCCTCCTGATAAATTGACTCCTTTTTCTCCAATCATAGTTTGATCACCTTTTACTAATATCTTGATATCTTCTTTGAGACATGAAAATTTAATGGCTTCATCATATTTAGTTTAATCAAAAGGTAATCCAAATAGAATATTTTCTTTTACAGTTGCATTTTAGATCCAAGCTTTTTAACTAACATAAGCAAAAGAACCATTAATTTATATTCTTGGTTTATCTTCTTTATATATCATTTCACCCAACATAGCTTAAATTAATGAAGATTTTCCAGAACCAACATCCCCAACAATTGCAACAAATTATCCTTTTTCAATTCTAAGATTGATATTCTTTAATATAGGATCTGATTCAATTTATGGTAATGGTTCTACCTTTTAACCTTTAGCAGTATGAGCCTTAGCTGGTTGTTAAGGTTATTCTTTATATTATGACCAGTAAAAGGTTCCTTAATCTATTTTAATAGCAACATCATCATCAATTTCTGTTCTCATGACTTAAGAGTTGATCTATGTTCTGGAATCATTGACAGTCAATCCTTTTTAATATTATAAATCTAATTGTGATTGACTAGAATTAGTGATGCAATCATTCATCAATTCTTTGGTCAATAAAAAACCTTATACTCTTTTGAATGAAATATTAGCTTCTATTAAAGCATTGAGTGCCATAGGTAAAAATAGAAGTGGACCTTAAAGACTCTAAAACAAACTGATAATAGCAAATGTATTGGCTGGAGTAAGATTATTTCCAATAGCTACATATATTACAAATGTGGCATTTAATATTAACATAGGACTCAACCAAACTGATAATATATTTAAACAAGATGCAAAGAATCTAGTTTTTAAAGTTTTGATTTCTTAATTTCTTAATTTAGTTAATTTTGATCTGAAATATTCTTCATAAGCATTAACTTTGATAAATTTGATTTATTAAAAAATTTCATTTGCACAATTAGTTCTCTTATCTTTATCTTTCATCATCATAATTTGATATTCCATCATCTTCTTACCTACAAATATATTAAAGATTGCAGTCAATAAGATAACTCCCAATCCTCCCAAGAATGCTACTCCTATAAATTTAAACATCATATAAATAGATATGGCTATTTATAATGGCATTAACATAATTTATGACATATACCATCCAAACCATTATAACTTCATGGCATCTACTTACATATAATTTAAGACTTATCCACTTGTATGTTCTTTATTACTCTGATATGAAACATTCATACTTTTACCCAATAATGCCATAGATAGAATACCCATCCAATCATATCCAACTGTTCTCTTAAATATATATTATATATTATTACTATCTAATAAAATGAATGTTGTTAACAAATCACTGATATTATTCTAACTCCTATTATACTAAAAATCAGAATTAATCCTTCTTAAGTCTCTTTATCCTCTTTCATCAAATATTAAATAGTCCATTTTATTAAGAGTGGATTAATTAATGATGTCCCAACATTAAATAACATTACTATGAATACGAAGATACATTATCCCATGGACACACTAATCAATGACCAAATTAATCCATTCTTTTCATTTTTTCTCTTTTCAAATTACTTCATGAATCTATAATACAATTGTTCACTTGTATCCTCAAATCTAAGATCCTCAATCATATCATTTTCTAAAGTAACTTTTGATGCAATCTAATTTAAAATTCAATTTTACTTCTATGGTACCATAAACCCATGCAAAGAACAATTATGATATCACCCCTGCCCTATTTCGTCTTGATTTCTTGACTAATCTTGTAGCATCTACTTCCCCTTCATTTAATAAAGGAGCTTTTAAACTTACACTAGATGAGACTTAATTCATATTAGAGAATTTCTTATTTCTTTAAAATAATGTTTCTCAAATTAAAATATTTCTTTTATAATCCCTCATTCTGACTATATCCAAAAATATTTCTCCTTAAATCCATAGTCAATATATATTGTGTGACTTATCTAATTATCTAAAATCCAACATTGCCATCTCATCAATCAAATCCTGCCCCTTTCATTTTCTCATATAAAACTTTATTGATGGTAAGAAATGATAAAGAAATTTTAGACTTAGTTCAATAATAATTTATGATTTTACATATACATTTATGTGTATATACATATATGCTATTGTATTTAAAATAACAAAATATAAAATTTGCACACTTTTCTGATTTAATAACATAAATTATTTTCATTTTTTGTTTATCATTTGGAATATTGACAATAATTTACAAATATCATTAATTATATAGCTAAATGAATTTACAATTTTGATTACCTATAGTTTATAACACTTTAGGATTGAATAATTATATATAAATAAATTTGCAATTATTCTCTACTAATAGATAATTTTTTTGTTGTTAAATTTATCTTAAGCATTTTAATGTAATTTAAAGAAATGAAATAATAAAAGCCTTTTGCTACAAAATATATTGGGCAATTAAAATTAAGAACTCAACTTGTTATTATTGTTTCTATACAAGTGCTAATAATTGTATCCTATGTTCTTGCACTCAATTTAATTCATCATTCTCTACTCATAAATTATTTATCAGATGTGTCAGATTAACTTTTTGAAGAAAATTCAAAACATATATTAAACAATATGATGGAAGAATACTAGTACCATTATAATCAAGTCTTTAATTTAAGTAAACATTTCCAATATTTCAGACGGTAATGCTTTGGTTTCATTTCATCGTTTATATCATACATCTAAAAATCAAGTATTACTCCATCCTCTTGATATTAATCCACTCTATTAAATGAAATATGGAGGAACAACCAAAATTCCAGATCCTCTAAGAATTATTAAGGGATATGGTAATTTTGACATTTCCTATTCTTTTATGTGTTATTCAAATCTTTCATCATACAATTAACCTAAAACAATAGAAGAGACAGTGGGAATTAAATTATAAGAATAGATTCAAGCTGCTGGATAAATTTTTTATTAAGGAAATTTAATAAACTAGTCTTTTTTGTACTCATACATCATCAAAGAAAAAATTAATTCAATTTATCCATGTTTAAATAGAGATAAAGCAATTTATCAATATGTGGCTGAAAAACGTGATTGGTTTATTGAATTAAAAAAAAATTATGAAAGCAAATCCCCATATGATCACTATAATTACACATTTACTAAACCATATTTATGTATTAATTATCAAATTTAATAGTGTATACTGACAAGAAAATTGGACTTTCTATGACACTTCCTATTGTTGATAAAGATTTAAAATTAATAGGTGGATTAGCCTCTAATTTCTTGGGTTCATAAATAGTTGAAATGCTGAAAGTGAATTCATTTGGATTTTAAATGATATATCTTGTATCAGACAAAGGTGTTATGATAATGCATCCTTATAAAGTAACAGTAGAATAATTACCTTTATACATATATAATGAAAGTATCACTGGATTCAATTTAACAGATTGGGAATATATCTAAAATTTAAATAATGATTCTTCTTGTCCTAAATTTGATCAAATTTCATCACTTCTCAAATGCAGATTCAATTCTTATTATAATCAAGAAATGATTATTGGTACTCGTGATTTTCCATAATTTAAGATGAAACTCATTATGTAATCTTATTAAATATATGATTAGGTTATTGAGTAGTTAAGAATATTTAAAATTTTATGATGATTTTTAATCAACATTAGAGTAAAAATTACATGAAACAACCAGTAATTATATTATTTGGTTATTTGTTGTATTTGTTATTCTTTGCTTTATGATTATTGTGGTTACATAGATATTATTTAATCCAATTGAGAACATAAAATAATAAGCCATTCATTTAATAAATTAATAAAGAAAAAAGAGATAGTAAATATCATAATTTGCAGAAGTGTTGATGAGTGATGAAATATAATCTTTGGTTCAGGCTTATTAGATTGTGATAAATAAATTGGAATCATTATCATTAACAAAAACTAGTTTATGCAAATAAATTGAAGATATACCATATCCAACTAAATAAATCTCTATAACTTAGTCTGATATTAAGCAAAACATATAATTCAACAGATAATTTTAGAACATAAAATTTGAAAATTTAAAAGATCTTTGTACAGATTCATAATATGAAAAGGCGGGAATATCAATTATTAGAAACGTTCTCAAATAGAAAAATAATAAATTTCTTTTATATTGAATCTTCTTCAGTATTATTTATTTATTAAATCTAATAACTTCTATTATTATTTTTATTATTCTTATAATAATAATTCTTATCATATATAAAATATCTTTGTAAATTAACAAGTAATTTATAATTAATTTATGTGTAATTTACATAAATAATTTATTTAATTAGAAAAATGATAAAGCATAGAAGATTATTTACATTTTGCTTGAATAATTTGAAATTAAGAACATAATTGATAATATTGGTTTCATTAATAATCATTGTAATCGTCTCATATGTTCTATCAGTTAATCTAATACATTACTCTTTATTCAAACAGTATTTTTCATTGATTTCAAATCAAATATTTGAAGATAACTCATTCAAAATATCAGAGAAATCTATTAGATCATACTAAGGTTATTTTGATAGAGTATTTTATTTAAGTAAATCAAAATCCATTATTTTTTAGATGGAAACAGTCTAGTTTCCTTTCATCGCTTATATCATATGACTAAAAAATAAGTAAAACAACATTCCTTAGAATTAAATACTGATTATTAAATGTTTTATGGAGGTATAAATAAAATACCAGATCCAATTAGAATTATTAAAGGTTATGGTAACTCTGACATATCATATTCGTGTATGTGCTTCTCTAATATTACTGAATTTCAAAATCCTTTGAGTTTAGATGAACTTATAGGCATGAAGATATAAGAGTAAACACAAGCTTATGCATCAATTTTGTATTAAGGGAATATTTTAAGTCAGTCATTCTTTTATTCATATATAATAAAGGAAAAAACAAATGCTGTTTATCCATGTCTTAATAGAGGAAAGGGAATATATAATTATGATCCTGAAAAGAGAGAATGGTTTGTTGAAGTAAGACATAATTTTAATAAAAAATAACCATATACTGAATATTCATAGTCCTTCACTTAACCTTATTTGTGTATAATTGAAAAATATTTATATTAGTATTTACAGATAAAAAAATTGGATTATCATTGGTACTTCCAATTGTGGATGAAAATCTTGAATTGATAGGAGGAGTAGGAACAAATTTTTTGGGAGCATAAATAGTTTAAATAATTAAGTCTTAAGAATTTGGATTTTAAGTTATTTATTTAGTATCAGATTCTGGAATTATGATTATGCATCCATATGAAGTTGGTGTAGAATAACTTCCTTTATACATTTATAATTAATCTATTACAGGATTTAATACAAGTGATTGGGAAAGAATGAATTCAAATAAGTAATCATAAAATGATTCATTAACTTGTCCATATTTGCACAAGCATTCATTATCTTTAAATTGTCTATATAATAGTCTATATTAATAAGAAATGATAATAGGAATCTAAGAAATTCCAGGATATTCAATGAAATTAATAATGTAAAAAAAGATTATTCTATTTCTAGGTTATTAAGTAGTTAAGAATATTTTTAGTTTTATTAACATTTTCAAGAAGATCTTGACAAAAAATTATTAAATTAATTATGGCTTCATATATCTATATTGTTAGGTCTTTTTTTATTTATTTGTTGTTTATTGTATATATTTACTTATACTTTATTTTATCCTATTTAATAGATATAAGCTTTAACAATTAATAGAATATTCTCTAAAAATAAAAAGAAATTATAAATGCCATTTTATGCAAATAAATTTATGAGTAAACAAATTACTTTATTGTGTAAATCATTTTAATTTGTATAAGATAAATTAGAATAATTATCATTTAATAAAACTAAATCATGTAGAGATCTTGAAAATTATTAATATCCTTAAAAAAAGTTTTCATTAAAAAAATATATATCAAAAGAGGATAATTTTAACAAATAAAGTAATTTATATAAAGAATAAAAATTGAATGCAAATGAAACATTAACTTAAGAAATGATAATAATGATGCTTAGAAATTCTTAAAAATTTAGTGGATGATTATTTTCTTATTTTACTTAATAATTATATTGAAATTCATTATATGCTTTATTTACTATATAAATTTAACTGATATGAATAAAAAACAATTCACAGAAAAGTTAAGAAGCAAAAATGTATCTCCTACAAATAGCATAGAAAACAATTCTTATGCTAAAAAATATAGTAAAAGATTATTGAGTCGATAAAACAATAATTAAGAATCAGAAAATTTTAGTGAATATTTAACAATTACATAAAATTCATCTCCAACTAATTAATGCAATAAAATATTATCATAATAATAATAAATTGTTCAACAATAAAAGAGAGAAATTGCTATTTTAAAATTAGGTTGTTCTAAATGTTTTTCAAATTAAAATAGAGATTTAGATTTAAGATAAAAAATTATTATGCAAAATAAATAAATCTTATAATTAATGTCAAAGGATGCATCATTATAAGATTATGTTTAATTATAAAGAGCAAATAATTATCTATAATAATAAAATGAAGAATTAAAATAAAATTAAGAGATTTTAAAAATGAATTAATAATAAATTTTACAAGAGAATTTATTACTTAAAAATTTATTATTTGAATAAAATGGTAGTTAATTTATTAAAGAAAGTTCAAGCTGTAATTAATATTATCATAAAATTTAGAAATCTTTAATTTATCTTAATCCCAAGGTATGTTTTCTTCAATTTTACAGTTCAATTCTTAACTATATTCTTCTTCTCATACTTAATCTATAATGGAAAAAGTGAATCAATAATTTAAATGAAATATATATATATATATATAAGTAAATTTAAAGAATATTTTTAATTTTATTTTCTTTTAACTCAATAAAATTGATTTTGGTTAATCTACTAATATTATAATTCGTTTCTCTTTTATTCTAAGTAAAAAATTGCATCTTGACGAGTATAACTTTGTTTAGGTATAATTAATATCTTATTTTCTTTAAACAATTCTATTTATTTATGTTTCTCTTCTAAATTACATAATTCATACATATAAACCATAAATCTATAATAAATATATATTTTACAATAAAAGTTAATCTGAAAGTTATTATAAATCTGAGTTTAGATTATCATTAAATTTTCTTTATAAATATGAATTAAAAAATTTACGAATAAATTCCCAATACTTATAATAATTAATATAAGTTGAAAATTTGAAAAGCACTTCTCTCAAATCACATAATGTTTGAAATCTAATTTTTTATTCGTTAATTTTTTTGATTGTTTATGAAACAACCTAAAAATAATAAATTTATATCTACTTAAGTTGATAAAGCAGATAATTCTTAAAGTTTTTGAGAACACTATTCAATTATTCTCAAATCATCTTCTGTTTTAAGTTATTAATATTCATTGATTGCTTATAAATTCTGCTACTCTTTATCTTTCTAATCCCTTATATGTTCACTTAATTAATTGTAATCTCCTTTATGAATTGCTTCTATATTTTTTAGTAAATTGCAATAATATCCATAAATAGAACTTATTAATAGGAAATATTCAATCAATTAAAGATGAAGTTTTTTTTCACTATTATAATTTGTTATAATACTTGATAACTTCTTATAGTTAATTCAAAGCTTAATTAATGACCACTACTTTAAAATACTATATTCTCAAATACTAACTTAATGGACTTCGTTTTCTTTCTAATTAGCTTGTTTATGGAATGAAATTAGAAAATTTAATATTACTACCTACTTATTAGAATAACTTTGTTGCTTCTTATAACATTTTTGCCTCTTTTACTTATTTCTTTTTATTTTTCTAATCCCAATCAATTATAGTATTCAACAATTATGCATCTTCATATTTTGATCTAAACTATTCATAAACAACATCTTTTCGTATTCTTTCAAATAATTTTTCCCATGTAATTCTTTAACTCTCATCATAAACTAACATATTTTCTATCAAAAACTAAATTTCATCCTTCTCCCTTTAAATTCCTTCATTTTTTAATGGTTAATTATTCAAACTAAATCTTTATTTCTAGATTGATAATATGAATTTTTATAATTCAGTCATAACAGGTCTAAAAGGAAATTCAAGGAAAGTTAATTAATAGATGACCATTCCAAATGAATATACATCAGTCTGAGATGAAAATTCTCTTAATGATAATATTTATGGTGAACTATAAATAGGGGATCCAATTTTTGTATAATCCCCTTTAATTTTGACATCTTCCAATATTCTACCAGCACCTAAATCTCCAATCTAAAATAAATATTCAAATCTATACTTTATATTATTAAACTTTATCAACAAAGATATTTTATGGTTTTATATCTCTATGCATGATGTTGTTATTATATAATACTTAATATCCATCAATAAATTGATAAATGAAGTCAATAATTTCAGAAGTCTTAAATAATTATTTTTATGACTTCTTTTATTCAATTAAATGTTTTAATTCACCTCCTGAACATCGTTCCATGATAATAAAAAATTTATTTTCAGCTTCAAATACATCATATACTATAATCAAATGAGGATTATTAATTGATTTAATCTTTTTTAAAATCTATATTTCTTTCATCATAGACTCATCTATATTAGCGTTATTTTGCACAATCTATTTATAAATAATTTAAAAGCTACTTTTGCACAAAGCTCTATATTTTTATACTTGAATTTATGATAACATTCAACAACTATCCCAAACTATCCTTATCCAATTTTTTTATCTAATTGAATAACATAATCATAGAAACAATATTCATTCATTTTCTATTACTCTTAATATTTTTATAAATATAAATTATTAAATCAAATTAATTATTTAATGTAAAACCAAAATAGATAAAGAAATTATGTTTTTTTTAAAGATAATTCATCTAAAACATATACAAATATAATATCTTTAATCATAATCTGATTGAGTAACTCTAAAAAAATTCATATTCTACTATATCTTTCATCTATAATACTATATAACTCTTATATGCAAGGAGATAAAATGGCTGATGCCACTATATAGTTTGTACAGGAATTGATAGAAACCTTACAGTTGGATATCCAGCCCTTTGCATATGATTAAAACTTATCTTTCTTAGCACAAATGACAATCTTTTTGAACTATAACTTTTAAATATTTCTCATATTTTGAAAATGTTATAATACCCTTTTTCTAGATTCTGTAAACTCAAACAATATAGTCTTTTTTTAATGATAATAAACTTCTTAATCTTATGTAATTAATCTAAAAATAGAATATCTTTGGTTAATCTTATTTTGAAATCCTAGATAAATAATGCAATTTCTCATTATTTCTATTTCTCTAAACCCCTATATTTATATTATATTTATGTAGATTTTTTAATTAATTATTTACTTAAGCCTTCATCGATTATATATATTATTTTAATGATAATTTAATTATTTCTTTAATAGTTTATTATTCTTTATTTATTTAACTTCTTATTTTATTTACATATACATATACATTTTTTTCTATTAAATTATATTAATATTTTTAGTTTATTAATTATAAACATGGATACTATAAAATTCTAGAATTTTAGACAATAATTACCAATTCTAATACAAACATGTTAAGAAATTAGTGAAGTATTTGGATTCACTTTGAGTGAAGCATTAATATTATTTCATTATTATAAATGGAATGATTATGCATTAAATGAAGTTTTAGCAAGTCAAGAAGATTATGATCAGATATTAATTAAAAGTGGAGCTAAGTCTGCTACTTAATATAATTTAGAGAAGATTTGTCCTATTTGTTATTGCAATTAATCAGAAATTAGTTTAAATTGTGGTCATTCTGCTTGCAAATCCTGTTTTGAATTATATTTAAGAGATAAATTAAAGATGAGTTCTTTTATTAATTGTTTCTTTTTAGGTTGCACTTTAAAAATACCATATTCTTTTTTTGAAGAACATAAGGATTATCAATAGAGTTATCTATTAAGATTAAGTAAAGATTATAGAACTACTGTTAAATGTTGTAATAATTAAGAGTGTGAATTTTATATATAATCATACGTAGATAACATTGTAGAATGTCTATGTGGAACTGTATTTTGTGTGAAATGTGAATAAGGGGATCATCGTCTTTTGAATTGTTAATAATGTGTTGAATGGGTTAAATTATATGAAGGATCAAATAATATTCTAGATTTCATAAATCATGGTAAGTTCTGTCCAAAGTGTAATTAGTTTATTGAAAAGGATTTAGGATGCAATCATATGACTTGCAGAAAACCATTAGGATGTGGATTTGAATTTTGTTGGATCTGTATGGATACTTGGTCCTCTCATTCTAAAGAAACAGGAGGCTATTATAAATGCAATAAATATAATGATTAATAGATTGAAGAGAAGAATAAGTTAAAAGCAGATAAATCAAATGAAAAGAGATTAATATTTTATGCTATAAGATATGCTGGACATGAAAAAGGTTAATAAATTGCATTGAAAAAGAAAAGAAGATTTTTAGATTTAGTATCAAAGATATAATTGGTTGATTCTTATAAAATATTATTAAGGGATAGTTATAATTATATTATTTAGGCAAGAATATCTTTAAAATGGACTTATGTATATGCATATTTCTAAAAAAAATAAATGCCAATATTTGAATTTGGATAAGCTGATTTTGAAAGATATTGTGAAATATTGCATGATTTGCTTGAAAATGAGATTTATAAAAAATTAAAATCAAAGTAACCAATAGAATAATATCATTAAAAATTATTAAATAATTACAATTTAGCAAAATAAGTAAATATATTTAATTACTTTAGTTTTAAACTAGATTTCTGTCTGAATTTAAAAATCCAAAATGAAATAATCAATTTTATATCTTTTAAAATACATTTCTATCTTATTTAATCTTATATGTATAATAAATCTAAAATTTTAATTATAATAAATGAATAAATATGGATTCTATAAAATAATCATAATATAATCTATTGTTAAAAGTTATTATTATTATTGAAGAATGTATAATCAAATAATCAAACTAAATTTCCTTATTTCTTATCTCTAGATCTCTTACAAATTGTTCAAATGAATTAAAGAATTAATCAAATTATTTTCAAAAACCACTCAATGTCTTGCAAATCTCAAAACAATAAAGATATATGTATTAGAATTATAATTTTATATTTAGACATAAAATCTTAAAAATCTATTTGACTATATTTGTTATTCAAAATAATTTATTTCCCTTAGTTTAAATAGATATCAAATTATGATAATATATAAATAGACTTTAATATGAATAGTATTGAATATTATTTATATAGATTAATACTTAATTAAATTTTTTATGGAGTTTATATAAATGAAAAATTAGATTAATATCAAATTCTGATCTGAAGTTAGAAGTTCAAAGATAATTAGTTATATAAGAAAAATTTATTTATTTTTTATAATGAGGCTACATAGAAATCATTAAGGAGCTATACAGATGTTAAAAACAAAAATAGAATCCTATGAGCATCGTCATAAATAACAAATACTTTGTTAATTATTCCCAGATACTCCAATGTTATTAATTTTGACTAATTTAATAGTAAATGGATTAAACCCCACTTAGATAAAGTAATTTTCACATCTTATCATTTGAATTAAACTCTATTTAGTAAGAATCAAAAACCCACTCATGTTTATTATATCATAGAAGGTGAAGTAAGATTAGAGGAAACATAAATAGAAAGGAGAAAACATTAAAATGAAATGTTTGCTTCTACATGCATGGCAAAAAGTAGAACTTTACTTATTATATCTGCTGGCTCATTAGTAGGAGTATGATTATTATCTAATTTTAGGAAATTGAAGCATTACATGAAAAACCATATCAAACAACAGCCAAAAGCAATGTTCATTATAGTAAAATACTTTTAATTCCTGAAACAATCTATATAGATTTAAAAAAATAAGATGAATTGTATTAAAGCACTGAAACACAACATTTAAAGGATTAACTCATTTTAAAGAAGATAAATTAGTTAAAGAATCGATTAGAATTATAAGAGGTATCTCCAGAAAGAGATTTATCTCCATAGACTAAGATTAGCAGAGAAGACTTTATAGTCTAATAAAATAAAAGAATATAGAAGAAACGAAATTTTGAATTTATAAATTTAACACCAGAAGCTCCTTTGTTTTCTGTTAAAAAAATAAAACGAGTAGCTGCTCCTGATGATAAACCAGAAAATAGAGCAAGATCTATATCAGCTCCTACTAAAGCTAAAATGTTATCTACTATAAAAAGTATAAATAGTATTGATAAAATATCAAAACCTGAAGAGATTACCAGATCTCGTGCTAATATAATAAATTTTGGAGAAAAATGTAGACCTGCTTCTCGAATTTTTTGGTAATAAATATTTCAGAAACTTTGATTTTATATTTATATAAATTTTATGTTTAATTTAGAGGATTTATTGGCAGAGGATGAAAATGATGTGAATGATGCATCTAATTTAGAGATTGATGATATCTTAAATGAAAGTGATAATTCTATAAAAGAATTAAATATTGAAAAAGTAAGAATATGTTTGAAAATTTAAGGCAAATTAAATTTTAAGTGAGAAAAAACAAAAAATAAAAGTTTAAATGAAATATGGATAAATAGAATATGAAGAATTAATAAGGAAATATATTGAACATGATTTTGAATAATAAACAGAAGAATTTAAAATTGAAATATCTTCATCTAATGAAGAGGAAATAGAACCATAATCATTAATTGATTAAATAGATAAACAAGAAAGAATTATTAAAGAAACTACTCTATAAAATGTAGAATTAGTTAATAATAATATTGAAATAGAAAATATAGAGATTCACGATTTACAATTAATTTCTAATCATTTAAAGAAATTATCAGGTCAACCTTGTCTAATTACTTTCTAATATAATATCTTATCAATAGGAACATCTATTGGTGAAATCCTAGTTTATTCAGCAGCTAATAATGACTTTATTGGTATTTATATTAACTAAGCGCAGTTTTGAAATATAATTCTAAAGTGAGTGCAATTGATAATACTTAAGCATTTTTAGTGGCTAGCTATGAAGATTGTGCAATTATTTTATGGGATCCCAATACTAAAGCTTAATTAAAAAATATTAAACATTAAGAACCTCTATTATCTTTGAAGTTTTTTAATGAAACTTAATTTATCATTTCTGATTACTTAGGTTAAACATCAATGTGTAAAATAACTAAAATGTTATGGTCATATTAAATTGAAATAGAGAAATTATTGCCAAGGTATTTTATTAATAAAATTTATTTTAGATAGATTCATCCATTTTATTAAATATCTATATGGAAATAAGAATATATTGCTTTTTCATGTTTAGAATAAGTAATAGTTTTAAAAGTTGATAAATAATCTTAAATAATTAAAAGAATTAAGAGATAAATAGATGGTTATACATATCCTTGTACAAGTTGGGGATAATTTACTAATACAGAAGAATACACTGAAATGATTGAAATTGCATTAGCAGTATCTTGGGGTACACATATAGAAATTTATATTGTTGAAAAATAATAGATGATATAAAAATATTCTTTTATTTTAAATACCATTATTTCTTGTAATTGGTTATCTAGAGATATGTTATTAGTTTTTACAAGGGAATTTTAAATTGTTACTTTGAATGCATAGTTTTTTAATAAAGATATTATTACTGAAGAATCTAGAAACACTTTAAGAAAATAAATGAATTATTTAACAAATAAAACTGAAAAAGCAATTTAATCAATTATACCTTTAGGAGATGTTATTAATTTTCCATTATAAATTAATAATGGATAATAAATGGTATCTGTCTATATGAATTGTATATCTGCTAATGCTAGATTTATTTATATATTATCTCTTCCATTAATTAAAAGAGTTAAATTATTAATATGGTCAGATTATTTGAAATTAATGATAGAAAAAGCAGAAACTAAATAAAATTGGTATGATATATTATCTTTTGGAATCAAATTATATTGGAATTAAATTCATTGTTTTGCTATTCCTCAAACTAGTTATGATTAAAGAGTTGTATTTTCAGATATTTCAAAAGATATATGTAGTACATTTATAAATCTTGTTGGACAAAGTATTGAATCTTAAAAAATATCAGAATAATTGAAATATGAATAATGGACTTAAACCATATATTCAGCTATATAATATTGTATACATTGCAATTAATAGTAATATCTCTTTACTGGTTTAAAGACTCTATTAATTAAATTTCATCGTTATACATAATTATTAGCATCTTTAGAAGAATTTATATTAAATAAATAAATTAAATAAATTCCTACTGATTTACTTCTTTAAATATCTACACATTATAAAGTTTTAAATAAATCAGATATTGTAGAATAATTAATATTGTCATTAGATCCAAAATGTTTAGATATGACAACAATTTTTTAAATTTGTTAAGAAAATGATTTATATACTCCATTAATGGTTGTGTGTCCACGTATTGATCATGATTATATTACACCATTATAAAAGATGTATTCTAACTTTTTGAAAACTTAGAATTAAAATATGTTATTAAAATCTTTATGGTTTATTAAATTGACTTTTCAATAGATTTTATTTCCAAATGAAAGAATACCTTAAGATAGATTTTAACATGCTTTTGGATAAGTTATTATGTGGTTATTAATTGAAGATATTTTAAGGAATTTTGGAATTCATTTACCAAAAGAACTTTTTGAAATTCTAAAATTTGCTATGAATTATTCTTAATTATTTAATTCAGAATAATTATAAAAATATTTTAATAACTAAAAACCAATTTTAGTTGCTTTTATACATAAAATTTATAAAAGTTTATCTTAATCAATTGTTACTCATGAAACTTTAGGAATAGAATTTAGTAAATTCATAGGTTCAATAAAAGGATTAGTATTAGATGAAGAAGTATACATAAAATCATTAAAACATTTAGTATCAGATAGAAAGAATTTCTAATTAATATTAAACATATTGGAATAAATTGAATTAAAACCACTTTTAAAAAATGAACTTTATGAATAATCTAATGATAATTATATTAAATCTCTATTTGCATCAGATATCTATAAATAGATTGATCTTTGTTTATTAAAAATAAATAAAAAGTTTTTCTCACTTTGGATATCAAGATAACTTAATTAAAAGAGAGAATAAACTTTAAAAGTATTAGAATTATATTTTGATACACTTTTAGAAAATCATTAAACTTTATAGATCTTAAAATAAATAGTTCCAACATTAACATCTTAAGAATAATATAAATTAATGAAAAGGGAATAAATTACTAATGGTTATATGGAATTATTTCAATCTTTAGGTCCTTAAAATAAAGATTTAAGAAGTTTATTAATTAGAGCAAGTTGTATTCATACACCACATCATGTTTTAGATAAAATTCATCATTTTGCTTTAGATGATCTAGAAACAATATTTATAGAAACTAAACATAAAGAAGGATTAGGATACATATATGCAAGAGTTGGTAAATTTGAAATTGCTATGTAATTTTTTATTTAAAACTTGCTTGATTATTTATAAGAATGTTTTACATAATAATCATTTTCAAATGAAATACTGAATTTAAAATTTGATTTATTATTTTAGACATGCAAAGATCATCTATCTCATAATGATTAAAATTTATTTTTAGAATTAGGTCATCAATTATTTAATTCAGAAACATATTCATAAATTTGGATTTTATCAGAATAAATCAATTAAAATAATTATTAAAATATAATACCTATTTTATAAGTAATTAATACTAGATTATGTGAATATTACAATTATTTAAGTATTGAAGAATTGATTAATTTGATGGAAGAATAAATAGAAATATTTAAAATGGTATGGATTAAATGGAGTTTTAAAAATTTGATTTATGATTAAAGAGTATAATATAGAATTAGATACCAAAGTTATTTTATTGAATTATAAACATATTTAGGATTCAAATATTAAATATTCCATTAAAATGTATATAATATTATTTTATAATAGGCAAGTAGTCCTGAAATTTAAAATATATGTAGTAATTGTAATGAATTTATTACAAATGAATCTAAATAACATATTTTAATTAGAAAATGTTCACATTCAACACATCAAACTTGTTTATAATAACCATTCTGTCATATTTGTAATCCAAAAGTAAAAATGCAATTGGAAAGTGTATTAGCCAATAGAAATGTTAATGATGGAGTTGATATGAAGAGAAGATAAATTTTAATAAAAGAAAATGAAATTATGAAAGTAATTTATTTTTATCTATTTTTTAGAATCATCGTAAATTAGAAGAATAAATAGAAGATTTGTAATTAACAGCAGAGGATATTCGTATTCATGAGGAAAATCGGATAATCCATGATTTAGAACTTTTTGATAAATTTTTTAATTTATGAGTTAGAATACACAATACTGATCATTTTTATACTTCCAAGAGTTTCTTCTACTCTTCTTAACTTAACATTCCAAATATAGCTTAAACATTTTGTCCTTGTGATTATTCAAATATTTTCAAGGCACTTGAAATCTTTGTATCAATTGCTTCATTAGATCTCTTTGTCTTATAAGAATTAGCAAATACTTTGAGAATCTTAAAATATTTATTTAATATAATACTTGTAATGCATTTTCTGGTTTTCCATTTATCAATTGATTACAATCTGCAATAACAAAGTCTGCCAATTATTCATGTTGAATACGAGCTTCAGGTTTATCAAATTTGAGAGGTAATAAATGTAACCAAGTTTGAATTCCTTAGGCAAGATCACCTCCTAAAGATTTTGATTAATATTTTATGATTTTTCCTAAGGCAGCAATAGAATTATCTCTAGCATGTCCATGTTATTTTTCTGTGTCATCTTGATTCTTTTCAACTTTTAAGGAATCAACTAAAGCCTTAGATAACATTGGAGCAACATTAATATACAATTACTATTAATATATTTTAATTTAATACCTCTGGTGTATTAAGGGCCATAATACCAATACCATAGACAGCAGCTTATCTAACAAAACAAACCTTATCTACAGCATATATTGTCAAAGCTTAAGCGAAATCGCTGAGTTTGGCTTAAACATATGGATATCCCAAATATTCAACCATATCATCAATAAGGAAAATACCAAATTGATGCATTTTTGGAGATTAGGTTGGGTCTAAGACTTTTGGTAAAATTTAATTGCAAATGACTTCATATAATGGTTAAACTTAATCTTTGTGAGTCTTAAAGATAGATCCAATACATTCAGCAATTTTGACATGGAGTTCTTCTTCAGTTTCAGTTTCTTCTTTAATAACTGTCTTTTCATCTTCATCAACATCTTCTTCTTTAGACATCTTTTCATTTTCTGCCTTTCTTTTGTCTGATTCCAATAACAATTTAAATACTTTATCTGAAAGTTAAGTAACTTCTTCAGTTGTCATAAATGGTTATCCAACAATATCAATGATTTCTTTGATACAATCAACTTATTCAATGATGACCATAGGATCAAATTCTTTTTAAGCAGCTTCTAAAATAATTCCTAAAAAGTATTTAGCTCCATTAACCAATTATTATACATTATTTGTAGCTTTAACATTTTCAATAAGACTGACTAAACATTTACATGCAGCACTTCTAATATTTTCATCAGTATTGAAATTGCAAAGTGGTACAATCAATTAAGTGCATGAATCAAAGTAAGGGAAGAATGATTCTTTTAATTCTTCAATAAATACAGATAACATATGAATAGCAACTTCTGCTTCTTCATTATCATAAGTATGGAATTCTTCATCTGCAGTTCCTGTATGTACTTTAAATACTTATTAAACTAATTAGAATAATGATGGAATGATTTCTGGTAAATATATAGCAATTTATTATGGACAAACTAAAGCCAATCTTTACCATCCAGATAGAACATATGATTTTTGTGGATCAACTGCTTCCAATTGACTAGTTTGAACTTAGATCAAAATTCTAACTGTTTCAGCCAAAAATGGTTAAAATGAAGCTTAACCAACAGCTGAAGCTATTAAGGTGATAGTTTCAATTGTTTATCCTTTCAATTATCTATATTCCTTATTTTGATGATTTTAGAACACTTAAAATAATAATGGAACAATTTCATTGACATATGGAAGAAATTATTATTTACTTGATTCAGCTGTAGCAGCCAAGGCACTCATTGCATTTTCCTTTACAATTGAAATACCATTATTCAAATATTAGATTGTCAATTAGATAAGATTTTATAAGTATGATTCAATTCCTTTTTCAGTTCCTTCAACAAAATTAGTTAAAGCAGCCAAAATATGTGATGTAACTCTTGGAACATCTTCAACTTATAATCTGGTTAAGAATTATGGTACTATAAGATGTAAATAACTTTCCTAAAATTTAGGTTTCATATCATCAGCTATTTGACCTATAGCATGACAAACTGCATATCTAATCATAGGATTTGAATCACTCAACATGGGAGAAACTAATTCGATTATTGGTTTGACTTCAGCTACTTCTTCAATATATTCACCGACTTATGATAATGCCAAAATGGCAGCATATTTATATCTCCAATCTTAATGTTGTAATAATTAATTAACGATTGGACTTAAGACTGGTAACATTTCCTTATCACCAATAGATTCGATTAGTCTATCAATTGAAGACATACCAAATCTTGTGGTTTCACAATCTTCGTCTTATTAAATATCATCGTTGAATCCTTCAGCTGGTTTCATCCATTCTTCTGTTACTGTCTAACTAATTTAAATCATATGGAAGAAAATCATTTCTACTAATTAACTCAAGTATTATTTATCTTATTTAAATACTCTTGGGAATTTTTCAGCTAAACTTATTAATGTTTCTGTTCCTATTCTCTTCAATCCTTATTCAATTTAAGATTCTCTGAAAATAGCTGCAATTCCATTGAAAAATACATTGATTTGTTTTCTAAAGAACTTTGGTTCAGCATCTATTATATCAGAAAAGGTTTCCATAATTTCTTCTCCTAAAGTTTGATCTTAGACTGTAACAGTCAAAGCAGATTACATAAGATTTGGAATAAGATCTTAGAATGCTCTGTATTATTTGGGTTCAGATGTTGTTACATAATTACCAATTGATTATATTGTTGCTGTTTTAATCTTTTAATCTGGACTAGCAAGTCCTTAGATGAATAAAGTGTGAAGATCAGCTTAATGCTTATTGAATAAATCTATAGCATATGTGAAAAGATTGGCCAAGATCTTAAATCCACATTCAATTAAATCATTCTTTGGTGACAAGAACAATTACCATAATGTTTATAAGAGATTAGGCCAAGAATTTTTAGTTTCATCTTCAAAGAGTGATCCTCCAAGTTCTCCTATGGTATCACACAATTAACTTCTTACATTAGAACTTGTTTCAAGTTCCAACAATTAGAAGAGTGATACCTTAACTATTTCTTAAGTCTCTGGAGTGAGAAGACTCCATACATTTTTATGACTCTTGGGAGAATAATTACTTAGTGAGTTTCTTAAATACACGGGAGCAAACTATCTAATTTTTAATTCTTCATGTCTGCATAGATGGAGCATTGATGTTACAAATTCACTTGGTTAAGAATCTCTATATTAGGCTAGCAATTCCTCTGCCTTTTATCTAGTGGCATTATCTGGTGAGAACACACCATGGATCACATTAAGAAGCTATTCTTATAAACTCATTGGTTTTTTATCACAAATTTTGTATTTTTAAATATTAAAATCATCAAATTTATTTAAACATATAAATCTCGATTATTCGAATTTTCAAATATTCTTTAAATTCCATTTTATTTCCAATCAACTACTCATATCCAGTGTACTTAATCTACATAATCTATCAGTATTTATATTATATATATCACTGATTGATTTAATAATTAAACATTCTAAAATTCAATAATATTTTATGCTATTTTATTGGATAATTAATAAAATGATTTATTTATTTAATTATTCTAGTTGATTAATTTATTATTAAATGGGTTATGTTATCAATCTTCAGTATCAAAGGTATTCATACAAATCATATACAATTCTCTTGCATGATAACAAAAGTATTTATCATTAAAATCTAATTAATTTACAAAAACTTCATCTTTTTAGCTAATATGAAATTAATTGCATTTAGTTTTAAGTGAATTACACAGCATTTACCATGAATAATTATTTAAAATTATTTTATTGATTCAGAAAGATTCATAAGATTAGAGTATTGTTTTTTTTATAATTTTGTTATAATAACTTTAAATTCTGTAATAAAATGAAAATTAGAAATGAAAACTATTATTACTTTTGATTTTGAAATATTAAACAAAACTAAAATAAAGATTACAAATTTTAATAATAATTTGATGTTTTATTTAGATAAATTTATAAATATAGTTATTAGAAAACCATATTAACAATTGAGATAAATGGAACAGAAATTTTCAAGTTATATATTTTAGTCTTCTGTCTAATGGATTTATCTGAAATATTTGTTAAGTTTGAAATTTATGCAAAACTTTTATAAGTATATTATATTATTGAATTTATAATAATAATTATAAGTATAAAATAAAATGATGGAAGAAATGGAATATCTAAGATTGCCTCCAATATTGGCAAAATAAGTTTAACATCCTGGTAATTATAAAATTAATAGTAGAGGAATATGTACGAAAAAATGATCCTAAAGAGCCAGTTAGAAGGATTTTTAAAAATGTTCCAATATCTTAAGATGAACGCAAGTAATTGCAATAACTTAAAGATAATTTAGCAGCTTATAAAATTGAAATAAATCCTGAGTATAATATTTTATTAATTAGCTCATAAACAGATGAAGTACTTTTACGTTATCTATATGCAAATACTTTTAATATTGAAAATACTAAAGACATGCTAAGAAGCCATTTAGGTTGGTTAAGAGAACCTAAAAATTATGAATTTGATCAAGATGTTTTAGATATTTATGTAATTTCATTTATATAAAAGAATAAAGGTATTGTCTACATTCTTGGACGAGATAAATAATATAGACCTACATTGATAATTAATTGTGAATAAATTACAACTGTTAATATGGAACTCTTAAAAAGGGCTATTAGCATTTTATGTATAATAATGGAAGATTATTGTTTTTATGATGGTAAAATAGAAAATTGGAATATTATAATCGATCTTAAGGAGAAATGTGTTCTAAATGTTAAATTATAAGAGTATTATTCTTTATTTTAATTAATGTATTAAAATTTTCCATGCACAGTAGATAAAATATTTATATTACATCCTTCTTTAAGTATATAATTGGGATGGGCTGAATTTTTGGAACATATTTATAATAAAAAGAAGATAATAATAGTATCTGATATTAATTAATTTAAAAAATATTATGAACCTACATAATTAGAAAGGAAATATGGAGGTAGAATTGAAATAAAAAAATATTTTCCTCCTTTGAACACCATACCAGAAGGAAAATAATTGACAGAACCTTTAAAACTTTTAGAAACAATGAATTAATAATAATAATAATAGATTTTAATACAAACTAAACAAAGCATTTAAGCTTAAAATACTTTTTAAGAAACAGTGACAAAATAAGTTTAACCAACAGAAACACTTAAAATGACAAAAACAAAAATAGAAAGAGATTTCTCAGTTTATCCGTAGCAAGAAATTTATGACTTTAAAGTTTATAGGCCAACAGAAATTTCAAAAGAACCTATAAAAAATATATCTAAATATAATAGACTTACTTAAGCTGAAATGATGAAAAAAGAGTATTAATCTCAAGTTTAACAAACTATACTTCAATAAAAATAAGCAGAAGTAATGAAAAGCTATAAATACAAATAAAGTTAAATGATTTTTGAAGGAAATGATTAAGATGAAATTTTAAGTGAGTAAATTAGAACTTAAACTGTCAAACCTTAATCAGTTTAAGGCTAACCTTAAAATGCAAAAGGAAGGTTAACAGCTGAATAAATAGAAGAAGATAATGCAGCATGCATAATATTTTGATATTAGTATAATTTTATTCATAGATATAAGAAATATCAAAATTTATGGATTTTTATTTTATCTTCCAAATTTGTTGATTTATAATCAAACTCAATTTCATTTGATGACCCATTACAAATAGTAGCAGCTCTTTTTCTATTAATACTTCCAAAAAACTATGAATATAAAGTTTCTACTTAATCTTTACCTTTTGATTATGGTTAATAGTTATTGATTTCTTTTCCTTATTCTGATATCATAAAATATTTATTATCTTGTAGAATTTTAATCTCAATTACTGTTTTAAGTCTATTAGAATGCAATCTAGAAGTTATAGGATTATTGATATCCTGCTTTTTGAATTCTACAGTATTTATTGGACATTGAACAGCAGACAATTACAGAGGTGTTTTTTTTCGTTTAGAACCTTTAATTTGTTTATATTTTTTCTATATTTAAGTGAAGGCAAATGATAAAGGTTTGAGTAAGGGCAATCCAACTGATTTTTATTCCTAGAACTTTTAATTTAATTAATATTGTTATGTATGTTAAGATGGTAATTTGTTAATAGGAGCCTTAAACTCTTCTTAGTTATTTTTCTTTTTACACCAATATTAGATTGAATGTTTAATACAGAGATTTCGCATTGCCAAATCAGCCTATAATTTATCCTGAAATTGACCTCTAGTTTTACAACAAAATGCTTAAATTTTTAACCAATTTATATCTATATTTAGCAATAAAAGTGTTTAGTTTTATTCATTGTATTAAAGGATAGAATTCATACTTCTTAATTTATTAGTCTGCTGTGGAATTAAATCTGTATTCAACTTCTAAGTCATGGTTTAATTTAACATATTATCATTATATAATTAAAAATACTTTTTTATTAATAGGAATTAATATATTTCAAGATGCTTACCCAAATTGGAATGTAATTTCATTTGCCTAAACTACTTTTGCCAAACATTATATATTCTATTAGTCAATTTAAACGAGATGTTTAATTATATGAGCAACTTCATTTCTCTATAAATTAACAACAATATCCACTTAATTATCTTAAATTTAGGTATCGAATTTTTCAATTTTGAAGTCCTAATGAAATACAATCTTTAAAAAAGTAAAATCATCAGAACCTTTTTTTATCTAAATTTCAATATATATTTTTTTACATCGCAAAAATATAAATTTGGTTATCTTTATTCATATTAAGAGAATATAATTTCATTATTCTCTTCTTGTTTAAAATATCTTTATTGAAATTCACTTAATTCATTCTACAATTTATAAATTTCTGAATCAGTCTTGGATTTGATAATTATAATTTCTTATTCTAAGTTATTTAATTGCTATATTAAATATTTTATATACTTATGCTTAGGATACTAATTCTTTTCCTAATTCTTATTTTTTTAATTATATTTCAATTATTTCATTTTTCATTTTGGAAATTTCAGCTTCATTATTTTGTATCTGAATTTTTTTTGAGTCATTATCTACTTTAACAATTTTATAAGTATGATATTCCATTTTCGTCAAAACTCTATCTTCTTCAGCCATATTACTAATTTAATTAATCAATTATATGAATTGAAATGAAAACTTATTGCAATACATATAAATACATTATAGATAAATATTAAAACAATAGGATTTAAAATTAAACTTTTTTTAGAATTATTATTTGGATATAATTGTGTCAAATCATTCAGATAATTTTTGATTGATGTATTCAATTAATCTGTCAACTATATCAATTTCAGTTTATCTATATTATTATTAAATTTTAATACCTACTAACTTTTTGATTGCTATATTCTGAATCCTCCAATTCATTAATTCTGGTAGCATCTTAAATATTTAATTGGGTAACTTCAACCAAAGCATTTGAAATATTAATCAATCCATCTAATTCATTCAATCTGGATTAAATTTCTTTAAGTCTATTATTGGCAGTGGCCAATGAAACCTATAATGTTTGTTTTTCGTTTCTTAAGTCATCACCTAATCTACTCAAATTTTCAACCTAAAATAATAATTGCGTTTTACTTAAGTCTTGTGATTGGCTTCTAATTAATCTTGTCCTTCCTATAAGGCAGTAATCAAACGGGCAACCAAACTCAATACATTATTTAGGGTTTCTGGATTAACTTTAGTTGTCATTTCAGCCAATCCTTCAATAATAGGCTAGAATAAAGTTAAAGAACTCTTTTTAGTGTGAGCCTCCAATATTTCCTTGATTTTTTAGAAATTCTCTTTGGTTTATAGGAGATTGGTCTTTGTGTCTTAACTAAAATTGATTATTTTATATAATATTTACGTAATTTAAATGAGGGATGCTCCTTCTCCTCTCAAGTTCATCAACAATCTTTAAGCTTCCTTACAAGCTAAAATGGCATCACTGTAATCTTGATATTTAGCTGCAAAATCTGTATTTTCTGCATCCAATCTAGATTAAGCATCACCACTTCCTCTGCTGTTTCTATCTAAAGCGGCTTGATCTGCAAAAGAATTATTAAATATAGAGATTACCTTCTTTGACTCTGGTTTAAAGAGTGGCTAATTCATTACTAAGACTTGTTTATTCTTATCTTTAATTGTCCAAATCAGCTTGTGCTTATTCTAAAGTAGCTTGTAATTTAGCCAAATCAACTTGACTTCTACGAGTGAAAGTGCCATTTTCTTAATCTTGTAATTGAGTGAGAGCAATGAGTTCATCCTTAATTTATTACAAGAGTTGTTTTAATTCATTAAGGGATCCACCTGTCTTCATATTGACAGAAACCAAATTGACCATTGACTTTCCAAATGGGTGATCACCATATTAGGCAAGTTTGTCAGTCATTTCAGTTATAGATGTTGCATAAATGCATGCAATCAAGGCTAACACGACAAAGTGTTTCATTATTTTATATTTAATTATTCTGAGTATTCCAAAAACGAATTATAATATTATGTTAAAATATAAACAGTAACGAATATTGGAAGATGATTCATAACCATATAAATTGATGGTACTATCCAAAATCTAAATAAAATAAGATTTAACAACATAAATTGCGTTCATCTGAAAAAAAGAGACCACTCAGTCGTCCAAGAACATCATCTGTAAACAAACCTTAAGTTGACATTTTACTTGAAATCTAACTTCAAAGTGAAATACTAACTAAAGCAATTAATTCACTAAGAAATACCATTGAGTAGTTTAAGGAATGAATATATATTATTTAAAATCAAAATCTTACTATATTTAGAAATCATCGAATAGTTTGAATTTCATATATTCAATATAAAATTCAAATTCTCCCATTAATTATTTATGTTTTATCAAGCATTAAATATAGTGAAGCCAAATGTTTGTTATTATTGGATTTATCGTATTATAAAATGAAAACAATTTACAATAATTATTTTAATATTAATGGAATATCCATAGAACTTATTAACATAAGGAATCAAATTCTCAATTATAGGAGATAATGTAGCATAAATTGTATTACTTCCTGGTGAATACATAATTACATAAAACAATTATATACAATATTATTCAGACAACATTGAGATTAAAACAAAGAGATCATATTTTATTGTTGCAAATCAAGTGACTATTGTGAATAATAGCAAAGAGAATGTTGCTTATGTAGGAATTAGTGCTTAAACAGGGAAAGTGATGGTTTTAGATGCTGCTATTTTTAATAATTATTTAATCAAAGAATCTTCAATATTAGCAGCTAATGATTTTATTGAAGTGGGACCAATTCCTTAATTTTAATAAAACTACTAAAAAATTGTCTTTTCAAGAGATCTAATGAAATAACAATTAATCTTTTTGAAAACCAATGGAACAGTAATTGATAAAGATCTTGGAGATGGAGAATCTATCACTGTATAGAAGCATTCTATTTTGGCAATGTAAGATTTTGTTCGATATGAATTAAACCTAAAAGATAATACTAAAGTTAAATTAATTGGTCCAGGTAACTTATCCAAATATTGATATTAGGTAGAATTCTTTTTGAAATCAATAATTAAGTTATGCCAAATAATTTAATGTTATCAAGAAGAAGACAATTAATTCATTTCTTTTTGTTAATGTCTATGCTTTTCTTTTTATCTTTTGTTGACATCATGCTAGACATTGGAGCCGGAGTTTGAATTTTTATTCTAAATTGTTTAATAATAAAGATTTTTGATCATTATATATATGATTTTCTTCTAAGATACTAAATAATATACTCATTTTCTTAATAATGTAATGGCTCCACTTACTTAGTAATCCCATATCAAATAGGCAACTAATGCTCCATATAATCCATAATTTATTATATCATTTGAATGAATTTTCCATAAGAATAAATAAGATTACTTTTTATATTCGTTCCATCCTTACTTTTTGGCAAAAGAAATATCTTTATTTACCATAAAACCATAGAATCCAACTATCCAGACTGTAAATAGTATTGAATAAGCTAACCAATTTCCACTAAGGATTGCAAATGATGCATATAATAACATTTCTCCTGTATAATTAGGATTCCTATTGTATTTAAACATTCCTTCTGTAATTAAGCCTTATTTATATTTTAATGTGTAGTATTTTTGGCAATCACTTACTATCATTAATACTACTCCAAAAACATAAGCAAAAATAGCAGTAACTACTCGTGCGTTACTTGGATTTGGAATTCCCTCTGATATTTATAACCAAGCAATAAACCAATATAATAATAATAGTATGGATGTAAATATTAATGATCCAATTGTAATTTTATTCTGAAAAGTTCGATCTGGAAATGTAAAATCTTTAACGACCCAAATAATTCCATAACTACCATGTAACGCCAACTATCAAATAAAATTTGGTTATACGTAAAGATAAGCACCTAAAGAAAAGTTTTAATACCACCAAATGAGGAAAACTACAAAAAAAGCTGTTAATCCTTTTTAAGCATTGATTATATGGCATTATTTGATTATTTTAGGTCCTCCCAAAAAATCATTGACAATAACTTTAGCAAACTCCTGATGTTATTTAAACATAAATAAATTAATTTATTATTAATAATATAATATTATTAATTATGTAAATTCAAATAAAAAGTGAACTATTTAAGTATATTGATTGCTCTTCATCTGATATACACTCATCAAATTCTTCCTGTAATGTTCTTTAGATTAATTTCTCAGATTATTCTTAATTGTATTCTAGATTAATAATTTCTTCTTTGGTATTTTCCATTCTAGGTAAATTAACACTTAAATCATCATCTGTATCTTTTTGTTTACTAGTGTCATCAAATTGTTCAAACTTTTTAATTAAGAAGGGGATATCATTATCCATATAATGCAATTCTAGAGTTTTAACATGATTGGCAACGAATTGATCTTCATACTAATTGAATATGTAGTTTTTCATGGATTGAGTTGATGTTACATTTTTAATTTTCTTTGAATGAGCTAATTATCCAAATTTGTTGAGAAAATCAACTTTTTATTTTAATTCTTTTTATAAGGTGTTATTCTAATGAGTTAATTCTTCACAAATCATTTGATGCAATTCTAGCTATTTTAATAAATGTTTCTTATGAAGTTATAATTCTTTTGACTTGAGCATACTCTCTTTGAGTTGATGCTAAAATTAAGTGTTTTTAATTTTAGCAAGCATGTATTCCTCATACAATTGCTAAAATTCAAAGTTATCAAAAGACATATGTTTTTAAATTTACAAATTTTATTTCCTCTCTGTTTTACTCAATCTAGTTTCTATTTCATGCAATTCTAATAATTTTTGTGAAATCGCTTTTTTTAGATCTTTGAGTTAATCATATTAATTTCCGATCTAGTCACATTTATTTTCTATTGCTTAAGTAATATGTCTAATTTTCACATCCACTAAACAAATATTCTAATCAAATGTCTAATTTTACATAATATAGAGTTTAATATAAATTATTACGCTAGTAGTAGAATAATTACAATAATTTAATATATATTGTTATATATAAATGCGTGTAATGTGTTTGTATGGGACTTATTACAATATTATTAAAATAGCTATTAGACAAAATATTTGAATTAGCATAAAAACTCAATAATTAATTTAATTAAAGTTGTACTCCAATTATTTCTTATTTGCACTTCCCTTTTAACATTAGAAACCTAATATATTTAATTGATTCATGGTATAGCTATAAATTCATATGGAAGTACATTTGATGACATTTGGCATTAATTAGAAACTAGAGATTTTTAGGACAGATTGTTAAAGAAGATGCTGAAAAAAATGAATTTAGAATTTCTGTAATTTTGATATTGCTGATAATCCAAAATTTTTATCTTTTTCGGAAATGTGATTTTTTCATTATTTAAAATAAATCATATAAAATATATCTTTGTTTTGTTAATCTAAAATTTATAAATCATATTAGAATTTTGGATCGTTGATAGTATGAGATTGATAATGCAAATCCATATTCATAATTGTATAAATCAATATTAGAAAAGCAATTACAAAACTTTAAAACCTTTAATTTTAAGAGAAAAGTCCAAATAAAAATTTTATAACAATGAAAGGATTATCCCACAAGTTAAGAACTAAAATTACTAAAGATTCTATTTTTACTCTGATAAGAAATACTTAGCAATAGTCTAAATAATTTCATTTTGATAAACTAATATATTTTATTATTGATGTTGCTAAAATACCCATTAGTTTCAATTTTTATTGATTAATGACATTATTCAAAAAAGACATAATACTTCAGATTCACTCATTAAGGGCTGAAAGCATTATGCAAATCATACTTATTTGATAATGTTACTATTAATATGAAACATAATTTATTGGAACTTTATGTATTTTTCTATGAGAATTATACTTTAAGGCCATTTTTTTTTTGCTAAAATAGTTTATTTTTCTTTTTTGGATGGAAATACAAAACTTAAAAAAGAACATAAATATTTGTCTTTGTTGTCCTTATATTTTCAACATTTGGATAAAGTGAAAGACAGATAGTTAAAGATTTGGGAGCATAAATCTTTTTTTCTGAATAGATTCCAAAAAATTTAATGTTAGAATCAAGAATATTGTAAATTTTTGAGTTAAATTCTAATTACAAAACAATACTTAATTTTTTAATCCAATAATTATATATTTTACATTCAATTTCACTCTTCTCGTAAATGAGAAATCATTTTGATTAGTGAATATAAATTAGTAATGATTCATTAATAAAAAATTGGAATTCATCATTATAGTACCTTAAGAAGTACTATTATTAATAAAATTTATATAAGAAATGCAACTTCAATTTACAAAAGAAACAACGATTTTCAATTTAATAATAGTCTCAGTGTTATTTTGATAAGATAATAAAAATGTATAAAAATGAAATATGATCGTTTCAAATGTTGTGGCTTTAAAATATAAATAATGGATAAATTGAGTGGCTTTTAATTTTAAATAATTAAAAATTTTTACTGTTTAATCCTTATTATTTTTCTTAGAGCAAATTGAACTTAATTTCAAAGATTGGCTTAAAAATATTTAAATTAATAAATTTAATTAAGTTTTGATAATAATTTAATAAAAAATAAAATTTAATGGTTTAATGGTTTAAAAAGGATTAACCATTCAAAAGTTTGCATCTGAAAACCCGAAAAGTTTCTTGGTTTTTTTTATTGATTTTTGATAAAAATTATTGTTCTTATCAAATATCAAAGTAGAGCAGGATTTAGTCAAATAAAAATTAATTAAGATTTTGGAAAAAATTACCTACAACTAATAATAAATACACAAACTAAAAATAGAAGAATACGAAGAAAGCAATTTATAAATATTTATCAAGGAAATACTAAAAAATATAATATTTATTAATTATAATGTTCTTCTTGATCAATTTTACTTTTATTTTATTTCGCTTTCTAAATCAAAGCCTCCTCTTTATTTTATTAATGCTCTTATATCTACTCCCTAATAATTAAAAAATTCTGATTTGAAGATCAAAGCCTTTTATGCTTAAAATATCAGTTATTTAGATATAAGGAGAATAGCAACATTAGGGTGGACTAAATAATAATAAAACTATAGATACAGTATTATTTTTCTCTACTTGTATAAAAAGCTATAAAATCATAAGACAAACCTTCATTAGGAGAGCTCTATAGGGTCTTAAGATTCAAATAAAAAAACTATTAATTACTACAATAATATAATGTAGAATTGTCAAATGAGAAGTATAATATAAAGACATCAGCAGTTTGAAAATCAAATTTTTTTATAAGGCATCTCTCTTACACATCCCATAAACGAATAGACTTATCTGTACTGCTAGATGCTAATTTAGTACCATCCGAAGAAAAGCATACAGAAGTAATTAAATCCTTGTGACCATCTAATCTCATAATTTTTTGTCCTGAGTTAACATCCCATATACTGATAGTATTATTGCTGCCTCCAGATGCCAATTTCGTAAAATCAGGAGAAAAGCATATTGAATTGGCAATTTAAGTAGATTACATATTGCTATCTTAATAATGTTATTGTGTCTTCACATCCCATAAACGGATAGTCTTGTCTGAACTACTTGATGCTAATTTGGAGCCATCAGGAGAGTAGCATATTGAGCTGACATTATTAGTATGACCTTCCAATTTTACAAAATAAATCTAACAATGAACATTCCATAAATAAATTGACTTATCTCTGCTACAAGATGCTAAAATAGCACCATTTGGAGAGAAACATACTGAATTGACAACATCAGTATGAGCATTTATATTTGATATTTATTGTCCTTTCTAAACATCCCATAAACGAATTGATTTATCTGCACTACCAGATGCTAATATAGCACCATCTGGAGAGAAACATACTGAATTGACAGCATCAGTATGAGTACTTATATTAGATATTTATTATCCTGTCTAAACATTCCATAAACAGATTGACTTATCACTGCTACAAGATGCTAGTATAGCACCATCTGGAGAGAAACATACTGAATTGACAACATCAGTATGAGCATTTATATTTGATATTTATTATCCTTTCTAAACATCCCATAAACGAATTGATTTATCTGCACTACCAGATGCTAATATAGCACCATCTGGAGAGAAACATACTGAATTGACAACATCAGTATGAGCATTTAATTTTAATATTTATTATCCTTTCTAAACATTCCATAAACGAATTGATTTATCTGCACTACCAGATGCTAATGTATCATCATTTGGAGAGAAGCAAACTGACTCAACCCAACTACTATGATTATCTAATTTTAATATTTATTCTCCTGTCTTAACATCCCATAAACAAATTGTCTTATCACCACAACCAGTTGCTAATAATTCACCATTATGAGAGAAGCATACAGAATTAACAATATCACTCTGGCCAACTAATTTATTGTTGTAAATTTTTATCTTAACATCCCACAAACCGACTGAATGATCTCGACTACTAGATGCTACATTTTTGCCATTAGGAGAAAAACATACTGATAATACCCAACTTCCATGACCATCTAATTGAGATATTTATTATCCTGTCTAAACATCCCATAAACGGACTGATGTATCTGCACTCCCAGATACTAATGTGATACCATCAGGAGAAAAACATACAGAATTTACATCATATGTATGACCATTCAGTTTGGCTTTTTATTATCCTGTCTAAACATCCCATATGCGGATAGACATGTCTTAGCTACCAGATGCTACACTATTACCATCAGGAGAGAAGCATACTGAATTGACAGTGCTAGTATGACCATCTAATTTAGCTTTTTATTATCTTGTTTTGACATCCCAAAGGCAGATAGAGTTATCATCACTACCTGAAGCTAATGTATTTCCATCAGGAGAGAAACAGACTGAGTAGACATAACTAGTATGACCATCTAATTTGGCTTTTTATTGTCCTGTTTTGACATCCCAAAGACGGATAGAGTTATCATTACTACCAGATGCTATTGTAGTACCATTAGGAGAGACACAAACTGATCGGACATAATCGGTATGGCCATTTAACTAAGTTTTTAAGCTGCCTGTTTTAACATCCCATAAACAAATAGAGCCATCATCACTACCCGATGCTAAAGTATCGCCATCAGGAAAAAAACATACTTGATATACCCATCCACTATTAAAATTGAACTAAGACTTTTATTGTCCTGTCTTAAAATCCCACAAACGGATAGAATTATCTGCACTGCCAGTTGCTAATATAGCCCCATCAGGAGAGAAACATACTGAAAGAACTTAACTAGTATGACCCTCTAATTTTAGTAACTCATGTATTCTTAAATTTTTCCATTTACAATTATATAATTCAGCTCCATTCAAATTTACTCCACTTATGTCTACATTTTCAAATTCAGATCCACTCAAATTGCATTTTGCAAAATTAGCTCCAATTAAAGATGAATTCTTAATTCTTATATTCTCAAGACATAGTTTTCTGATATCAACTTTCATCTCAACTAACAAACTTAATGAATTTGAACCACATTATATGAATTTTTAGTCTATAGTTGTGAGAAGAACTAAAAATTGTAACAATTTTATAATCTTCTAATTTTTTGATATCTTTTTAATTAGAGTTTGTCTAATTACAATGTAATTATCACTTGAATAGTAATTATTATTAAAGTCATGTTCAGATACTTATTTTAATAATATAATGGTTTTCTTAAAGTCATTTTTAAATAAATCGAGTTTCTATTTCTTTTCTATAGTGTTTAAATGCTAATATTCAAAGACATATTTTTAAGGATCGCAATATTCAAGAAATGTTAAACAACAATCTGAAATTTTACATTTTTCTAACAGTTCAATCGTCTCAATGAAAATTAATTCATCAACTTCTGTCGCTTGAATTAAAATTTCATACAAGTCTTTTTTCGATTCCTTATCGTATTACATTATCAATTAAAAAAAATGAATTTCTATTACTAAATATAATCTTGGATAATTAAAAATTTTTTTAGCTTTTTACAAAAAAATAACAAGATCTAATTTTGAAAAGGTTAATAAACTACAATGAAATGGCATTGCTTGATTTATTCTTTAATAATGTAAATTATAAATTTTTACTGAATTTGAGATAGATTATAGATATTTAATTTTTTTAGTGAATCCTTTTTTAACATAAATAAGTATAATTTTTTATATAAAAATTAAGAGCTAGGAATCTGTCTGAACAAAATCGTTCGCTCCTTGATATTGTTGATGATGACTATTAGATTTATAAATTCTGGAGATAATAGTTATAGTAAAAGATAGAGATATTTTTTAAGATGAACATAAATATTAATGAATTTAATAAATTTTGATACATTAGATAATTTTTCAGAAAAGGGGATTTTTAAGCATATATATTCTGGGAAATTCCATTGTTTTCTTATTAATTATAATACTTGGGTAAGTGAAATAATGAGGAATATAGCAGATGTTTTCTAATTAATACTAAATGTTTGGAATGGTGATGACATAAAAATATAGTACTAGCAACACGAATATTTAATTATTCTTGGTCAAATGAAAAACAAATTGATGATATATTAAGGATAGTAATTGATAATTTTATAAGTTCTATTATTATATATATTTAAACTTAATTAATCTAAGAAATTAAAAATCTTGAATTAGATAAATTAACAAATAATAATAAATACTATTACATCTATCAGAATTTATTTTTTCAATTAATTATTGTTTATAAAATTACTTTTAAATTCAAATGATAGGCATAAATTCATTAATCAAACAATATTAGTTTGACACAAGTTATAAAATAATCTTAAGACAAAAATAATAGAAGTTCCAACTGATTAATAGGATTAATTTAGCAACATTCTCAACCATTAATTATGAGCCTTCAATAAGAGAAGAAAAAAAATTCTATTCTTATCATCATCGTTAATATTATTTGCTCCTTTCAAAACTCTTCTTTCCAGATCTTACAGGATATTCATTATTTGAAAAAAAAAGAACGCTTACCAAAATTATCATATTGGGAAGATCTAAAATAAACTGATGAGGATTCTTAAAAATTGAGTAACAAAAATAAACGAAAAAGTATCTGTTACGATTTAGTGGACATAATATTTTCGGCTAATTACAATTTATTATCTTAGATTTTTTAGAAATTATTGAAGCTCAAGCAAAGAATTGGGAATTTATCACAAATGAATAAAGTAATTAAAATTGCTTAAAAAGATCAAAAGGATGATGCATATCTATCAGCTCTAAACCTATTGTGTGTTTTTTAACTAGCATAATTATAATTTGGCAAAGATTTTCTCAATCAAAGCAAGGATTATACTTATTAATTTAGTTTATTAAAAGTTAACTAAATTAAGTGCTTATTCAATAGCTGAAGCAAATAGGTAAAAATTTTAATTTAGCGTCTGGTGATATCAATTATACTGAATATGTCTTTATTAAAGTCCATTTAGTATTATAATATTTTATAGTAGTGTTTGTTTTTTTTCCATGATTTTTGGATGCTACATATTATGGGATAGATTTAATGGGCCTATTGGCTTGATTGCACTTGCTATGAAAGTGAATCCCTAGAAATAAAATTGAATTTGACCTAGAATTCAGTTCAAGAATTTTCCCTCTTATTGGATTAGAAATTTATTCAGGAGAAGCTTGGGACCTTTATTGGTAGAGTTGGTTGTTTGAAATTCACCTTGCTTAATGCTTTATAGCATGAGATTTCTGTAGATAGTGGCTCTTCAAAAATTGAATTAAAAGAGGCCAATAAATGTATTTTACTAGCAGCATATTTTGGATAAGTCATTTATATAATAATTATACACTTCAAACTTTAGTTAAACATTCAAAAATGCTTTCGATTTTATATTCACTGAGTGTATTGATACAGACTTATATTAATTGGATGATCCATTATATGAATTTTTATGCAAATATTGATAAAAAAACTTTTAGATTGGCAATCAAAGAACTTATTACTGAAAATTAAATTAAAAGAAATTCAGAAAAAAAGAAACCAAGAAAAATTGTGATTTTTGTCACTCAGTAAATCTAATTTGATATTTAATGTTACAAAATAGGCATTTCAAACGAAGGTGAATTAAAAGATCAAGGCTAATATTAAGATATTAAATCTAGTTTATATATGACCAATGAAGAGTTAGCATAAAAAATAAATTAATAAATTTAATAAAAAAAAGAAAGCAACCATGTGAATTAGAAATTCTTCGAAAATAAAAACCTAAAATTTTGTTGCTAATAACTTAGTTTGTAAAATAATAATAGTAGAACTATAAGAACGTATTTAAAATACTAACAATTTTCGAATGTAAGAGTAATTCTTTTTGTTCCTCTTTTAGAAGCTGGATCTGCAGTTCTAATAAATTACTATTAAAGAATTGTTTCAATTTTTTATGAGCATCAATAAGAAAATGATATTGATACTGTATAATATATCTAAGGAATGCTTAGTTTATGAGAATTTCATATAATCAAATAAAGTATTCTTTTGAATACATATTACATATTCAGTATAAAATTCTTCTCAGAGGATAAATTAAGAAATTATAAATTTTTAAATATTGTCACCAGCTTCATATTTTGATGAAAATCATCTGGAAGAATTCTCAATAATTTTTTCTAATAATCTATCTTTATTTGATAGTCAAAAAACTGAGTTAGCTTGGATGTATTAGAAATAATAGGCAATTTCTTATTTGCTCTAATAAAAATTTTGATGATTTTATTAAGAGACAAATCAATATTCCTGTATTATCTTGAGGATTATTCGTATTATCTGAATATAATGGTTCGATACAATGAGTATTAGAACAAAAAATAATTTTTGATACACATTAGAACTCTTATAACAGAATGCTTTAGATTATAGATGTACTGCCGAGCTTCCTTAAAATGTTAAAGAAGATGATAAAAATCTTGATTTTTCAAAGGATGGAAGAGGATACAGATCAAATTTTTATTTAATTTATGAATTGTCATTTGAAATTTAAAGTAATGAAAAAGTTGGTTTTTGAAGAACAGGCCCTGAAAATCAAACCATTTTTAAAATGCCAGAAATAGAAGATTTATAGAAATCAAATTTATTTAATTCTAGTTAAGATATTAGAAAAATTAGGATCACATAAGGTAAGAAATAAATTTGGAATTATCCCTTAATCTCCTTTTTTATGCAAATTAATTTATTGTATATTGGAGAGAAGTTTCAATATAGAATATTTTTAATCCTTTGGCCAAATAGATGATTAAGACTTTTTGTAATTTAAAAGGTAGATTTGTTGTATTAATTTTCATTATTTTTTATAAATATTGATTTTTAAAATATTACAAATTTTTATTAAAACAGCATTAAAATTAGACATAATTGGATTTATATTAATATCAAAATTATGTTACTAAAATATTGATACAAAAATATCAAATTTAGTCTGTATTTCATTTTAATTTAAACTTCATAAATCCTAATTCATTCTTAAAAATGAAAATATGTAATGATACAATGAATGATTGAAAAAATGATTTTATCTTATGCTTCCCAAATATTTACTTACCTCAATTTAAATTTAGGAATATTAAAAATCAATTAAAGAATACATATTTAAATATTCAATTTTTTAATTCTAATAATTTGGATAAATTTTAATAAATTAGAATATTTTTTCAAAAGCCCTTCCTATTTTGAATTTAGATTTATTAACAAAACATAGTTGATAAGTCAAATATTAATATTTAAAATTCAACTAAACATTTTAAAAATACGTAAGAAAAAATTAATGACTTCTTGAAAAAATAACATTAATTATTTGAACTAAAAGGATAGGTTTAAAATTAAATATTTCTGAAAACAAGCATATAATTCTAAATTTATATTTACATACTAAAAACAACGAAGGTTAATTTTTATTAATTCTGATCAGATTAAAGTAAAATGATAATTAAATTGTTCAATTATTTTTATATTAAATATTAATTATTTTATAAATATAAATTAAAATTTGTTAACTCATTTTGCTTAAAGTAAAAAGCAAAAAAAACATATTTCTTTCTCAAAGAAATTAAGACAAAATATGAATATAAATAACCAGTATTTAATCTCAGTTTTTATTCCCTCTAGAGATTTATGAAGTTAAATAATTACAAGAAGTATATATTAATTAATAAAACCTTTATTAATTTTCTAGAGAAAATGGAAAACATAGTTTAATAAAATTATCCTGATTTAAATTAAATCTTATGTTATTAGCCTTTGTTAAAATATGAAATCTTCTTATTTAAATAAAAATTACTATTCTTAAGTAATAACTATTTTATCCAATCAGATTTTACAAGATTAAGAAAACCGAAAAAGCAAAAAAATAAGTAATAAGGCTAATCCTAATGAGATAAAGCTGATCATTCACAGAATATGCTTTTTATATTTCTTAAGCAAATGAACCATTTCCTTTGATATAGTTCTTTTAACTTAATCAAAGCTATGATCTTAATAAGATTTAAATAATTTATATATGATACTGTTTATACATCAAAGTAATTAGGAAGTTCAAATATATTTAATTAAGTTATCAATCAAAATTTATAAAATAATTTTATTTTTTAACAAACCTCAAGTTGAAATTATCATAACGGTTATATTTTTATTTAAGATAGATTTTTAAAGTAAAAGAATAAAAATCTCTAATAGATAAACTTAATCTTGGATTATATAATTTCTTATTTTTTATTTGTCTGTTATATTAAATTAACATAATCGAAAATAATAAGTAGAAATTAGTTAAATATTTATCTTACTTTACATAATTTTCATATTCTGAAAGACTTAATGATTTGGATGAAACTTTTAAATTATTCTTTTACTAAATTGATTAGAATATTTATTTAATAAAAAAAAAATCATTTCTTTCTTATTTGGATTACTTTAAATAAAATTTTTGTTATTCGAAAATTATTTTTCCAAAAATTAAAATATTTTTGGAAAACATGTCTCTTTTTTTCCTGCCTTTTTGTAACACTTCAAATTGACCAATAGATATTATCTCATATCCAACATTTTTTTTTTATTTGCAATAATGTTATCACCTTAATTATTTCTTTTTATTCATTATACAAATTTTTGAATATCTACTTATAATTCAATATTGAGTTAAATCTTTTAGTTTTTTTTTTGTTGTAAATACTAATAATATTACTAATAATATATTAATAATAAAATTTGAAGTGTTATTTTTCAACATTTTCACCTGAAGTAGATTTGGAAAAGTTACAATTACTTCTATTATTTTGCCCTTATTTAAGTATATATTTTTGAACTTCTTTCGATTCCTTTAAAAAAATAAGTCCAATTTAATACAAAAATTATATTTTTAATTTATGAGGATATATTTAATAATTCACATTGTATACGGTATCATTACATATGATTCCAATACTCTTAATTAGTTTGCTTATTAGTATAGTGGAGGAAGTTCTTGTCATTCACCTTAACAACATATAAAAACAGTTTATTTCTCTGACACATTTGCAAGACCTCCAAAAATCATTTTATAAACTGAAATGTTTGATTTGGCTTGTCCAAAAGTCAATTTCACGCTTCAGATTACGACTGTTACAACAGATTGTATTAATTATCCAAATATTAGATTTTATAATACAAAGGGAATGCTCTTATTCAATCGTTCATGGTATTGTAATTAAATGGTAAGCAATAGATGATGAAAGAATTTAAGTTATAAATGAGTTTAACATGATTTCATTCAAAAATAAAACATATTCTCACATTAACCCTAATGTAGAAGAAGCGCTAATCTCTTTGATTAATTTTTCCTACAAAGGTTCTATTTAATTCGATATCCTGGTATTTATTTAGAGATATTAATTTAGATTGCTGAATTAACAACATCAAATGTATCTGTTGTAATAACTAATCCAAGCAATAAATTATAAAATCTTTTAGTGTTGGGATATTAAGTAATTTTAGGAGTCAAAGAAGCCATTTCTCAATTTAGTACGATCAATACTACTGCTGTTTACACAAGTCCTCATTATAATTTTAAAGATTCTTCTTTGTTGATTACACCTTTCATTGGGATTTCTTATGATTTAACAGATAACGTTAGACTTAATAAAACATATTACACAAACTAATAGGCAATATGGTATCAGATACATACATTATTAAGTACAACTAATTCATATGATTTTAGATGGGCAGTATTATACCGCACAAAACCATAAGCCAGCATGGCTCAAGTATTAATTTACAACCATCTATACAGCATTAGAGTGTAGAACACTAAGAATTACATAGATAAAAGAAAAACAAGCAGATTTTAGAAATCCCTTTGAAGTTGAAATTTTAGAAACTACCCAAATATTCAATACTCAAGATACATTTTCTATAATTCTTGATAAAAGTCATGAATTAATTAACATAAAGATTTATGCAAAATGCTTTACGAATAAATCTATTTAAAGTTATTTAAATAAATGTAATGAATGTTTACAAAGTTAATAACACTAGTTTAAGCATAATTGCTACGGGGCTATCAATACAATTAATTTCTCAATTAAACTATTCCCAACAACTTAGGCACATTAAGAATTGATAATTATAATATCAAATCTTGGTTGTAAAGTGTATTAAGTATTATACAATTATGAGAAAAGTGAAGTCAAACTCATAGATATCAAACAAATTGGCACTTAATTATGATAATATAAACATTCATAAAAATATTTAATTTAGCCTTCCTATTTAAAATCATTTCATATTAGAAATAACCAAAGATTCAAGAGCAATATAAATATTGTGTTGATTTAATCAGCAAATCTTGACCTTCAGAATGATGATTTTTACATTGGAGGATCCTGAGAAAAATAAAAAATGATAGATGTTTAATCAACGAGTTTGTTATAAACTAAAATTCTAGATTTTTGTAAAAATCTAATAGTACATTTAAAATCTGGTTTATGATATTTATGGTTCAGGATTGTCAATGACCAGATCTCTAGACAATAAGATGAGTTCTTTGATAGGAGAAATTGCGAGGTCAAAAATTAAACAATTTACTGTAAAGGGGTAGATTATTTTAATGTTTCAGGGGAGATTGGGAATATTTGAGTATATTAAAATGACAATTGAGAATTTAGAAAAACTCAAATTTCAAAATCAAATAATAAAAATATATAAAGAGAGCAAGTCAAATTTATTCTAGCTAAATTATAAGTTCACGAGGTATTGTTCTTTTTATTTCTTTTTTAATATTAAATCAAATTCATATATTATGATTTTCAATTTCAACAAATTCTATATAATAAAATAGAAAGATTTAAGATCAAGCTAATCTAAATTTTTTTTCTAAATAAATTCATAGTATTAACTTTTAATATTATGGTTCTCATTTTTCAAAAAAATTGAATATCAGAATAACAATATTGCGATATTGTGATTTCTTTCATCTTGGGTAGTAACATAGATAGGTGTAGATGTATATAGAGCTAAAATACTAATATAAATGATTAAGTCGTTGTAATAGAAGAAAAATTTCTTTTTCTTTCTTAAAAAAATTTTTTTTAATTATTTTATTTTTAGGTTGGATTAAGATAGATGATATAAACACTATTGTATATGAATCTAATTCATACTTATAAGTATTATTATTTATTATTTAATTAAATAAGTTAGATGTTATTTATTGAGCATAATTTTTTATTCATATCACAAAAATAAAGATANTATTAAGTATTATACAATTATGAGAAAAGTGAAGTCAAACTCATAGATATCAAACAAATTGGCACTTAATTATGATAATATAAACATTCATAAAAATATTTAATTTAGCCTTCCTATTTAAAATCATTTCATATTAGAAATAACCAAAGATTCAAGAGCAATATAAATATTGTGTTGATTTAATCAGCAAATCTTGACCTTCAGAATGATGATTTTTACATTGGAGGATCCTGAGAAAAATAAAAAATGATAGATGTTTAATCAACGAGTTTGTTATAAACTAAAATTCTAGATTTTTGTAAAAATCTAATAGTACATTTAAAATCTGGTTTATGATATTTATGGTTCAGGATTGTCAATGACCAGATCTCTAGACAATAAGATGAGTTCTTTGATAGGAGAAATTGCGAGGTCAAAAATTAAACAATTTACTGTAAAGGGGTAGATTATTTTAATGTTTCAGGGGAGATTGGGAATATTTGAGTATATTAAAATGACAATTGAGAATTTAGAAAAACTCAAATTTCAAAATCAAATAATAAAAATATATAAAGAGAGCAAGTCAAATTTATTCTAGCTAAATTATAAGTTCACGAGGTATTGTTCTTTTTATTTCTTTTTTAATATTAAATCAAATTCATATATTATGATTTTCAATTTCAACAAATTCTATATAATAAAATAGAAAGATTTAAGATCAAGCTAATCTAAATTTTTTTTCTAAATAAATTCATAGTATTAACTTTTAATATTATGGTTCTCATTTTTCAAAAAAATTGAATATCAGAATAACAATATTGCGATATTGTGATTTCTTTCATCTTGGGTAGTAACATAGATAGGTGTAGATGTATATAGAGCTAAAATACTAATATAAATGATTAAGTCGTTGTAATAGAAGAAAAATTTCTTTTTCTTTCTTAAAAAAATTTTTTTTAATTATTTTATTTTTAGGTTGGATTAAGATAGATGATATAAACACTATTGTATATGAATCTAATTCATACTTATAAGTATTATTATTTATTATTTAATTAAATAAGTTAGATGTTATTTATTGAGCATAATTTTTTATTCATATCACAAAAATAAAGATATTCAAAAGTATTACTTAAGACAATAAAGTCATTTAATTTTACCGTTTAATATTAAAAAGATAAATCTATTTTATTTTGTATTATTTGATGCAATTTTTCCTTTAATAATTAGCAATTAAATTTACACAGTCTAATAAAGATCTTACACTTCAAATATTTTAAATGTATTGCAAATTCTGTTTATTGAAAAACGAATCCATACTGGTTAATTTATTTTTAACTTTATTATGGCATTAGATAGTCCAAATATCACTTATTATATTATCTAAATTTGGCTGAGACAGAATTGCCTAAGAGCCAATGCATTGCAAATAGTATCTATCGATTTCATTATTTAATTTGCCACTGCTAGGGAATCAAAAAATGGTCTAAAATTATATAATTGTGTCATCAAATCACGAATTTTTGTTCTTAAATCAAGTGACAAGACTTGAGTATAATATCTTAAATGTTGACTAAAAAATAATTTTAATTCAAACTATAAAAATGAATTTGAAAAAAAATAATATTAAAATATTACCTATTACGACATCTTATTATAAATGTACATTTTAAAAAAAGAAAAAGTTTTTAATTTAAGAAATTAAATTATTTATTTAAGAAATGAAGCCATGTAGCGTTTCTTTCTTTTAATCTTGATTATCTTTTAAGTTATCAAAATAATTTTGAATAATAATTATTTAATTGATCTTCTTTTATTATTAATTAAACCAACTCATAGATATCGAGATCTAAAAAAAATAGAACAGGTTTAGCCATTACTACTTCAACATTGAGAATTAAATGCTTAATGCAATGATTTTTCATAATTGAAAATAAAAAATTATGAATTCTTAATTAAATAAAACAGAATTGTAAATTGCCTAGTGAAGATTAATTAAAAATGGTTTTAAAGTAATTGGATTATAAAGGATTAGACTAAGACCTAAAAATTAAAATTCCTTTTTTTATTATTTTAGCAATCATAAACTTATTTTATTTCTTTCTACTTCTTAATGAATTATTAAAATCTAACTGGGTAGAATTGAAAGTAGAATTTGATAAAGTTAGATATAAAATAAATGGCTCCTTCAATTATGAAACATTCATTATTCAGAAATCATTTAGAAAATAGTGTTTAAAGAAGGAATCGAATTTAGACTCGATATTAGAAGATGAAGAAATATTTGTTTAGTTATTCTAAACCATTTATTGAATTAAAATATAATATTAATACCATTTCTAATTAAATCAAACGATCTATAAAAAATCAATAACTATTATTAAATTAGGATTAAGTGAAGATTTTCTCAGTATATTTGAATATCTAAATAATAATTTATAAAGCAGAACAAGTCTTGTTATCAGTTAATTTTGATTATATTATAATATATATAACTTTTGATTACGAAAATTATATTCTAATTATTTTTGTTATTATATTATATTATTTTTGATTTATAGTTCATTTATATTTTTAGAATTTCTTTTATAAATTAACAAAATATAATTAAATCTGTTTTTTAATAGATCAATCAATTAATATAAATCTAATGATTTTAACATTAATTTTTATTAAAGAAATAAGGATTATGTGGATTTAAATAATTCAAATAAAATTAACTAATGAATTGATTAATTATAATGTTTAATTATTATAAATAATAAACAACGTTATTTTAACATATCCCAATATTGGAAAAATATCACTTTAATATATAAATGATCATATCAATTATTTTATATTTCATATATATTTTATGATTTTGAACTTTAATCATATATTACTAGGTATTACCCATTATTTGATAAAGTTCCATATATTTCATCAGTTTCATAACATTATTAATAAAAAATCTTTTATATTCCATTATGCTATTTTCTTCATATGCAAATGTATTCTTTCTATCTAACTAATAATAAATTCAATTCTGGTCGAGACTCAAATGATTAATAAAATTTAAAATCTAAATTGGGTATAGTATCAAGCTTAATCTCATAATATTTAGTAAAATCTGATTTATTTTATTAATATACGATTGCTCTAGTATATCCTTTCCTACTTAAAACAAAATAAATTAATCATCTTTTAATAATAATGCCTTATTTGGATGATTATGTGTCTAATATTTGTAGATGTTGAAATTTGAATCTAAAAACTTTTAGATATGATAAAATAAAAAAATTAAATTAAACATCATAAAGACATAAGCCAAATTTCAAGTAGTATAATAACTTCAGTCATAAAATTCCATTTATTTTCTTGACCCTTTTTCCAGATGATTTTTTCACTGTATCCACAAGTTAATAATAGATTTTCTTAATTGTTCAGACTTAATGAACTCACCCATTAAGTATACTGATTTAATGAATATAAATATTTTATCTATTTTTATTGAAAGTCAACAGCCAAAATATTTATGATTTAATCCCTGTTTCCTTAGATAATTAAATCCTCCTTTGAATTAAGAACAAGACATATAATTTGAATCTTTGATTTAAATATATATGGATTTGATTTTGACCTTTAGTTTTTTTTGTGTTCTTTCCAAATTTTAAACTTCTGTGGAGCCAGAAATAAATACATTTTAATTTTTACTAAAAACTAAACACTAAACAAAATAAGATAATTAATATTGTTATAATCCAATTTAGCTTCATTAAAATTCCAAATTACAATTTCTCTTTTTTATTACTTAATACTAATATATTTGTTTAATAATTAAATATCAAGGCTCAAAAATTTTCATCTAATCTTATAGAATCACTTAACAATTTTATTTGAATATTACCATCTTTCGAAAGTTACCTTCTTGATACTTTTTCAACTTATTTTCTTTTTTCTTTAATATCACTCAAATTTTTAATAAATTCTTTGTATTAATGAAGACTATGTGCTTCAATTCATTATTTAATTCCTATTTTTAACTTATTTAATTATGAATAATATACCTTATCAAAAAAATCAAATTAAAATGTATGCAAATATTATTATATATTCCTAATTTAATCATCTAATTCATCAATAAAGCTATAAATACAGTATCTTATTTTTGTTTAATTCAATTCTCTAATCCAATTTTTATTGGCATCAATAATTATTTCAATAGCAGATGTTAATTTAGTCCTTAAATTTTCTAGATTGTTATTGTATTACTAAATTATTTCACTATATTAATCTGCAATTTCATTTATTATTTTCCTCTTTTTGATTAATTTATCTTCTTTTCCACCCATACTCTCAGATACTTAATGTCTCTTATCAAAACATTCTTAACATAAGAATCTTTCCTATTTATTTAATTTATGATCAATGAGAATAGGAGTGATCATCTACTTGTGCTTTTCTAAATACTTAAATTCATTCTAAATTTCAGAAATCTATATATCTTGCATATTCTTTTGAATTAATTATTCAATATGATAAATTTAGTTTATATGCTAAATATATAATAGATAACTTATTTATATTACTAAATTTCATAAAAATGTATTCTATTTATTGATAAATTCTAATATTCAATTTTTCTTGATCTATATCTAAAAATTCATAATTCTATAAGAATATAACTTATTATATTATTCGATAGAATCTATAAGACACTTTTTGAATATATTATTTATATTCATATTATACATTAATTTGAATATTATGAAATTTTTATTCTATAATATTCTTTTCATTTAATAAACAAGAATTTTAATATTTCTCATTTCAATTTTATATTATTTAGTTTCATTTAATTATGTATATAAGTATTATTATTGAAAAGTAGATGTTCCCTCAAGTAGATAATTTTTATTCACTAATCCTGAAGACTTCAGTTTATTTTTTTTGAACTTTTAAGAGAAATTAATAAGATTTTATATCGTATATATTAAACTTTCTAAGCATAGTTTCACCTTAAATAATATTATATTATGAAACATCATTCTTGAATAATGGAGAAATTACAAATCCTATCAAAATTTATCAATGATTCATTATTTTGTATTTTAATAACATAATTTGTTATTATTTTTACAGATTGTAAAGTTTATAATTTTTATGCTAAAGTATTTATACACAAAACCACAACAGTTATGTAATAGATTCTTATTTATTTAATATTAAAATAATTTTTACCGTAACCAATTTGAAGGAAATAATTTGAAATTATTTAATTTCTTTTATATTCTAAATAATTATTTTTATAATAATATTGACCAGAATTTTGAGTTTATTATCTTTTTTCTCTTCATATTCTAAGGTTACTAGTAATTTGGACAAGTTTTTGTATAAACAAACTTTCATAATTTTAGACATATTATTAGGTTGGCTTGTAGTTTAGATTATTTAATTACTTTAAAATTTGAAAACAAATGAAAGGATAAATTTCAGAATAAAATAAGTGAATAACATCAATTTTACAAATTCCGAATTTTATTAAAATAAAAAACCTTGATTAAACAAATTAATTTTATTATTAATTAACAGATTAATCTGATCTGAATGATCAAAAATAGGAATTTTAGATTATAAATATTAATTGGTTTTAATAATTCCATATAATAATTTAAACTACATTAAATTAATACCAGATAGATTTGTTATATGATTTCAATTGTAATCCTTATTTAGAAAATAACCCATATGTATAATTAACATTTAATTAAAACTAAGAACTTTGATTTTTTATTCATTTTAAGACTAAACTTCCCAATTTTTTAACTTCTGATTCTCACAAAATTTACAATATTAAAATTTGATTATGTTTCTGATTAGATTAATTCTTATCATAGAAGTTTTTGGATGGAGAAAATACGACTCATGGTCATTTGATTCTCTAGGTTTTGCAATTGATGAACAAAATTGTCCTAAATTCCATATATTTATGGCAGGATTGCATCCATATCAATGTGTCTGTACATATTAGCTTTATTAATAGCTTATAATTATATTTGTAAAGGTGTTACAGAAGTATAAGTAAAAACTACAGTAGATGGAAATTAATATTAATGTCATCCAAAATTTTAACCTTGGGGAGCAGGGCATCCAACCCTAGACAAATTTATGGTTCATTGTGGATTAGAGGTTGGCGTTTCGTTAGTAATCGAGTAGCTACCTGATGAAAGTTATAAATATTATTGTAAATGTAAGTATAAATGTCTATTATTATAGATTTCGCAGATAAAACACATGACAAATGTTTGATTACCGCCTATCAGAAAGGTTTATTTCGATGCTAGATGTGCAAATTTCCATTTTATGGAAATGGTTTTGGTTGTGATAAAGTGTTATTGACCTACGATGAAAGATTTATGAGTCCCTATGAAAGAAGTAGTATTTTCTAATTATAAAAGATTGTAATGGAAATTGTAACATTTGTAATGAATATAAAGAGTGTGAATATTGTAAGAGAGGGTATAGATAAAAAGATAAGGAAAATATTAATTGCCACTATTGTATTTTATAATAAATGATATTTATATGAATAGCTTGTTATGGCCATGGATATTGTTATTACGATTTCTTGCATGAAAAATTTATTATAGGTTCATGGTGCCTGGAAGGATATATGTAATAAGGTTCTAATTGTTAGGGTAATTGTATTAGGAGAATTTTTTTAGATATTTCACCTTGCCTATACGCTACCCCATCACCTCTAACTGGATATAGTTGTTAGAGTTGCTAGTAAGGATACTTAAAATAGGTTATCATTGGGGGTGAATATAGTTGTTTGTAAAAGGATTGGAATTGTGATCCCTCAAGATAATCAATGATATTTGATTATTAAATAGACAACAGAATGATTTATTATACAACATGTACTTTATGCGATCCAAATTTCTTTTACTCGAAGAAACACAAAAGATGTAGAACTTGCTACAGTTTGTTGAATTAAATAGCTGATAATGGTATCTGCAAATGCAAACCATTCTATGGTTTGTTAGAAGGAATGTGCACACTTTGTGCAGATGGCTATTGCCATAATTGTGAAAGTGATGATTTTTATTAATGTACTTCATGTAAACCAGAATCAAATAGAATAGTAATAAACAAGGAATGCATTTGTCAATCAGGTACATACGACCCTGAAAATGATGATTAAATTTGCCTTGGTAAATTTGTTATTGATTTTTAGTTTGTGATAAATCTTGCCAAAATTGCTTTGGTCCATTAATTTAAGAATGTATTGATTGTGTAGAAGAAAGTATTTCAAACAGAATTTAAATTGGAAATGTTTGTCAATGTAAAACAGGATTTTCTGAATATGAAGTTAAGGAATAAACATGTGGAAGTATTACTTTTAATTAATTTTAGAATGTCATGCAAAATGTTTAACGTGTTTCTAACCCGCTGACGCATCTGAAAACCAATATTGTCTTACTTTTATTCCTGGATAAAATCGTGTTGTTTCAGACAATTTTAAATGTGATTGTGAAGTTAATTATAGTGATTTTGAGGGCACTTTAGAAGTTTGCATTGGTACATGAATAAATTATACATAGTTTGTCATTATACTTGTGGAAATTGTTATGATGTTGAAGCCACAAACTGTTCATAATGCTCAGAAACTTCTTACAGAGAATTAACACCTTTGGGAGAATGTTTATGTAAATAATCGTATTTTGATGATAATACTGAGAATATAAAATGTTAAAGTACTTAGTTAAATGTGATTAATAGAGTGTCATCATTCTTGTTTAATATGTGCAAACAGTACTGAAAAGGATGCATGTTTAGAATGTCCTTCTAGTAGAACAGCTTAATCATCAGGTAGTTTCTTCGAATGCTTTTGCACTGATTCAAATACATTTGATGATGGATTTTCATTATAATGTCAATAATGTGATTAATCCTGTAAGACATGTTTTGGTCCACTTTCAGCTAATTGCCTAACATGTGATACAAATTATAGATAATTGGAATTATCATTTTGTGTTTGTCCAATAAATTATTATGACATTGGATAATTAGAATGTGCAGGTAGTATTTATTCACTATTAAAAGAATGTCATTATTCTTGTCACAGATGTTTCGATAATAATGCAGAAAGTTGTATCATGTGTTCTTTCGACCTTAATCTTAGAGTTTTGAAAGGAAATGTTTGTAAATGTGTTGATGGATATTATGAGGAAGTTGGAATCGCTAAATGTTAAAGTAAATATTAAATTATTAATATCTATTAGAATGTGCATATAAATGTGAGACATGTGACATTCAACCGGATAAATGTCTGAGTTGCCCATTGAATTCAATGCGTAAGCTTGATCCAATTAAAGGATGTTATTGTTCAGAGGAATACTTTGATAAAGAAAATGAGATAACTTGTCTAAGTAATATAAATATGAAATAAAGAATGCCATTTCAAATGTAAGACCTGTAAAGGTATTGAAGAGAATGACTGTCTCTCCTGCAATTCTATTTAACATAGAGAACTTAAAAATAATTTATGTTAATGCTAACCAAATTACTTTGAAATGGAAGTTTAAGAATGCTCAAGTAACCATTAGATCTAAAATAGCTTGTAGCCCATTCTGTTATGAATGTATTAACAATTCTAAAAATTGTACTTCATGCAATGATGATAGATATTTAGATGGAAATACATGCAAATGTAAAACTAAATTTCATGAATAAACAATTAGTACATTTGATTTTAATGGAATGCTTACATGCTAGAGTATTTTATTAAATAAAGATTAGAATGCCATTATTCATGTGGAACATGCATGGGAATGGATGAAGAAAATTGTATTTCTTGTATGGATACTGAAAATAGATTTTAAGTAGGAAATACTTGTGTTTGTAGAGAAGGATACTTTGATACAGGATTGCCCGCTTGTGCAAGTATAACTGATTTTTATAAATAGAATGCAGTTATAAATGTAAAGGATGTTAAAAGTATTTTGACAGATGTATTTCTTGTCAAGATAACAGTTTGAGATTATTAGTTTCAGGTTTCAATAAATGTCAATGTATTCAAGGATATTATGTTAATGGATAGAATAATGTTTGTTAAAGTATATATGATTTCTAATTATTTTAAGAATGCCATTTTTCATGTCTCAAATGTAATGATATTGAAACAAAATGTGAGTTATGCTCAAATGAATCGAATAGAATATATAATGATTAACTTTTTTCATGCGATTGTAATATGGGATACTATGATATTGGAGTTGAAAATTGTTAAAAATGCCACCATTCATGTTTAAGTTGTAATTAAGGGGATGCAAATTCTTGTATTTCATGTATAGATCTGAATACTACTAAAAGAGTATTTTATAATAATACATGTAAATGTTTATTTGGATATTTTGATGATGGTTCATCAATATCATGCTAAAAATGTGATATTTAATGTTTAAATTGTGTTGGACAATCTTATTAATGCTTATCATGTCCTTAG